ACTTTTCAACAATAATTTACAAATTTTTACAGTTTTTCTCTTGCATGACCTATTTCTAACCAATTTTCACTTTTCAACAATAATTTTGCAACATAATTATTGCATGACTGATTTTTACTATTTCTATTTCAACCGCCTACTTTTTAATAATTATTGTATTTTTTTAAGTATAAAGGGTAAAAATAATAAAATAAGATATTGTAAGAAAAGAAACTTAAAAAAAAAAAAGTTTAAGAAACAGTTTTAAAAAGAAAAAATATGGGAAATCTTGATTGAACCGTTTGAAAACTACTTATTGAACCCTAGAAACTTTGGGAAAATTTTTAGAATAAAATTTGGTGAAAAATGTGGGGAATGGTATGGTAAGGTGTTTTTTTAAAGTTCGCACCAAACCGTTTTGATCAAATTATCCCTTAAAGGGAAATCCTTAAACCTTTGGACTCTGACGACGGAATGGTTGAATGGTCGTTTAAAAATGTGGGAGGGGCTAAATGGTTGGACCCCGCTGCCCCCAACGACTTCTCGGGGTGACTAACTACTTATATCCAAATACATAAAGTAAAGAAAAGTAAATGAAATTTTAAACTCCTATGAAAAATAAATCAGTAAAAAATCATGTGAACGGTCCACATAGACGCAATTCGGGTAAGCCCAAAACAACGCGGGCCAAAACTACGTGACCGAAATTACGCAGCCCAAAACAACGCACGCCCGAAACTACGCGAACCTATTAAGTAATGTCCGGTAAAATCATTTTCTTAATCCGGAAACCGGATTTTGAATTCCATGCTCGTGCCGGACCGGCTCCGATTGGACTTTTCCGGGTTAATCCGGTGTATTTGACCCTGTGATCAATCGAGAAAATGATCGTTTGTTAATCTCCCCTTATTGATATATCGAGTGGTCAATAAAGTGATCGAATGAACAATCAATTATGGAGTGATCAATCAAGTGATCTCAACAGAGAGAGTGATAATTGATCAACAGCGAGACTTTCAATTTGAATATACTAAATAGTTTTGCGTAGTTTTGGGCGTGCGTATTGGCCTTGCGTTGTTTTGGCCTGCGTATTTCGGTCGCGTAATTTTGGCCCGCGTTGTTTTGGGGGGTAGGGGACGATTCAGTATCGCCAATTCAGTATCGCCGATTCAGTATATATACTGAATCGGCGGATACTGAATCGGCGATACTGAGTCGGCTATACTGAATCGGCGATACTGAATCGTCCTTAACCGTGTTTTGGGCTTGTCCCACTAGTGAACGACATATCGACTTTTTCTTAAGGAAAAAAAGTCGTTTTAAAAAAATCTACAATTATTCGCGAACGACTTTTTTTAATAAACAAAACGCCAGAACTACGTAAATATCGCGGAGCAGTTCAACTGAGTCCGCACGATTGAGTCCCCACGATTGAGTCCGCACGATTGAGTCCCCACGATTGAGTCCCGGCACAATTGAGTCCCCACGATTGAGTCCGCACGATTGAGTCCCCCTTGTATATACCTCAATTGAGTCCCCGTGGATTTAATAAGTTAAAAATTTCCATATCCGGCATGCGGGATTATTTCAAAATTTATTTTTTAAAGTATAAATGCCGGGCAGACCACCTGAGCACCTCTGCTGAACCCCAAATACCCTGCGTAGCAGCACAAAAAAGTTTTCCATCGAAGATTCAGTTGATCATAATTCTGTTCAATATCGTCCAATCGAGCTGATTTTGGTATTATTCAACTCAGCTCGTCGAGTCCTTTCGAATGAGCTATTTTGTGTTTATTCGAATTTTTCATTCCAAAAATTCCCCCATGGATTTGACCATTTCAAGCCCCATATCTCGGCGAGAACTTGTTCAACCATGTTGATTTTGGTGTCATTCGACTCAGCTCAACGAATGAGCTGTCATTCAAAAAATCTTTCGATATCCCTCCTAATCCTCAAATCCACAATATCCACTGATACCCCCTTAATCGCTTAAATCTACTTATATCCCTTAATATTCACCGATATCCAGCTTGATCCCTCGATGTCGCATATAAGTCCCCTGATGTTAACTTTAATCCCTCCAAATCCCCAGATATCCCTCTTAATCCGTTTTAATATAATTAAATACACGGGGACTCAATTGAGGTATATACAAGGGGGACTCAATCGTGCGGACTCAATCGTGCCGGGACTCAATTGTGCCGGGACTCAATCGTGGGGACTCAATCGTGCGGACTCAATCGTGGGGACTCAATCGTGCGGACTCAATTGAGGTGTACCGTAAATATCGATGTTTTACGCCAAACGATTGCGAAACGACTTTTTTGTATCTCTTTTTCTCTAATTTTTCATTATATTTCCTTTCTCTTTTTCTATTAATTTTCGTCTCTCTTGTTTTGTGCAGTCCATTTTTCTTGGAATCCAAAAACTTTGTAGGGCCATAACTTCCTTTATTTTTGTCTGTTCGAATTATTTTTGGCACCATTCGAAACAGCTCGAAAAGCTCCATCGAATGAAACATCAAACTTACAAAACATACCAATTTTGTATGTTTTGAATAATTAAAAGAAAACAATAGAAAAAAACGAAGAATTGATAAAAAAAATTATCATCTACTTGATTTGGGGTCGCTTTAGCATATTCCCACAGATTTTCCAGCGAAGATTCTGTTGAACATTTTCTAAAGAACATTTTCAAATGTAGTCGAATCTTGACTCTAGGCTTTTCTTGGGCTTTTTCGGGCATAGGGGGAAGTTAAAAACAAAATTTCAATAAAAAAATGAGACAAATAAACAAAAATTTATCAAAAAAACTAAAAGCCAATGTCTCGTTTCACTCATTAGATTTGTGGCCCTAAAGAGGGCCGTTTGGGTTGTGGCTTCTATTCCATTAAGACTGCAATTCAAAGGTTGCCAGGCAGAATCACTTCAACAGCAAATCGCCCGAGCACGTCGTTGTAACACTTAGAAAAATGAATTAAAAAATTGAAAAAATTTTAAAAAATTCCAAAAAAATAAGATTTAAAAAACAACCTCTCCTATTGTTTCCCCATTGTTGCAGCCGTAGGATGGAGTTCGACACACATCAAACAAGTTTTGATTAAACATAAAAAAGAAAAAATTTAGGAATGAAAAAAATTTAGCAACTAATTCTAGGATCAATGAAATCTGACCAATATTCAGATTTCTCAATATTCGGATACAGATCACTGAATATTGAGAAACCTTAGGGGCGGTTTTTTGGAGTAAAAAAGTTTATACAAACGATAGCTCATTCAAGTTTCAGGGTGCGAAATTCGGTTCGGGGAGTGTAATTTAACCCGGAAAGTAATTTACCCACAAATTATAATGCACCGAAAAACAAAATAACCTGATAATGGTTGCTGCTCCAAATGTCGTTGATGGTGAGTGTTTGCTTCTGAAAATTCACTACTACCATTAACAATAAGACTTCCAAATGTTGTACTAGGAGGCTAATGAGACAGGCATTAATTCTACAGCTTCAAAATTTCAATTTTTCTGCAATTTTCCTTCAAATTTCCTTTCCTACCTCCAAAGCCTTAAAAAACTTTTGTAACCCCTAAAAATAAAAAAAATGGGCTCCGGTACAAAATATGGAATCGTTAAAATATGGAATGGTTAAAATCGCGAATAGGCTAAAAAGGGGTTAAAATACCGAATCGTTAAAATATGGAATCGTTAAAATATCGAATCGGGTAAAAAAGGGTTAAAATATGGAATCGTAAAAATATGGAATGGTAAAAATGTCGACACGGCCAAAATGGGTCAAAATGTCGAATTCTTTTAAAAACGGGTCAGATTTGTGCCATACGTTGATTGTTGATAATTTTATCAACATCAGTTTATTGATGATAAGTTGATTGATAAGTTTGGTAAGTCGTAGTCCGTCGTAATCTTTTCTGTCTGAGTTCACTGTACTTTACCGAGTAAAACCGGACCGGATAAATCAAGCATAATCGACCGGATCCGGTCCGGCATGATCGTACGGATCCGGAAAACATAACGCGATCCTGATATGGAAAAATTAGAGTGGTATGCATTAGTTTTTAGTTAAGACCTAAAGTTTGACCTTACCGTATACGGTACGAAATACCGAAAAATACCGATCAGCTTTTAAATTTTATCGGTCGGATTCCGTACCGTACTACCGACACGGAATATCGAAAAATACCGTCGGTAACGCCCGGATTCTAGTTTTGGCGCCATTTTTAAAAAATTCGACATTTTGATCGATTTTGGCCGTGTCGACATTTTTACCATTCCATATTTTAACGATTCCATATTTTAACCCTTTTTTAGCCGATTCGATATTTTTACCATTCCATATTTTAACGATTCCACATTTTAACCCCTTTTTAGCCTATTCGCGATTTTAACCCATTTTTACCCGATTCGAGATTTTAACCCTTTTTTAGCCTATTCCATATTTTAACGATTCGATATTTTGTCCGGACACGAAAAAAATGAAATCCAATTTACAAAAAACCTCCTTACAAATTGAGAGACTGCACTGAACGAAAATTAATAGAAAAAGAGAAAGGAAATATAATGTGAAATTAGAGAAAAAGAGACACAAAAAAGTCGTTTCGCAATCGTTTGGCGCAAAACATCGATATTTACGTAGTTCTGGCGTTTTGTATTAAAAAAAAGTCGTTCGCGAATAAAAGTAGTTATTCGCCGCGAATCGACGAAAACGTAGATATGTCGTTCACTATGTCCCACGCAATACACTTAAGCGCAATCAAAAGGGCGCGCATATAGTCTCTTCTATGGAAAAACTGATTTTGGAAAACTCTTCGTTCGAAGAGATCTATCGAAGCGGCGGCCGTCGTTCTGCTCGACATACCCTGCTTTCTCCACAGCGGTAAACTATATGTAGCGGTTTAAAGCAACTGGAGTGTTATTTCCGCCACTGTGAAAAATTATTTAGATGTGTCCATTATTTTAGATTTTGTTTTTAGACATTACATATTTAGTAAATAATATTTATATGTAGGTAAAGATGGTTGCAAAACCGCTTGATTTTAATAATGAAAATGAGAAATATGAAGAAAGGTGTTTTAGTCGCAATTCTAATAATTCCAATTCAAAAACTATTTGTAATGGAAATGTAAGTTTTTTCATATAAGTATTAATAATTTATTTTATAATTTTTAGTTTAAACGTGATCCTTTACCAGTTGATTGTTTTAAAAAACATATTATTGAAATTCTTAATCATCTAGAGGACACTGTTATTTTTATTGGAGAGACTGCCAGCGGAAAGAGTACACAAATTCCTCAGGTTTTTCGGATATTATTTAAAGTTAATTTTACTTTAGTTCTGTTGCGATGCTGGACTTTCTGAAAATGGTCTTATCGGTGTTACACAACCCAGACGAGTTGCTGCTAAAACATTAGCTGAAAGAGTTGCAACAGAAATGGGAACTAAAGTTGGTCAATTGGTTTGTAGGCGAATTGTTTTAAAATATTTTTTTCAAAAAAATTTTTTTCAGGTTGGTTATAAATTTCGTTTTGAAAACAATTGTGGCAATGATACACGTATTCTTTATCAAACTGAAGGAATTTTATTACGTGAAGCTCAACATGATGCTAGACTTAAGCGTTATTCAACAATTATTGTAGATGAAGTACACGAAAGAACAGTTAATTTAAACAAAAAATTTTTTTTAATTTTTATTTTTTAATAGATTAATATGGATGTTTTGCTTTATATTCTTAAACAAGCACAGACTAACAGAAAAGAAAAAGATGAGGCCCCTCTTCGTTTAATTCTCATGTCTGCGACTATGAATCTACAAAAATTACAAAAATATTTCCACAAAGCCGAAGCTTATTATGTTCGTGGAAGACAGCATGTTGTTAAGGTATTTTGTATTTTTGATTATTATTATTTAATGAGTGTATATAGGTGGTTTGAGTCCCTGCCAGAGATGGGAAAAATATTTTTAGTATGATCGAATAAGTAATTCGCGACCAGGCCCGTAGCCAGGAGGGGTGGTGGGGTTGGCCTTCGGACTTCCGAAATTCTTTTTTAGCACCTCCGGCGCCGATATACCCTTCCCAAAAATCAAATCCTGGATGCGTCCTTGTTAGCTGCCTCTTCTCATTAAATTTAACTTTTAGCTTTTCAATGCACCAAGTTTAAAAATTAATGAAAATGACTATTTATTTAATGCAATCTCTACTGTTCTACAGTTACATTTAACGGAGCCAATAGAGTTGAGATCAACCCAGAATATCGGCACCCGAAATATTGTGACCCCAAATATCGATGACTCAAAAACCCATTATATCGATTGCCAAAATATCAAACTCCATATTATTAACACCATTTTTTAAAAATTTTATTATTATTATTCAAACAAGGTGGCTGTTTCAACTAGAGATCGGATTCGACTCATATCAGTTACCGAGCTCTTTAAAATAACATATTCTAATACCCTTAACACACACACACAATATAAAATACACCTATTTAGCTTTGAACAAATAGTAATAATAAAATTAAAAATTTATTCTCTGTAGTTGAAACAACTTTTCCCGTCGTTAGAACAACCTTGCTTGTTGTTTGAACAATAATAACAAAATTTTAAAAATTTGGTGTTGATCATATGGTATTTCTGAAAATTATTGCTAAAACTTTTTTGTGTCAACAATATTTAGAGTGGTTATATTCTGGGGTGGAATCATAGAGTTTAGTTTTAAATATTTTTAAACAATTTTCTAGTAATGGGTTTTTGGTCTTTTTAACTGGTCAAGAAGAAATAGAAACTGCAATTAATATTATCAGAAAAACAAAAAAGAATGAAAAATCAGCCGAGAAGAAACAATATGAGAACATTTTTGCACTTCCACTTTATGCAGCAATTCCAACAGACAAACAAAATCTTATTTTCTCATCTACTCCAAATGTAAATATAAGTTTTAAAAAATTTTTTAAACAATTATTATTTTTATGGGGCTCTCGAAAAGTTGTTTTTTCAACAAATATTGCTGAAACGTCAATCACTATACCAGGAATTCGTTTAATTATTGACTCGGGGAAAATGAAAAGACGGTAAATTGATAATTTTTGAATTGATTCTACGTTTGTTTTTAACCAAAAATTTAATATTTCTAATTTTAGCACATTTTCTCCTCAAAATCATATGGATGTACTTGAAGTAGTAAATATTTCAAAGGCCCAGGCTATACAGCGGGCTGGACGTGCAGGACGTGAAGCTCCGGGAAAATGTTATAGACTATATTCTCAACACGATTATGAGGGATTTGAATCGGTGGAGGTGCCTGAATTGCTTCGTTCAAATATATCTTCGGTATTTTTTGAAATTACATTTTGAATAAGATTCAATTTATATTATTTCAGGTTTTGCTGAGCCTTATTAATCATAGTTTATCCCGTCTTGAACAAATGAGCAAACTTATTGATTCTCCAAGTAATGACCAACTTCAATCGGCCACGTCCGAATTACTTGCATTAAATGCTATCCATTTGGAACAAATAGGGGATCATTTGAATGTTCATATAACAGAGGAAGGTCAAAGCCTTATTTTGTTTCCAGTTGAGCCAATTCTTGCAAAGTACTTTTTATACGAAAATTTTCTCGTAATTATTTATTTTAAGAATACTTTTGGCTGCTTCAAGGCTTAATTGTCTCGAAGAAGCTTGTACAGTTGTTGCCTTTCTTTCTGTTGAACATATTTTTCAAAATAATAATCAAGAAATTTTTTGTAAATTAGAAACTGGGAAATATGGCCAAGAAGATTCTTCTAATTCACTTAATACCTCTTTAGCTAACTTCAATACTAATGATGGTGATCATGTTCGTTATGTTAAAATTTTTAGAAAATATAGTAGTGACAAAACTGCAAAGAAAGATAAGGTGATTATTAATTTAAAAAAAATTTTTAATCATAGCTAGTGCAAATATGGAATAGATTTAGTGCCCGGGATAACTTTCAAAGGATTTCTAGTTGATAGAGGAGTTAAAAGGATATTTCAATTTGAACCCCTGCGGATTTTTATTGCTTGGAGATTTATGTTAGCTTGCATATACGAAAAGATATTAGAAACCATATTTAATAAATTGTGGAATCTAAAATGTTTTATTAAGAATTTTTTTCGTGAGATTGGCTTAATCGAAAATTCTATAGAAACTGTAATTCTAATTCGTAAACAATTGATGAAATTATGTCACAATAAAAAACTACCAGTTAGAAGTTGTGGAAGCGAATTTACTTCTCTGAGGTATTTTTAATCAAAAAATTTTTTTAAATAAATTTTAGACAAGCCATTTGTAAAGGACTCTTCCAAAATGCTTGTATTTATGATTCTTCTTCAAGAAATTATGTCTTTGCAAAAGATCGAAAAATTGTTGTTCGTATTCACCCTTCATCTTGCTTAAAAAATCAAACAATGCCGGTAAAAGATTTTTAGGGAATAAGATTGAAAGGGTTTTAAATCAGAATTTTTTAAGCTAATTACAAATTAATAATTTATCATTTTAGGCTTTTGTTTTCTCTGAACTTATTAAAACAAATGAGATTTATGCTCGTGATATTTGTCCAATTGAACTAGATTGGATTAAAGAATCTCAGGAAATTTGTTGTACAACAAATCGCGAATTGGATCGTGTTAAGCAATTAAGATTAGTTACAAGTCCTTGTTCTTCAATTTCTTCGACCTCCTCTAATTCTCAAAGAAAAGGAATATTACCTATTAAAAAAACAAAAACACCAATAATTGCTGAACAAAAAAATGTAATTCAACCTCGTAAAGTAAAAATAACAGAAAAAAAGAATAACAAACCAGCAAATAAGCAAAATGCCAAAAACAACGGAAACGATAAAAAAGTGAAGGAAAAGGATGAAGGTTAAATAATTAATAAAAACAAAATAATAATTTATTTAATATTTCAGAAGAAATTGATGAAAAGAAAGATGAAAAAGATAATTCAGAATGTAATGGAACAAGATCAAAATTTTCTCGACAGAATCTCGGAGTTAGTCATATTTTAGTTCAAATTCAAAAGGATGCACTTGCTCCAGTTGAAAAAGTTAAACAAAAATTTGAAAATAATAATAGAGGCAAAAAAATAGCAGAAAAGAGAAGAAAAAAGGAGGCAAAAGTTAAACCTCTTGTTGCTTATGAAGTATCGAGTGGTTCAGAATCAACAAAAAATGAGGATGAAGAAATTTTAAGTGATGATAGTTTATTTCAGGATTTATAAATTAAGCATTATTATACACTTAAAAGTTCGAATGTTGTTTTTTGACTCTTGTTCAGTTTGTGAGTCTAATCGCGCCTTTATACGTCCAATCAAGTTTTCATACACAATAAAAATTTTATGCTCTAATTAAACTTTATGGGTAAATTGTTTTAAATCAGATATTCTAATATTATTGGAACCAATTCGAACTGGGTACATCACGAGTTGAGTTAATTGGATGCATAACGATTTGATTGACATATAAACATTTTATTGGACGTATAAAGATGCGATTAGATGCATAAACATAAATTTCTAAAAATAGTTGGTATGTTACATACAGATTTTTTTACGACTTTTGTGAATGAAACAAATTTAAATTATAAATGTTTTTATGTATTGTATTAATTCTTAATTTGGTTTTAAAACCTGTTATTTCTGCATATAATTAAAAATAGGTTTAAAATGCTTCTTGGTCATTCAAATATGTTACCTTCTTCAACAATTGATGCATCTTCAACAGTTGTAGATACCACGCTAAACGCTGGAGGAAGGCAGCAACAGGGAGTTTCTGGTGTTACTCAACAGGCAGAGACAGGAAATAGGCGAGTATTCGGAAAAATATTCGGAGTAACTTCGGTCTTTTTTAGATTCCCAATGGATAGACGAATGCTTGAACAGCCATGGAAAGATCCTCGTTTCTTTCCAATAACAATTGACACTGTGGTAATTATAAAAATTTAAATCTTAAAATTTTTTTTTATTAAGATGGCCTATTTTTGTCAAAGAGAGAATCCGTTTTTTGATGTAAATTCTGATAATGCATTCATAATGATGCAACATCAAGTAGCAAGTGGACCTCAATTTGATGAAATGTTAAAACGAATAGAGGGCATTCAGTATGTTCTTGTTCAACCCCCAAGTTCTCCACCACTTTTTGTTGTTAGAAAACAAAAAAGAATGAGCGCTGACAAAAGTTTGAAAAAAGTTTTTTTATGAAAGTTGAAATTTTTTAAGTTACTCCTCTTTGTCATTATTATATTTTGGATGGAACTGTCTATCAAGCACCAGATTTATATACTTTTTTACATTCTAAATTGATTGGTATAATTGACCCATTGAGAAATGCATTTTTAGAAGCAATTGAAATGACTAGGTTTTTTTTTGTTTTTATGGGCTACCCTAAACCATTTTTATGGACCACACCGTCAGGAAAAGATGACTAAAACTTCACGGCCATGGGAAGTTTTAGTGATTGGAATAATTCATTTTAATTGTAATTTATCCGCATACACTGGTTTTGGATACTTCACAAGCACTTTTTTTAATTTATAACTTTATTTGCTTTTAGATTTTCATCATCAAAAGGATATTCTTGGGAATTTAAAACAAAACCTTCGAAACGAGTGGATGAAGAAGAGGAAGAAGAAATGGATGACAATAATTATTTAAATAATCAAGTTTGTATAATTTTATTTAAAATATTTTAAATAATGTAGAAAAAAGATAAAGACGAGGAAGATTCTTTAACTGTCCGTGCAACTCCATATCAACAATTACGTACAGATATGCTTCTTCAAGAGTTGACAACACAATTCAAGTCTGATCAGTTGGTAAGTTGATTGTTTTTTATTTGCAGAAGGTGCCTTATGTAGAGTTTGCCATTTCTAATCATTCTACTTTTGGGGGAAAATTTGTGGACTTATGGGTCACATACCAGAAAAGTATGCCTAATAATAATTAAAGCGCTTTTCAGCCATTTTAAATTTTTCTAGAATTATGTATGTTGTACCTAAATAACAATTTTCCCTCCTATTTAAACTTTGTTCTTTTTGCATCCAAAAGTCCGTCAGTCTTCTCCGCAAGTTTTGCGAGTTTTTTCCTTTTCATTTGTAAAGGAAAGGACTTATTAAATTATTTCTCGGTTTAGTTCAATCTATCTCCGTTAAGAAGTTGTGTCTTCTATTTTTATAAAGGGTTTGCAACAGTCTTGGTCCTGGGCTTTTTTAATTCTCAACTCTAAGCGCCAACAGTAAAAGGGCCAACGGAACTTATGTAAGCAATTCATTACGGAGACATACCGTACTACTAGAAATAATCTTAAAATGCCAAATTGCTTATAACACGTCTTATTAATTATTCTTCGGTTTATTTAACCTCTCCACACAATTCGCGGACAAAACTGACATAATTTTGGATGAAAAAAGCAAAGAACCAAACCTTCTTTAGAAAATCGAGATGCCTCAACCAACGACAGACCAAAGCAATTCACAACAATACCAGGCTCCTAGTTCACCAGTATTGACAACTGACTTTCAAGGATTGATTTTTGAGGGTCTCAATCAGTCAAGTGAAGCTGCAATGTATGTTGAACAAGAGCACGAGTAGAAAATAAATCTAAAATTTTTGACGAGATTTTTCATTCAATTTTAAAATTTGGTTGGTACGTATTTAAATTACGATTACAAAATGTCCTTTTGTTTTGTTGTTTAAACTCGAATAATTTTTAATAATTAAACATTTTAATTTTTTAATACCACCCCTAGATCAGAGGCCATATCGAACTGTGATACAATCTTTAATTACAATGTAATCGCAGTTGATAAGGCTTGCGGTCCTAGGAGGATTTTGAGGTTAAATTTTTTTGAGATTAAATATTAGATTTAGATTAATTGAGCAAGAAGTGCTTAGATGAGTGTGGATCTAGTCATGAGCCAAATAGTGACACTAGGCCAAAAACACGACTGGAGAGGCACACCCATCCAAGAGCTAATACTCTCAATAAAATAAAAAAAGAAAATAATAAAGCGGTTTTTATCAAATGAACTGCGCATTTAGCTTTTAGGAAGAAATAGATTTTGTTTGGATGGGAAAGAAATATTTAATGGAAGACAGAGGCCGTAAAAATGAGGCTAAAAAGGAAAAAAATTATTTTGGCAAGCAACCATCTGCCACCCAAACGTTCGAAAAAAGGAAATGATCCAAGTATTCTGCTTTAGAACGAAAGAATGCGCAAAGAAGACGCAAGCATGGGGAGGAGCAAATAATCATTTCAGGACAAAATTAATATTTGGTAGAAGATTAATTTTAAATAATGTTTTCCTCATCAGTTTCTTTTTAATAAGTATTTTTTGAGCTATAAATTTGTTTGGTTTGGAGCGAATTTTCCATCTTTGGTTTTTGAACTGTGTGTAGTGATGAAAAATAAAGAACACAAGTGGCAAAGATGGAGGATAAGAAAAATGAATAAGAAAGAAGATCGATGAATGATGCCTGTATAAACGAGGATGGGCAACTGAGGCTGGGCAGTAAAAGGCGGCCTGAATGGACGCCCAGTAAAAATGGCAGAGGAAAAAAGGAATGGACAAAAGAACTCCGGACTGCCGTTCGAAGGCTGCGACTGTTGCGCCGGTCGCTGGAAACGTCTGCTCTTCTATTTTCATTGCCCCAAGTCCTTTTTATTCTCCCCTTCTATCTTCATTGACTTCTTTGTTTGTTCGTCTGACCTTCAAAATAAGCGTTAAAAGGAAAGTATAAAATATGTTTAAGTTGTGGTGAAGAAATATGTATGCGTAATATGGGGATGAACTTCGTATATCGACACACATTGAATAGATACCCTATATATCGAAAAGCATATGATCTACACTAAATTTTAAATTTTATTATGTACATACATATTAATTTTTGATCAAAGCTTAAGAATGTTGTCCAACACCGCGGAAGTTTGTTCCAACATCTGAGGATAAAAAATAACCTTCCCCAATAAGGTCAAATGATAAAAAGGGTGTCGCAATATACCCGCAATATGTAACAGAACAAAAAATTTGGTCTTATCACTGCGGGAAATTGAGAAATACATAGGTACAAGAATAAAATAAATGATTATGGCATTTAGCCAAGGAGTTGTGTAAATGTAAGGTGGAATGTAAATGCTCTGTCCGCGTGCCATTTAAATTTTTAAAATAACGTAAGTTAAACTAAAAGATCATATGTATGTAGTATAATGTGATATGTATGTATGTGTGAGTAGTATTGCAACATTTATTCAAATGTTCTTTGTAATTAACTCATATATACCTGCATATCCTTTGTATAAAATATACAAAAAATTTCAGTACGAAATCCTCACATTAATAAAAATTAGAGGCTTTGTAATCGTTAAAAATCATAAAAGTTACAATTTGTGAAGAGAATAAATTTGAGAAAAGTTGCGCAATTTTATATGTTTTTGGCGCCAAATTTTTCCTATTTGAAATTTAAACAGTTTGTCGAAAAATATAAAGTAAAAGTGGCGGCGACTGGTGCGGCGATTTAAAAAAAAGAAAATGTAAGGAAAAAAAGAGGTGAAGAAGGGAAGCCACTAGCTAGTGGAAGAAAACAATATATTTTTACATCAATACTAACACTGTATATAGCCGGCTGGATGTTATGTAGAAGAAAGGATAGGTGACGGGTGGTCAATCCCCTTTTCTATTTTCGAGATGATGAAAGAGGGCCAAAAGCTGAATTGCGAAAATTAGTAAAAGAAGGCAATTGTTCATATAAAAATAAATATGTAGTATTTGGACTGACGGGAAATTTGTGATCGAATAATTAAAAAATTTAAATGAGTGATAAATACATAAATTCTGAAAATAAAAAATAATTTTTGAGAAAAGGAGTGTGTTTTCATTTACGACTAAATGCAAGAAAGAGTGAAATTTTAAGTGTTTGAGTGTGTTTTCCAATCTCAAACGTTAAATTTAAGTAAACATGGGATTTATGGAAATCATAATATGTATACATACTATATGTAGTTTGTGTAGTTTAAAGGACATTTAGACTATACAATTCATTACTTATTATAATTCGAAAAAATACACCTAAATTTAGAAAAATTACATACTATAAGCATGTTTTTCTGGCGTGTTTCAAACAGAGTGGCAGAAATTAATTTTTGTAAGATTGGAGTTTGGTATGTATGTATTTGTTAGGCCATGCGAAAATTTTGGCACACAGCCGTATTGTTAGTTAAATTAAATAAATAAAAGTGGATATATAAAATTATTTTATATATTTATTTTTTTTTATTTTTAAGTTCAGGCGGCGCTTAAGTCGCGGCGCAGAAAACAGCGGCGTAAATGTCGCAGACCTCCTTAACACTTCCAATACATACTCCACATTTTCTGTTATTGCAGAATTTTTTTCAAATTCAAAACGAATTTCGGGTATTGTGACTTACTATGGTCTCCATGGAGGTTTTTGCTGCTACGGAGGCCCCAAGTACGTCCAGAGCAAGGGAGATAGGCATAGGTTTATGTTACTGACCCAGACCCAGCGACCGTTGACTCCCCGCGAGGCGCGTGCCGCAAAACCCCGCGCGAAGCGCGGGGTTTTGCACAAGCGCCTCGCCTACGCCCCATAGGTTTACCTTGACCGTTTTGAATTTGTTTATCTTGGCTCAGAATCAAGATATCGAGCTGATCTTGGTGTCATTCGACTCAGCTCGTCGAGCTGAGTCGAATGAGCTATTATTTGCATTTTCGAATTTTTCATCCCAAAATGAGCTTACTCCCCCCTTCTCTTTTTCAAACTTCAGGGGTCTGTAACTCGGTCCCTGATTGTCGGATCGACTTCCCCCGTATCTAGTTCGACTCAGTTTTTGAAGCTCTTTCGAATGACACCATATTTGTCGAAATCGGTTCAGAAACAAAGAACCCGCTATAAGTCACAACATTCCGAATTTCGAAAAAATAGTCCGTTGACGTAAGGTCCATTGACGGAAATTCTATTGACGAAAAGTCGTTATTGATTTTGCATTGTTTACGAAGAATTTCAGATTTTTTATTGTCAGATCAACTATAATTATTTAAAAAATGAGTTCTCTCGAAGAACAATTAGCGCTGTAAGTCTTTTATTTTCAAATTTCAATTCATTAATATTTAGAATAAATTATTTAGATTTGAAAAAGAAGTGCTAGCAAGTGATAATGAAGCTAAATCAAGTAATTCTAATTTGCCTTTAACAAAGGGAACAAAACAAGATGGTTAGGATTTTAAATAAATAATTAAATAAATATTCTTTTAGCCCCGATACAGGCTCCCGATATTGGTGGCTCTCGCCCTGCTACTTCGGTAAAATTTATGCCACACCAGGTTTTTTATTTAAAAATATTTACAAAAATTTATATTTTTAAGCTTCAAAAAGTTAGTTTTACGAGTGGACGTGTTCCATTTCCCCCACATTTACAACCTCCATCTGTTCCAACGGTAATCGAGTCGGGGCCAACGCTTTATGCTAATGCAGTCCCTAATGCTTCTACTCAACAGAATAAGCCAGAACCGAGCTCTAGTGGTACTTCAAATACTCCAATCTCTTATAATAGTGCACAACAACAAAATTTTCGAACACAGGTTTAAATATTTTTATAAGGGAAAAATATGAATGCTTGGTTAAATTTCTTTTTGTCTGCTTTTAAATTTTGAAGATTTATTTAAAACCTCCTAAAAATAAAAGAATTTATTTTACCTCAAATTTACATTTATTTTTTATTTTTTTAATTTAGGCTTTACCTTCTGATGTTGAATTACTTTTAGCTAGAAAACAAGCAACAAAGGCCCATGAAAATAGTTATTTGGGTGCTGTACTTCGTGGTGAAAAGAAAATGAAGCGTTTTGTTCGTTGCTGTGGTGGACAGGTTTTAAAATTTATTTTTTAGGATAATTTTTAAAATTTTAAAGGTTTGGGAGGATGCTTCGATGGCTGAATGGGATCCGAATGATTTTCGAATTTTTTGTGGTGATCTAGGAAATGAAGTATCTGATGAATTATTGGCTAAAGCTTTTAGAAAATTTCCAAGTTTTCAAAAGGCTAAAGTTTGCCGTGATAGTCGAACAAATAAATCGAAAGGTTTTGGATTTGTCTCTTTCAAAAATCAAGAGGTTAATTTTTAAAAATTTAATTTTTTGGGTTTTGAAAAATTTGAATTTCCGATATTTATTTAGAATGTAGTAAGTTCTGTTCTGGGTATATTATCTGTAAATTGCAACAGTCCAAAACCAAAAATTTCTAAATCAAAAATGATTTTTGGTCAAAGGCTCAAACCACCCATCTGTTTTTATATAAAAATTCCTCCTTAAAAATATATTATTTAATTTTTAACACTGAAATTCATGTTTAGAAATTTATTTTGTTATATATTTAATTTAAATTTTACCAAAATTTTTTGATTTCTTTTTATTTTTATAGGACTTTATTCGTGCAATGAAAGAAATGGATGGAAAATATGTTGGAAATAGGCCAATAAAATTAAGAAAAAGTAATTGGAAGGATAGAAATTTGGATATTGTTAAGAAGAAAACAAAAGAAAAAAAGAAATTGGGATTACTTTAAATTGAAAAAATATTTTGGATTTACTCATTTGTGTGGAAATTGTATGATTTTAAATACTTTTTAGTTAAATTTTGATTTTTTTTTTGATATTTTTTGTTGATATTTTTTGCTTGAGAGCCAATTCAAGGTGTAACATAAACAAAATTTTATTTGTTTTATAATGTTGGAAAATATAGGGAATATTGTGACCTGTAGCCAAAAGGTAGGATTCTTCAATTTTGTTTTAATAAAATAAGTTATTAACGTTCCCCTAAACCTTAAATCTCAACGAAATTTGGTATAACTCAACGGAACTCAATTAGGCCTTGCAAACCTTACCAATTTTAAATGTAAAATCTAACTTTGACGTGGAAGGCTCTGAGTAGATATTATAATTTGGGTTTGGAGGAAATAAATTTTCTTATCTTGTGAGGGTCACATGCAGGCGAATATCTCTTCAAATTGAAACCTTAATTTCTGTCTTTTATACATTCAGAAGCATTATAAAAATTTGAAGCTAACTTCTTTCGATCCCTTTTTAAGACCAAAAATTTAGAAAAAATTTTATACAGAATGATCGTTGTCCAGTTCGTTTGAGGCACCTTGTACATATATTTAATTTATTTTACATTTTTTGATTAATGTTTAATATATTATTAATTTATTTATAAAATTTAATAAGTCTTTCCTTCATAATTCCCCAAGGATGGAAAAGGATGTTTATATAGATTTTACTTTAGGGTCAAGCATCCTTCAAACCCCAAATTCTTTTTAGTCCTTCTACTTATATACTCCCAAAATTTCTCATCCTTTTAATTCAAATATCCGAGGCTTTATTATTTGAAAGGAAAGAAATGTCTATTTCGATGAGTGTTTTCGTCTAAATTTTTTCACAATTGGAATTGCCGAAGAAGGGTAAAGATGGAGAGGGATCTGTATATGGTTTATTTTCCGGCTTTCTGCTTTTTTGGAGTGACCAGCCGAGAAACCCCATTGCCCGGAAAATTATTTACCAATTTTTTAATGTTCTCCGGTAGAAAATGCATCCATATCCCTGCATAGTTCAGTGAGAGGAATCAAATACTAGTCTAGTACATATATACTAAAGCTTCGCCGGAAGTTCCGGTTCCGGTTTCGGCCAAATTTGCGGTTCCTACGAAGCATTAGTATATACCCCTTTATTTTGCCTTTATTGGCAAAATAAAGGGGTATATACTATTTTTTAAATTTTTTAAAATTTTGCTCTTATTAGCTATGTTTGTGGTTGGAAAGATAAGTATTGATAAGTTGAGTGTTTTTTTATCTTTACTGACAATTTAATTTATTATTTTTATTTTCTATTTATTAAACTATTTTAATATTTTTAATCTCGAATATAACAATTCTCATAAAATTTTCCTTTCCGGCAATTTTCTCTTTTTATTATTTGTTACATACATACTTATTATACTTGCGCATGCAAAATTTGTGAATTTTTGAAAAACAAAAATAAATATAAAAAGAAAATATATGTATGTATATTTTTTTCGATTAAAAAATAACTATTTATTTATTTCTCCTGTAAATTAATCAGATTTATTCGGACAAAGTAATTCTCTTTATAATAACCAGCAGCTTCTATTAATTCCACAACAAATTCTTTAATTTTCGTTAAATTTTTGTGTAAATTAATTTAATAATTAAAAACATTATTTTGTTATTTTATCTTAAAAATATCAATTTTAATTTACTTACAAAATATTTCCACATGATTACACAATAAATATTTTTATATCTTCTTAATCAACAAAATAATTTACTATATTTTCTTTCCTTCTCCTTCCTTTATTTCTTCAAAATATTTATTTCGCGCACATTCCCTCTACTTCCTTAAATAATATTTTAGATTAATTACTATTTTAATTTTTAATATTTTTTTTTTCAAATTTTAAAATTATTCCAGAATTTATTTAAAATAAAATTATTTATTTAGAAAAAACATTTAAAGAAAATAAATATTTATTTATTTTTATATTTTTTTTAACTTTTTGTACATGCACAACAAATAAAATGATCTTTTTATTTTAATTTTTTTTTCACAAATAAAATTTAAAAAAATAAAAATATTATTTTTTCCCCAAAAATTACTTTTCAAAATAAAGAGGAAAGAAGCGATTATTATTTAGTATATTTTTGGGTGTTCTTCATTCACAGCCAATAATTCATTTTTTGACCAATTTTCTTTCCATTCTCGTTATTCGATCTCTTTTCTTTTTTTATTCTTCTAATTTTCCTCTTCTTCTTTTTTTCTAAGCCAAATCCATCAAAATAATTTTTTCTTTCATTGTAAAAAAAATTAAATGACCTTTCTCCTTTCTTTTTTTTCAAAGTCCTTAGCCGATATATTTCATTTAATCCATTCTCGCCTATATTGATGACTCTCTAATCCACACAAAAAAAATATAGGAAATATTAATGAACAGAATAATTGACGTTCTCTTAAATAAAAAAATTAATAATTTTTTTCGAATTATTTAAAATAATTTAATCAAAAATATTTTTAAATATACATACTCTCTCTTATCTTTTTTTTTCTGTTCGCCAATTTATTTAATTACCAAAAATTAACCGGATTTATAGCCTTTAGCATTTATTTTTCTTCCGTCGGTATTTTCTTTTTTTTTAAAAAAGAATTTATTGTCTTCTCATTTTATTTATTCATTTACCTCTCTCGTTTGACCTTTTTTTACTTAAAATAATTCCCATTGGCGTATATAAAAGTCGGTAAACTTAAAATACTGAACACTTTTTTAAAATAAAATTGCGAATATATCAAAAGATGAACCAGAAAAATATTTAATTACGTTAATTTATGTGTTTGTTTGTTAAAATCAGTTTAAATATTGGGGAGGAGATATTTGGGGATTTGGGGTTGTATTTCGAGAATTGGGATGGCAGGATCTGTGAAATGTGTGAAAAGAAGCTCTTAATGCCTTGATATGCACAAAATATGTAAATAAATAAAAATAAAGAAATTTTATTAGAGAAGGATCGAAAAAACTATTTTGTCTCTTGAAATCTGAAATTTTTTTAACAATAAAGCAAAAATTTGCTCTTCAATGGAAGCAGTTTTTGATTTTTTTAAATATTTTATATACCTAAATATCATTTTTGTTTCTGTAAGATGTACGCATAACTTTTTTCTTTACCTTTTAATTACTATAAAATCCTTCAAGGGGATAGTCGCCTTTTTCTCTTTTATATTTTCTTCTTTTTCTTTTTAATTCTCCGCCTTTTACTTGAGGGTTTTTGTTGTTTTTATAATTAATGTTTGTTGCTGTTGGGGTTGTTGCTGTTGCTGGTAGTTTTTCTTTTTATTTAGTAACCTTTTTTTCTGTTCTCCCCTTGAAAGGCCATCATTCTAAATTTGTATTTTACTTTTTATTTTTCTGCTTTTTTAACTCAAAACTTTTTCCAATTAATTTTCTTTTTAATTAGCAATTCCTTCTCGGTGTTCATCTTTTAAAGTAGCAATTTAAGAAGAAAACTGGAAAAGGAAGGAATGGAGAGGAGAGGATATGCTTTGCCGGCTATAACTGTATAAATAAATACAATCGTTGCCATTTTTAGAATGAAATTAAGAAAGCAAATAAATAAATATATTTAAAGACAAAAACAAACAAAAACAAAAAAAAAAGAAAAAAAGAAAAAAAGAAAAACCGATTTGAGGGATTAGAGTGACAATCTGCTAGAAAGTAACCCCCACCCCCCCTCCCCCCCCCTTTTTTTGGGTCATTTCAACCAATCTTTTTCCATTTTTGGACAATATCAAGACTAAATTTGTCAATTTTAGTTGCATTGATTTCTACAAAAATTAGTGAAACCGGGTGAATTTTGTGAAACAAGTTATTAAGTAATTAGGTAATTAAATTTATGTAGAACGTTTAAATGGTGGAAGTAATGAACGAATTAAAATTATTATTTCAGTTGGTTATTTTTTAAACATATTTTAAGTCTAGCCTATTTGTATCAGATTCAACGCCCTTTCTCATTATAGAGAAGTGAAAAAAGTAATCCGATAGAGTTTTGTTTAATTTAAATATTTTTTTTGTATTTAAATTATTATAAATATTTTATTTTATTTCCCGCGCTTATCAGTTACTACTTTAACTATATTCTTTCTAAAATAAACATTTTATTACTAGCTAGAATTACTTTTATATTCTACACTTATTCTCTCACGGTTTTTATTATTTTAAAAATTTAAAAATTTAAAAAATTTTTTATTTAAAAAACAACTATTTTTACCCCTCTCCCTTCCATTTATTTATTTTTCTCACTCATTAGAAAATGCCACACACACACACTTAAAAGTATATCCAAAAAAGATTTACTCCCCAAATCCTTCTCTTTTTTTTTCAATTTAATCCTTCCAATTTTTTGACACTTTTATTTATTTTTTTTGTTTTCTTCTTCCAATTTTTATCCCCTCCTAAAAGAAAAATGCCAAATCCATTCCCTAACTTTTATTTTAATTGTTACTTTTAACAAAAAATAATTTTAATTTTATATATATTTTTATTTATCAATTATTTTAAATCCCCTAAATTACTTTAAAAAACATTTAAGCGTTCCCTTCTCCAAAATAATTCTTCTATTTTTTATTGCACAACAGCAGATTCCCTCCCTCCCTTCTCACCCTCCTTCCCTTTCCCCTCATTTTCCCTCCATTTTTACCTAAACAATTCAAAATGTGATTTTTTTTCTTCTAACCCTAAAAAGGTGTGAAAATGCAAATCCATACATCCTAAATTTAAATTCCCTTCTCCCTGCCCCCTCATCCTTCCCTCTTTTCTTAACCTATTTTTTTGTTAATATTTTTAGTTTATATTTTTTGCTTCTCCCTTAACCTTTTCTCTTTCCTTATTTTTTTATTTAAATTTTTTTCTATTTATGGCCATTCATTCTATTAAAATAAAATAAATAGTAATTTTAAGGAAAAATTATTTTTTATAATTTTTTATTGGCAGTAAATTATTTGAATATAAATTGGTTATCAAATTTTTTATAAAATTATTTTTTAAAAACAAAATTATATAATTTTGTTTTTAAAAAATAATATTTAAAAAAAAAATAATAAAAAATATATATATATTTTTTAAAAACTTTTAACCCTTCTAAAACAAAACTAATTAAATTCTTTTCTGTTTACCCCCCCCCCTTCAAAAAATACTTTTCTTTTTTTATTTTTTAATTATTTTAAGTAGCACTTTTTAATAATTAAAATACAATTATTTATTTTAACAAAAAAATTCTTTAAATATTTTTTGTGTTTCCAATTAAAAATTTTGTTGCAAAAATAAAAGATTTCCGGCATTGTCTTTTTGGCTAAATTTATCGGCAAAAGGAAGGAGAGGAGGGGAAAAAGATTTATTTATTTTATTTTGTTGTTTAGGGGGGGGCTTTTTCTTTAAAGAATTACATGAAGAAAATTTATTAGATTTTTTGTTTTCTTTTTTATTTTCCACAACTCGACAATTGGAAAGATATAAATTTATTTTTGTTAAAAATATTTTTTTTAGATTTCTTATAAATCTAGTTAATTAATTAAATAAATATTTCATCTATTTATTTATAATTTTATTTTCTCTTTTTCTGGATTGTCTATGTCAATTTAATCACCAAACTGAAAAAAATATTTTTTAAGGAAATATTTCTATTGTTTTAACTCATATCCAATAAAATAGCATTTATGTATGTGGAAATTGTAACAAAATATTTAGTTTTTAAACCTTAAAAAATTAATATTTTTTCGTGCCATTTATTTTTTAAATTATTTACAAACTTTTTAATTAAATAAAAGAAAATATTTTTATCAAATTCCTTTTAACTCCTTAGCATTCCTCCTTTTCACTACTCCAAACATTTTATTTTTTCCTTCCCCACAGGATATTAATTTGCGCGAGTACCCCCTAGGGCTTTTACCAAAAACTCCACAAAAACCAAAAGAAGGAAAAGCCAACAAACTGACCAGCCATTTTATTTGTGCCCACAATTTTTTGTCCAAAAATGTTTGTTTTTGTGACCAATTAAGTAGAAAAATAATAATTTAAGTTGGAAAAAGAGGGCAAATAAAAATTTTTTGTGTCATTAAAATTATTAAATATTTTGTAAATTACTACATACAATATATCTTCTTTAGTTAATTTCTCTCTCTTCCTTCATCCCCTTCTCTTATTTCACAATATTCATTGCAATTTTAATGTACTACAAAAATATTTATTTTATTTGAATGACCTCCAGCCGATTGGTACAAACAAATATTTTTATTTATTTTTTTATTGTTTAGGTGTGTAAAAAGAAAAAGCAATTGACTTGGAGGATTTGAGCATCTGCTTTTTATTTTTAACTATCCTCCTCCTCCTCTCTTCTCCTCAATAAACTCATCGGAAATCCCCGAAAATTGCCTGCCAATTACTTTCTTTTCCGCGCAGAAATTGGCAATTTCTTTTTTTTATTGAGGAAAAAAAGGGGGAAAATAATAATCCTTCCTTCCCTCTCCTGACTGTTGATATCTTTCAAAACACACAGGTGCATATTAATAATTTTTTTGGAAATATTTTTTAGTAGTAAACTCTTAAAAATAATAATTTCTTTAAGAATAAATTATTCTTTTATAAAAATATTTTTCATTAAATCTAAATAAATTTCCACAAATCTTTCTTTAAAAAATTTCTCTAAAAAACTACTAAAAACCTTTCTAATAAACCTTAAATTTCCATGGCTTTTTTGTTCTCCGTTTACCCGTAAAAAACCTTTCTAGCCCCTTTACTTTAAATTATGCATTAAAAATTTAAAAGGTAAAAAAGAAAAGCAACATATGAAAAAATTGATGAATTGTTGAGGGGAAGGAGGGGGGGGGGGTTCTTAAAGAAAATTATTATTTACTAGTTTATATCTTTCCTTCTTTCAATTCATTCAAGCGGTAATAAGTCTTATACAAAATATTTATATATTCCTCAGAGTCGAGAGACAGATTTTTATAAATGGAAATTGGAACAGAATTGTGAAGAAATTAAAAATATTTTATTTTTAAAATTCTTTTTATAAAGTAAATACATACAAATCTCTTTAATTGTTTAATATTTATAAAAATAAAGAAAATACTTGAGAAACTTTAAATAAAATTTTCCTTTTTTTTAAATTATATAATTTTTATCAGATTTTCTCTCTCTTCATTATTTAATCCCCTTTTTAGCACCTTTCTCTCTTTTATCTTTTCAAAAAAATTTTTCTTCCAATTTTTATTGCATCACAAAATTTTAGACTTCAAAAAATACATAAAAGGAATTTCTTTTTTTGACTTTTTCTCGAGAATTTTATTCTTATTTTTCCCCATTTTTTGCTCATCCTTTTTCCTCTTAAAAGTATTTTTAAAAAACTAAAAATCTGATTTTCTTTTTTTCTTTTTTTCCTTTTCGGCGACTTTTCTTTTTGTCCTTTTTTTACAAATAAATTTATTTTTATTTATTTTCGTGTCCTCATCTGTTGGCATTTGTTTTTCTTTTAACAATTTGGATTTATTTAAAAGCTAACCAAGATTTGTTAAAAATACATATTATTTGTAGATATTTTTGTGGGTTTAGTAATAATTAAAAAAATTTTTTTTGATTATTATACTAATATATAATACATACATCGTTTAATCTTAGAAATATTTTTAGCTCAATTAAAAAAGCAACTCTTATTAAAAAAATGCCTTGTAATTCTTGTATTCCTCCCCCACCTATTTTTGATATTCCCCCACCTCCAGATCCTTCTCTTATTTTACATTTATTAATTGAAGATATTCAACAACAACAACATTCAGTTAATTTTTAATTTTAAATATTTTTAATTAATTTCTTTTCTTTTTTTAGTTACGTCCCCAACAATTTTATTCTTGTTTAAAACCTTCACCATTTCCTTCTTTTTTATCCAAACTTTTATTTGGTGCGGATTGGCTATTACCTTTTTTGGCTATTTTTCTTTTTTGTATTTTCACAATATTTGTTGGATTAATTATTTTAATTAGAAAAAGAAGAAAAAAAAGAGAAGAAGAGGAAATGAGGAGAAGAAGAACACAAAATAATGGAGGAGGGGAAAAGAAGAAAAAATTAAATAGAAAAAGGTAGTAAATTTAGAATTAAAATTTAAGAAGACCTGAATAAGTATTTACAAAATGCCCTTGAAAATTATTAAAGTCCATTTATCATTTTTAGCGCCTTTTAATTAAAAACAATTCCTTCTCCCTCTTTCTCCAAAAATTCTATTAATCATTCAGATTCTCTTTCCCCCTCTCCCAAATTCATCTCTTTCACTATACAATATTCAATTACAATAATTTTTTCTACCAAAATTCAGCCCCAATCCATCAATTTTATTTTAAATAATTCCAAAAAAATAAAAGAAAATACAGTAGTGGACATAAAGATAGGGACAAGAGTAATTTAAATGCAAATTAACTATTTTTCAGTCAAAAAATACGTTCTATATATCAAACGAAAGCTCTATTCGTATCTCAGTTGACATGTTTCTGCATTTTTCATTAAAATGAAAATTGGCCGAGATAATCCGGATCTACCGGATATACCAAATCCTATATCCTCGGAAAAATTTTTCGGAAAAAATTTGACAAACCCATTTGATAAAGCATATTTTTCTGAGTATTTTCCACGAAACCGCTTAAAAATATCTTTTTCCGGACCAGAGATATGATTTTTTGAAAATGGCATTTTTCCCTTAAAAATTGAATTTTTTGCAAAAATAGGCTAAAAATGCCATTTTCAAAAAATCATATCTCTGGACCGGAAAAAGATATTTCTAAGCGGTTTTGTGGTAAATACTCACAAAAATATGCTTTATCAAATGGGGTTGTTAAATTTTTCCCGAAAATTTTTTCCGAGGATATGGGATTTGGTATATCCGGTAGATCCGGATTATCTCGACCAATTTTCGATTTCATGAAAAATGCAGAAACATGTCAACTGAGATACGAATAGAGCTTTCGATTGGTATATAGAACGTATTTTTTGAATGAAAAATTAAGAATTTAAATTTAAATTACTCTTGTCCCTATCTTTATGTCGACGACTGTATATAAAAATAATTAAATATTCAAAATATAAAATGGCAAAATTGGTTAGAAAATTGGTGAAAGAAGAATATTCATTGTTATTCTCTAATAATTTTTCTATTTTCATTCGCGCACCAAAAATACAAAAAAATATATTTTTTTTATTTTTGTTGTTGTCCACAAATTAGGCAAAATATATGTATATAAAGCCATTTTAGAATTTTGTTAAAAAGGAAGGGGAAAAAGAAGAAAAATTGTTAGTAAATTGAATTGACTTGCAAAACTAGCCAAAAATAAATAAATTGAATTGAAAAGACACAAGAATTTTGTAAATTTAATTTGTTGCCAGCTGTGGCTATTTAAATAAATAAATATATTAACACTTTTGGCACAAAAATAAAATAAAATTTACTGGAAGGATGATTTCTTTTTTGATTTTAGAATTATAAAAAGTGGGGGAAGAAAATAAAATAATTTTGGTAGAAAATTAAAAAAAAATAAAATTATTTAGTAAATAGTATAGCTTATTTCCAGAATAATTAATTTAATTAATTTAATCTTTCTTTTTAAAGTAATTCATTTGTTGTTTCTTCGCCTGCTTCAGCCACTCCTTTTCAAATGCCAGAAAGTGATTCCTCCTCACCTTCAAATTCTTCCTCTTCTTCATCAGCATTTTCTTCAATATCCAATAATAAAAAACATTTTACTTTTCAACGTTCCTCAACAGAAACTTTAGCCAATTCAAATACTTTCTCTTTAGCACATCCACAACAAATAAAAAGTCCTAGGTATTTTTTTTCAGAGAATATTTTAAAAAATTTAATTTTTAAAGATGTAAATTGCCGCCACTTCCTCCTCCTCTTCCAAACAACAACAAAAATATTCCGGTGCCTTCATTTACAAAAAGTCCCCCCAAATCAGTTGCTTTTCAATCTCCAAAATATTTTATTTCAAGAAATATAAGTACTCCCTCATGTTGTTATGGAAGTAGTGAAATATATGAGGTTTTGTTTTTGGGGGAATATTTACAAAAGAAAAAAATTATTTTTAAAGGAATTAGCAACAGATTATCAAGAAGATATTGCAGAACCTCCTTATTTAAAAAGATTAGTCAACAACAGATTACCTCCCCCAATTACTCGACCACCACCTTTACCTCCAGAACAATTTAACAATAATTGTTGTTGTGAAAAAGAAACAGAAAATAGTCATGGAAATGGAAGGGAAGAAGGAATTAAACAAAAAATAAATAATTTTGGAAATAATTGTAAAAGGTTTTTAATTTAAAAAAAATTTGAAAAAAAAATTTTTTAAAGTGAAAATAAATTTCCAATAAAAACACCTCCTCCAAACAATACTCTTCCAAAATGGATGTCTACAGAAAATGAAAAACAAAATAAAGGAATGTTATCCTCCCCAAATATTTGGACATCAACAAAAGAAAATAATGAATATATTTGTAGACAAAAAAGAACTTATGTTTAGAAAAAAATTTTTTAAGATTATTTTATTATTGCCATAAATTATAAAAAAATATTGCTCAAAATTAAATAAAAAATATTTTTTTGTCAAATAATTAGTGTATTTTTACAAATTATTGGAATTTCATACTTGACTCTAGACTTTTCTTGAGGTTTTTCGGTCTTAGGGTGAGGTCTTGGTCTCGACTTTTTTTTCTTCAGGAAACGAATTTTTAAAAAAAATGAGTCAAATAAACAAATTTATCAAAAAATAAAAGTCATTGTCCTCATCTCACTTATTAAATTTGTGGCCGTAAAAAGAGGGCCGTTTAGGTTGAGGCTGTTGTTGACGAAATTCCAACATCGCTTCTATTCCACCCAGGAATGAAATTCTCCAAGGAATTCATAAATAAATTCAAAAATTATCTATGTGATTCTTAATTTATGGGATTTCTATTACCAGAATATCAGTTCTGGTTCATCTTTTTACACTAATTAAGAAGAACAAACGATTAAAAAAACTAGAATTAAAAAAAATTAAAGACGTGGTGAGACTCAAATGTTAAAAAACCTAAAGGTTTAGGCTTCAAAAGGTTTAGACTAAAAGTAACCAGGTAACGAAAGAGTCTTAAAATATGGCATCAAAACGAAAGTTTTTGGGATATAACTTTTTTGTTTTTAAATCAATCCAAATAATTTTTGCTTTATTTAAAAGCTCTGGATGTGCTGGTTATTTTTTCATAAAAAATTGTTTAGTTTTACCATCTTTCAAAAAAGTTAGGAGCCGTTAACTGCGAATAATCGTGATTTAACATACTTAGGCGGGTGTAACTTGCTAAGAAATGATCGGATCCTTTCGTGAAGTTAATAAAAAGAATAAAAACAAATGTAGATTCTAATTGATAAAGAAAATTTCTGGAAATGATCGAAATAAAAAAAGTTATGGCATAGAAAAAGGCGTTTCGATGCTAAGTCGCCGAGACTCTATTGACAAGCAAGCCTAAAGGTTTAGGTTTGTGCCGAGACTGAAAATAAATGTAAAGACAAAAGAGTCTTGATGACTTTTTGACATAATTTAAGTCAATTAATTGTTCTCATCAGGGTTGCCGCCCGAAACCCGTTACCCGAAACCCGAAAAGAAAACTGCTCCGGCTTCAACGGGTGTGCAGCTGTTTTGTTCTGTTTTTTAAACTCAACTTCGATTTATTTATTTTTTTCAGATCAAAATTAATTAGAATGGTATATTTTTAATAAAAATATTTTTAATTTAATTTTCAGCCAATTATTTCTCTCCAAATGAAGGCAAACCTTGTAAATGTTACAAACTTAAAACCTCAAAATTATGAAGAACATCGCTGGTATTTAAAGGTTTTTTGGGTGTTTTTATTATTTTAAATTTATTTTTTAGTTAAAATGTTGTGGGTGTGGGGAAAATTATGAGAGATGGCATTATGGAAATATTAAAGTTTTGTTAAAATTTAACTAAAAAGGAAGGTTAATTTTAGGAAACACATACTTTAACAAAAGGTAAAGGAATTTGTCATATTTCAATTAAATGCTCATTTTGTGGGAGAATAAATACTTTAGGTAATTTTTTAAAATTATTTTAAATTAAAAAAACTTTTTTTTAAAAGAAATTTTGCCAAGCAGTTATTTACCCTACAATAATGACAAAAATGAGCAATTTCAAGCAATTGTTAAATTTGAATGTAGAGGGTTAGAACCTATCGATTTTGATCCGCGTATTGGTTGGAGTTGTTCTAGTACTGAAAGTGATTTAAATTTTGAAGAAATTGACTTAAACACAAAAGTTTTTTTTAAATTATTTTAAGGAAATTTTAATTTTTGTAGGAATGGTTTGATTATGATGAAAAAGCTAGTCTTCCTGTAGAAATAAAAGAAATGTTTTTTAAATTTGTTGTTGTTAAAGAATAACAAAAGTTTTTTTTAAAATAATTTAATTTATTTTAAATAAAAATTATTTTTTTCTTTAAATTTATTTATTTTCTGGTTATTTCCCATTCTATAATTCGAAATAATTTTTCTTTTTAAATTAATTTCTAAATTTTTAAAAATTATAAAAGGTATGTTTGGATTAACTGAAAGGGGAAACAAAATGTTAATTCATCAAGGCTATAAATATAATAAAGAAGTTTCTCGAAAAGGGACAACTTACTGGACTTGTAAAAAATATAGAACACCCGAAAAATGTATGGGAAGAGCAAAAACAATTGGGGATGAAATAATTGAGACACAAAAACATTCTTGTGTTCCTTCACAAATTGATGTTGAAGCTACTCAAATTCGTAATAAAATTCTTCAGATAGCTGCTTGTTCTTCACATTCCCCTATGGTTATAATAAATCAGTGTCTAGCAGGTTTTTCTTTTGGAATTTTTGATAAATTTGTGTTTATTTAAATTTTAGGAGCTTCAGAAGAGGCTAAAGCAATACTTCCAAAACTTGAATCTTTGGCTACAAGTATTAGAAGAAAACGAAAATCACAAGGAATTAGTATGGAAATTAATGTTGAGGAAGAGGATTTTAATTTAGAAAAAAATAAAGAAAATATTTTGCTTGATACAGGGATTGGGGACATTAACAGAGTAATTGTTTATGGAACTAATTTAAATATTGCCCGTCTTTCAAATTGTGATACTTGGCTAGCTGAAAGTATTTTTCAAACAAATTTTGACACTTTCCCCCAACTTTGGATTATTTTTGGATTTTATAGGTAATTTTTTTGGAATTTGTTTTTTAATTAAAAAATTTAGAGAGCAATTAATTCCTTTTATTTTTTGTCTTCTTCCAAATAAAAATGAAGAAACTTATCAGGCAGCTTTATTAGCCATTCTGAATGCTGTTGGAGAAATGCGCCCAAAATTTTTTATAATAAATTTTGAAAGGGAAATTGAAAATATTATTGGAAAACTTCTTCCACAAACACAAATAAGAGGATCTTTATTTTATTTTTTAAAAGTTTTTTAATTTAAATATTTTTCTTTAATTAAATTTTCTTTTAGTTTATGTGGAAAGCAATTCAAAATAAGGGGTTGGAAATACGTTTTGAAAATGAAGAGGAGTATGCAGTGATTTTGAAGAAATTTTGTGTATTGGCATTTTGTGATGTTGAAGTAAATTTTAAATAAATGGGGAGAATTTGGAAGTGAGACTTTTAAATGAAAATTAAAAGTTTAGGGGAAATTATAGAGATAGGGGTTAAAAATTGGATTTTCTAGTTTGCGGCTAAAAGATTAAAAATTAAAAAATTAGAGGAATGATGTTTAATTAAATTTAAATAAAATATTTATATGTATATTTTTAGGATGTCCAACAAAGATTTGAGCATTTAGCAGATCAACTTCTCCTTCAATTTGGAAATGTTAAAGAACATCAAGATTTTATTGAATATTTAGAAAATAATTTAATTGGAAGGAATCGCCGGTAAATGTCCGGTTGGTGTCCTACATGTCCGCAAAGAGAATGCGCTTTTTTCCTTCCTTTTCTTGCATTTTTTTCTGCAAGGAGTGGCGCCCATTTTTCCTTTGTGTATGGTAGCATTTTGGCATGTCAAAGGAAAGAGGGAAAATAATAAAAATTAATTACTAATAGAGTACTTAATTTATGTAATACTAATAAAGTTATTATAAATAATAATGTTAGTTTGATTTACAAACAGAATTAGGTAATTCACTTTAGGTTTAGATCAGTTAGGATATCAACGCCTAACAGTAAATCATCAACAATTCTTTATGAATCCAGTCAACGGTGCAAATATACAGCAGATTGAAGCATTCTGGAACAGATTAAGATTTCGAATGGATTAAGATTCCCCCAGATATTTTAGAAATCTATTTGAGAATGTTGTCCCAAATTTTTCATCTCTGATCATTTATAAACTAATTTATTTGTACTCTATTAGTAATTAATCTGCTGTATATTTGCACCGTTGACTGGATTCATAAAGAATTGTTGATGATTTACTGTTAGGCGTTGATATCCTAACTGATCTAAACCTAAAGTGAATTACCTAATTCTGTTTGTAAATCAAACTAACATTATTATTTATAATAACTTTATTAGTATTACATAAATTAAGTACTCTATTAGTAATTAATTTTTATTATTTTCCCTCTTTCCTTTGACATGCCAAAATGCTACCATACACAAAGGAAAAATGGGCGCCACTCCTTGCAGAAAAAAATGCAAGAAAAGGAAGGAAAAAAGCGCATTCTCTTTGCGGACATGTAGGACACCAACCGGACATTTACCGGAATCGCCGTACTCCTCGTTTTCCAATAAAAATGTGGAATTGGAAAAATATAAAAGAATTTGAATTAAATGGAATAATTAATTGTTTTTGGAATAAAAATATACAAATTTTATTTGATAAAATTAAATTTAAAGATTTAAATGAAATTTTGGAAGAAATTAATGAATTTTGTGTGGGAAAAGAAGAAGAAAAAGAAGAATTAAATGAAAATAAACAAAAAAATTTAAAATTTTTGGAAATTTTAAAAGAATATAAAAATTGTGATGAATTTGATTATTTTTCTAAATGTGTTGATTTTATTAATTTTGTTTAAATTTAATAAATGATTAATTTATATTTTTACTTTAGTCATTAAAAAGAATTTTTTGTAGTTGTTAACATTCTCTCTCTTTTATTTATAAATAAATAATTATTCTTTAATCAATTTCTCAGTTTGTTATTTTTAAATAAAATTTTTAGATTAAAATGTCAGCAATTCACAACTTGCAAGAATTATTTTGATTTTTATTAATTAATTAAAGTTATTAGATAGCTTTATGAAGACTATTACCTCCAAAATTAATTGGACAGTTCAAGAAATTAAGAGAATTCAATCTTCTCTTTGTACCAACGGCAGAATACAATTAGCAAGTAATCCCTTAATTTTTGTATTTAATTTTTAATTTCTTCTCTTCATTTTTTCTTAGTGTTTTTCAGATTTTTTTTCCTTTCTCAATTTTCCTCTATTTGGCATATTCAAATAGGTGGTCTGTAAATTACCGTATTTACTCTAGTAATCCCCCAGGGGGATTATTGTTTCAACCCATCTCTAGAGTGGGGAATTAATAGAGACTGGGGATTTAATAGAGGCTGGGGGATTATTGTTTCAACCCATCCGTGGGTGGGGAATTGTTTTGAGGATTGAAAATACGCCATTAGAGTTCAGCTGCAAAGACTTCTGCTGCAAAGAAATTTCGGTTGGATAGAAAAAGCATCAGAGATTGGATTAAAAATGAAAAGAAACTGGAACAACAATAAATTCCTCGCCGAATGGACAAAAACGTAGGAGACTCGAAGGAGGTGGCCGTCACATTTTGCACCATTAACTGCGATATAGAGGGATTTGCTTGAATTAACAGAGATATAGTAGGTGAATAACACGTATAAATCGAGTGGATTATGTTGGATATCTGGAATTTTGTGATAATTTTTATTATATCGGGGAATTTGTGAGATAAAGGTTGATATCTAGGCATTTTCAGCAGGATCGACGATTTTAAGGGATTAAAAGTTATATCATAGGATTTAGTAGGATATCTGGAAGATTTCATGGATAAAGATGTCTCTCTAAACTAAGGCTTTCTCAGAAAATTTATATCTCCTCTAAAACCTCTTAATCCACATTAATCCTCACAGATCCCCAAATCTTTTAATCCATTGATATCCCTCTAAATCCGCCAATATCACCCTTAATTCCCCGATATCCCACAAGTTCCACGATATCCTCAAAATCATCACGAATTCCCAGATATTCAACATAATCCACCCAATATATCCGCCTTATTCACTCTATATCGCAGTTAATCCAATAAAATCGGCTTTTAAATACCCGCTATCTCTTTACAACCCATTTTTAGTACACTGACCGATTGTCCATTTGATTATTAATATTGTTTAATAAATGTACAGACTGGGAGATTATTGTTCCACCCCATCACTAGGGTGGGGAATTAATAAAGACTGGGGAATTATTAGAGGCTGGGGGATTATTGTTTCAACCCATCCCCAGGGTGGGGAATTAATAGAGACTGGGGAATTAATAAAGACTGGGGGATTATTAGAGTAAATACGGTATATAGTGGTTCTCCCTGCATCTATAAAGTTTCGTGTTGCGTGTAGTCCAAGATTCTCGAGATTCCTTTCGTTTTTATATTTTTTTACGTTAAATTACTTTATTGACTGAATGAATGCCATATGGAAATGAAATTGGGGAAGTAAAAAAGGAAAGGAAACTGATAATTCTTTCAGGTAATCGATTTGGCAATCCCGAATTTCCAAAAGTTGCTTGGCAATTATTTATTGAAATTATTCATTCTTCGTCCGATTATGGTCGGGGATATAGCCAAAGTTATAACAAAGGAGAAAATGATATTATTCACATCTGGCTTAGCCAAATGGGACCTAATGGATTGAATGATTTTGTGAATACTAAATACAAAATTTATGCAATTGCAGAGGATAATACAAATGTTGATATAGCCAAGTAAATAAATTAAAAATATATTTGGGAAAAGATTTTAGCCTACAAACATTTAACTGTAAAAATGAGGGCACGCGGACATATCGGGATATTTCATGTATGAACAGTTACCCTACTGATTTCAGGACCTACGGCCACTGGGTCTTGGATAGTATATTGTCCTATTAAGGAATAGAGTTTTCATGTGTTAGAACAAACGTAAACACGCAAGAAATTATTTTTCTCATCCCAATCCCGATATATATTTTTATAAGATTTTTAGCATTAGATTTTGTTGAAAGGCTTATCTGAATGTTGTTTAATTAAATTAATTTTAAGTTCTACACACAAATTTGAGAATCAAGAAAAGATGGGATATTCTAAAGTTTCTTTGAAAAAATTACTTAAAGATAACGGTAGGATGTTCAGATTTTTGAGAAAATTTTTGTTGTTTTTGATTAGAAAGAAATAATTTAGGGGCTTTGGTTTTGTGTTGTGAAGTGGAAATTGATTATTATAATCCAATTGATGATTTACAAATTAATGTTTATCGAAAAATGTTTGAACAGGAAATGTTTACTGATTGTGTTATTAAAGTTTAAATTTAAATTAATTTAAAAATAAATTTCTTAAAAAAAGATTGGGGATCAAATTATAAATACTCATCGTTGTATTTTGGCTCAAAATAGTGAAGTATTTTATAATATGTTTAAACAAAATGGAATGATTGAATCTTTAAATGTTAGGGCTTTATTATTTTTAGTAAAATTTTAAAATAAAAGAAAATTAAAAAAATAAATTTAGAGAGAAGTTTTTATTTCTGACACTTCCCCTGAATGTTTTCGTGCAATGCTTGAATTTTTTTTATACAGGGAATATTAATAAAAGTTTTTTTAAATATTTCTAATTTACAAATAAATAAAGGTTTAATGGAGAATCATGTTGATGATATTTTTGCTGTGGCAAATAAATATCAAGTGGAATTGTTGAAGCACGAATGTGAACGATTTATGTGTTCGAAAATTGGTAAAGGGGAATTTGAAAAATAAAAATTTTTTTTATTTTTAGATGCCAAAAATATTTCTAAATATTTTAATATTATTCAATTATATGGAGCTCCGACTTTGGAAAAGGTGAAGGAATTTTAAAAGTTTTTTTATTTTAAATTCTACAGTCGAATCTCGATTTTAAATAAATTCTTTTATGAATACTAATTTTAACGAAATTTTTTATAAAAATTAATGGAATTGAACAAGCAATCAATTTATATTTTTTAATCTAAAAATAACTTAATAATTCTAAAAAAATTTTTGATTGAATAATCTTTAATTAAAATACCCCCTCCCTCCCCTCGTTTTTAAATTAGATTCTTTCAACATTTAAAATCGAGATTTGACTGTCCAAAAATTATTTATAAAATTTTATTATTTTAAAGGCCTGCAAAACTTATATTCAAAACAACAAAAACTTTATAAATAGCGAAGAATGGAAGGAATTAAGTAAAACATTCCCTCAACTGGCTCTTCAATCTTTGGAATATGTTATTAATGATTCGATTAAAATTTAAATTTTTGTTTAAAAATTGAAAAAAAATCATTTTTAGAAGTAATTAAATTTTTTTCGGAATACAACAGGGCTATAAATAAATAAATATTTTTATAGCCCCCTGTTTTTTATTGTTTTAACAATTAATTACTTCAAAAATGTTTTTATAATTTATTAAATTTTAACATTTTATTTATTTTACACTTTGTTTCGAGAGAAAAAAATATTTTATCCTTTGAAAATAAAAAAAACAAAAAGAATTGTTAAACAATATTTAGGCATTAAAAATTAAATGAAAAGGCGTTTAAATAAATTAACATAATTAAGTGAAGAGTTTATTTTTAGAGAATTATACATACATTAAAGACTAGATAGACATTTCTGTCTTGAACTTAAATTTTTGTGGTAAATAAAAATTGGAAATGTTTAAAGAAAAAATAAGTAATTTAATTACTAAAAAAGGCATTTTCTATTTAATCCAAAAATTGTTGTTTTGAATATTCTCTTTTGCTTTTTTATATTTTTGTTGATTTTGTACTTCCAATTTAGGACGGTGCCAACGCCTATGAGAGGCTAAATTTGCTGGGCAACTAAATACCTAAAAAAATAAAAGGAATTAAATTTTCCTTTTGGAAAGAGCTAAATGTTTTTTTACAAAATTTTATTAGATTTTATTTTAGAATAATGTGAACAGTTAATTTGTTTTTAAAATAAGAGAAAATTGAAGAGAGAGAAAATATTTTTTTTTAATTAATTTAATAAAATTATTATTATTTTCTTTTCCATTAATTAAATTAATTAAAATTTATTTATTTCAAAAGCCAAAAATAAATTTAATAACGCCCAGCTGGAATTCTCTACTCATGCCTTTTAAAATCAGAAAAAAAGACCGAATCATTTGCCTTTTTAAATGTTTTCAAGCTGTGAGGATAAGCAAGAAATGTTTTTAAAATACTTGAAATATTCGAGATTTTTGTGTTTATTGTTTGCCTTTTTTTGAAGAATGCCGACAATAAATATACATATTTAACCTTTTTCTTTTATTTTCTGCCACCCTTTTAGTATTTTAATTTAATTACTGTATTTTTTAAGAAAATAAAAGAGAGAATAATTAATTTATTAGAGATTATGTATTTAAAGGAGATAATTTTAATTAATTAATTTACCGTATATACTCTATTAGTTACCCTGGGTAATTATTATTTAAACCTCTTCCTGGAAGGGGTAATTAACAGTATTCAACACATACATACCTTTTCACATTCTTTACATTTATATTCTTCGTGTTGAATCCGAGGGCATTTATGCATTGCTAGACGAAAAACATCTTCAAATTTAATTTTACACAAAGCACATTTAGAATCCCCAATAACATCCGGAATTAAAGCAATAGCCTTTCTAGCTCCTTCGGAAATTTTTACAAAAGAAGCCGAGTCATCCAATTGAAGTTTAGCGGCTTTTGCTGTTTTTCTAAGTTCTTCCTCGTCACAAAAATCCTTTAAAAAATAATTTTAAATATTTTGGCAATCCCGGAGAATTGGGGGTCCCTACGAATCTGAGCTCAGACTCAGACCCTACGAATCTGAGCTCAGATTTTGAAAAAGTCGAATCCCGAACCCAAATTCGGACATTTAAATTTATTTAAAAATTAAACTTCAATAAATACAAAAATATATTCCTTTTTACATCATTTCTTCTATTTTCCGGGTCCAATTCTCCGGGATTGCCAATATTTTAATTAAATTAAAAAATACTTTAATAAACATTCCAGAAACAGGAGAATCTGTCTCAATTTCTTGTCTTTTCCGTTTTCTTTTTCCTTTTAAATTTTCTTTTGGTATTAATTTATTTTTTATCAATTCTTCTTCTTCATTTTTTAATAATTTTTGTTTTTTAAATTCTTCTTTTTGTAAATTAATTATTTTGGTATTTTTAATTTCCTCCTTAAATTAATTTTTAAAATAAAATTAATTTTTCTCTTTAAATTTACTTGTTTTTTAAATAAATATTCTTTTTCTTCTTCCCTTTTTTGTAAAAAATATTTAATTGTTTCTGCTAATTGTTGTCTTTGTTGATCCAAAATTAATTGGAAATTTAAAGTTTGGATTGTTGATTGTAATAAATTAAGGGAATTTAAATATTTATTTTGTTGTTGAGAAGAAGGAGAATTAAATAATAATAAATTATTTAAGGGAGAAGGAGAGAATGATGTTGAAGAAGGTATAGAAGGTAATAATGATGAGGAAGAAGGCAACATTTTTTTATTGTTTTTAATTTTAAAAAATATCTACATAAGTGAATAGAATTATATTTTAATTGTCTTCATAAGTAGCCCACTCCCCCCTCTAAGACTCTTAATTAATTTAAAAATTTAATTGTATTTTATAAATAAATGAAAGTTTAAATGCTAAATTAACGGGAAAATGTTTTCTTAATTAAAAAAATTTTTTTGAGAATTAAAAAAAGGACTACCTAATTAAAGAAATACTTTAAAGTGCCGTTCTTCTTACTTTTCCCGCTTCATCCAAAACTACTCTGGCAGTCAGTGGCCTTTCAATGACCAAGCATGCACATTCAAAGACGAGGAAAAAAAGAGAAATTGAGGCGGTGCCAATTATGGAGGCACAACATCTGTCCTTTTCTTCTAATAATTTTTTTTATTTCTCGATGAGGTCGGGAATTTATAAAATGGAAAAATTGAAGGAATAAAGAGAATTTAAATTTATTTTTTTTAGTTTTTTAAAATTAATTAGAAGAGGAGGGGGGAGGGTATTTTAATTAAATTATTTTAATTTAAGTAAAATTAAACTTTCAATAAATACACACAAAAATATATTTTTATTTTTATTTAAAATATTTATTTAATATATTAATCCATCATTATTTAGCTTTAAAGCCGAAAAAAGGCCACAAACAATTTCTTCAGCTTGTCTGAAATAAAATATTCTTTAAAACAAATCCCGCGGAAAGGAATAAATTAAAGAAAATATTTGAAAAAAACATTTTTTAGAAATTTTTATTCCAAACACTTTACTAAATTTAAATTTTTTTAAATTAAATTTAAATATTTTTTAAATATTTTCTTCCAAAAAATATTATTTAAAATAAAATTATTATTTTTAAAAGCTAATTAACAAACAAACAAAAATAAAATGCCGAAAATGCAAATTAGAAAAATGGAAGAGTTAAAATGAAAATGAAATGACAATGAAAAATAGATTTGTTTTTGTTTTGAATAAATAAATATATTTTTGTTTTTATTGAAAAGCAAATTTAGTAGGTAGGTATATTGGTATATATTTAACAATTCTATAAAAGCTAACATTTTGGCACAAAAATGAAAATCAAAATTTCATGGAAATTATTTTTATTTTGGATATTGTTTTGTTTTTAATTACTTTCCACCACATAACTCAAAAATCTAAAAAAAAGAGTTAAAATGGATGTTAATAAGTTATGTTAAAAAATTTTATGCTAAAATTATTAAAAAACATTTTTATCATTAGATATGTGAAGATAAATGTAAGACATAATACAAAAATACAATATTAACTTTCACTTCTCCATATTTTATGCTAAAATTAAAAATTTTATGTTAAAAAATTTAAAAAATTTTATTTGGTCATTTCATTGGATAATTCCTTCCATAAATTTTTAAAAAATAATTTCAGAAAAAATTAAAAATAATTTGTTTAAATATCAAAACTTTTAATTATTGGCTGCCTAATTAAAAATAAATAAATTTAGTAAAAACAAACATCTGCTCCTCCCCTTCTTTCTAAAAATTTTCTTTAAATTCTTATCCTTTCTTAAGAGTAATTTTTTGTATTTATTAACTACTTAACCGGCAATTGGATGAATTGCGCCATATACTTACTACCTATAAAAATGAATGAAAGAAAAGAAGATATTTATATACATATACTGTAATCTTTTGAATTTTGATAGAAGAGTGAAGAAACTTTTTTTTCTAAAAATTAGAAAATAATTATTAAATTTATTTATCAATTTTTTCTGTCAATTTTACGACAAATAATTGACTTTTACAGTTTATTCTGGAATTTTAGATCAGTTTTCTGCAGCAATGATTACAAAAAGAAATTGGATTTAAATTTCAGAAAATATTGCTAGTAGGGGGAGATAAACTAGGATCTACGGAAATCATTCAAGGTGTTTTGAAGCATTGGGTCCGAGGAAACTTTTAGCATAGGGACGGAATTAACCCTGCTCAAAAAAAAAAAGTGAAAGTTTGATGCGCAGCCAATTTACCCTGTTTTAATTCGACTCAAATATGGCCATCGTACTCACCGGATTTGAATTCGATGTTTACTCTTCTTGGTCTATTTTGGAAGCAAGGGTCTGCACTTAATAACCCAAAAGTTAGGTGTCGCTACGATAACCACTTTTCGTGACTGAGAGAAAATCTCACCCGAGAAGGTGAGATTTTTACACGCGTCTTCAATAGCGTACAAAATAATTACTTTTCAAATACATAAATAAGCTAAAATATATAAATCCTTCTGGCCTCAAAATTTATTTAAAAATATCCATCTGCTGATGACAAGAATGCCAAAAAATATTAAAATATAAATATTAGTCTGTCATCCAAAAATGTTTAACCGTTCCCGCCATTTCTGACCACTTTTGCATTTTCTATTTCCGGACATTATTTTCTAAATATATTTTTTAAAAACATTCCAAATATATAAATTGTTTATTTGCGCAGAAAATTCGCTCGTTCCCGTTTTTAATTTTTCTATGGCCAGTAAAAATAAATAAACGAGAGAAGGATATAGAAGGGCAGATGTTCGTTTATATTTGGATGGAATTAAAAAAATAGAGGAGGGCAGGTGAGAGGCAAGAATTTTGGAGAAGGGGGGAGAGGGAGGGGGAAGGGGGTATTTTCTCATTCTTTTTTTCTCCAGAAGAGATTGTTGTGGTGGTGACCGGTCATCTAGTTTTGCACAAAAAGTATTTAAAAATTCCAAAATGTCCTAGCTATAGTACTCTATATATATTCATGGCCAATCTAAAAGAAATTTTGGAGGAAAAGAATTTTTTAATTTGGAGAGGTTTTGTGTAAATCCCCATCTATTGACTATGCAAAATAAAATTTTGTGTAGGGTTTTATGAATGAATATAGTAATTTTTGACTAAAAATTAAAAAAGAAATGAACAAAAATTAAAGAAAAGTTTATAATTTAATTAAAAATTATTTTTCATTCGAAATTTATCCAAAAATTATTAAAGAAGTAATAAAATGAAAAAATAAATGTTCATTCTTTAAAATTTATTTTATTTAATAATTAATTTTAATAATTTTTGTTCTTCCGCCCAATTATTCATTTAAATTTTTCCCATCAAAAACTTTATTTTGTGTACCTATTTAAAGTTTTTTTTCATAAATTTAGCTGACAGATGTTGATTGTTTTCTTTACTTTATTTTCAATCCAAATACCCCCAATTACAACCCTCGCGCAACAAAAAATAATAAATTTTATTTTTAACATTTATCCAAATATTTGCAACGGTTATTTGTTAATGTGGCACATGCCAATGAAGGAAGATATAGAAGAAAACAATAATTTTGGGGAAAGAAAACACGCGCACATCTGCCACTTTTCTTTCCCCCCCCCCCCCCCCTATAAACTCGTCATGTTTTATGTTCACCCTCCTCCCTTCACCCTCCCCTCCCTCCCTTCATTCATTTCCTCTTTTTCAAAAAGTAAAATACTATCCATCTAGTACTTGTTGAATTGAAAAAAAGTCAGCGGCGCTCCGACACGGGCACAGTGATCCATTTGCACAGTAAGACAATTGCACATTGGGCATCTGCACAGTGGACAATTGCACAGTAATTTGTGGTTAAGTGCATTTGTGTTAGACTTTCTGATAAGTTTTTTAATAATAAAATGGTTTTTCTTAAACAAAAACAATTTTCCCTGTTCTATAAGCAATTTTTCCCGTTGTTGGAAAAGTTGTTCGCGGGAGACGAAAACTTGCAGAGATATAGGCTCCCGAAAATCGAAAAACAATAGAGTAAACCAAGCGGTTTTTTGGGGTAAAAAATTCGAAGATGCAAATTATAGCTCATTCGAAAGAGCTTTTTGAGTTGAGTCGGCTGACACCAGAATCATCTTGATTGGATGATTCTGAACGAAGTTATGACCTATAGGTGAATAAGCCTTGCGTTTATTTGTAGTGTTTCGCGACTAAACAGGCGTTTTGCGAATAAATGGGTAGGTCGTTTTGCGAATAAACAAGACTTTACTGTGCAATTGTCCACTGTGTAATTGTCCTCTGTGCAAAAGTCTTACTGTGCAAATGGATCACTGTGCCCAAGTCGTGTCACCAAGTCAGCTGCCCCATTCATTCTTTCTTCTGTTTTCTGTCCATTCTTTTCCACAGGCACGAACACTCTCTAAATAATGGCCTAATTGCCTGGTCAAGCGCAGAGTTCAACAAATAACTAAAAATAGTTAAAGCTTGTTGATGCTAAAATTAATGGATGGATGGATAAGCCTTAAAAAGAAAATAATTCTAGACTTTTGGACAAACAAGATTAGATATTGAATTTTTAAAAATTAAGTATATACTATTTATTGGGAATATTTTTGTTTAAATTTTAAATTTAAAAGTTCAAAATTACTATTATAATACACAAGTAGACTTGCTTTAGAAAAGCTATTTTTTAAATTTATTTCTTTTTTAAAAAAATATTTAATGTTTAATAAAAGTTAAAAACAATTAGGTACATACATACATAAAAATAAAAAACAATTAAAAATTTAATTTTTCTTTAATTTTTCGAAATAAAAATTTTATTAAAATTTAAAAACAATTTAAATTTTTATTTATTTTCTAAATATTTTTTTAAATTTTTTTTTCAAATTTTATTTCGTTTATTTCTTTAAACAAAAAAAAGATGAATCGTCTTCTTCCTCCATTCAACGTTAAAAAAAGAACAAAACATCATTGTAAAAGAAAAACTGTCGAGAATACCATCGATGAGTCTCTGGGGGATTGAAAGGAAAAACTTTAAAATGAAAGGGAAAGGAAAGAAATATTTGGGGTGTTTTTGCACTTTTTTTGATTTTTTGGTGTTTATAAATAATTTTTTGGTTTTTAAATACTAAAAATTTCTTTTTAAAGATTTTATTGTTTTTAAAGTTTAAAATTTAAATTAAATTAAATAATGATCGAGGCGGCAGCACAAAGCTTTATGGCAGCTAGAAATAGGTATCGAGAAAAGTAAGTTTATCTTTTAATTTAAATTTTATCCGAATTAATTTCATTAAAATCTCCTCGATGCTAAAAACAAAATAATTTTTATCCTTTATTAAACAAATTTGGAAAAAGAGGCCCTATCTGAAATAAGGGAGTCTAATCATTCATTACTAATTTTCCCTTCCTTAGTATGTAAATAATGGCCGAATTTTCCCCGAATTTTCATGTTTTGGTCAGATTATATATCATTCGACAGTGCTCCACGAGCTGCGTCGAATGACACCAAAATCTACTAGATAGGATGATTCTGAACAAAGTTATGACCAATTAAAGTTTCACTGACACGGAGGCTAGATTGGTCTTCGCTACACGATGGCCGTGCTTCGCTACAGTAGCCGCTCAATTGACACACAAGGGAACATATCGAACTGTCACCAAAAATTTCTTAAATATTTTTACACCATCGTGTAGAGCATGGTCGAAAGCTTACTGTAGTATCCGGCTTTTTTGGCTCCGACCCCCATTTCGAAAAGTTATAGGGGTTCAAAGTTTCCTACTTTTGGAACGGTTGACAATCAGCTCGACGAGCTCTTTCGAATAAGCTAACATTTGCATAATCGAATCTTTTACCCCAAAAATAAGTTTGGTCATGGTTTTTCAGTTTTCAGGAGCCTGTATCTCAGCCAAAAATTGTTTCCGAGGACTAATTTTGCTGTCATTCGACTCAGCTCGCGGAGCTCTTTCGATTGACATATAAATTGCCCTAATCTAAAATCGCCTGGTAAAGTACACTTTAGCAATAACTGAATGGTCTGCCTTACATAGAATTCAGTTTTTATCCTTCCGCCTTTCCTCCTTTTAAAATTCGGGAGGATACCCGAAAATAACTTTAATTAAATTTCAATAAATTAACTATTTTTATTTAAAAAAAAAGAAAAAGACTAAGTAGAAGTGTAAGTGGAAAAAGTCTTGATAGACAGTCAATTGCTTCATTAGATTTATCTTCTGATCTACCTTCAAGACGTATTTGTTCAAAACATTCTGGCAGAGAACTTCAATTAGATGATAATGAATGTGAACAGTTAAATATATATTTAAATTTTAAAATAAAAAAAATTTTTTAAAGATTAAGTAATTCTTTTGCTTCTTTACCTAATAAATATGATCATTTTGAGGTTATTTTGGGGTAATGTCTTTAAATATATTTTTATTTTTAAGAAAATGTTTTTGCGTCTTTTTTTGGTTTGTTCCCTTTAAAATTCTCTTTAAAATTAAATTACTCTTTAAAAAAAGCATATAGATTTAAATATTCCGATTGTTTTTGGAATGTCTGGAATACCCGAAGCTGAATTAAGAAGAAAAACGCCTTTCAGAACACATGTCTGTAAATTTCAACGTTTTTTGACAACAGTAATGGACCTATTACCTGTTTAGTTATTTTCTTATTTAAATTATGTAGATTATATTAATTTAGAAACATGGAAGGGAAGAGGAACTTGTACAAATTATTAGAATGGTTGGAAGGCAACATTGTCAAGTAAAACAACTTTCATTTACAGCAGCTAGATGGTTATCATTTAAACAATCAATGATTGAAACATTTGCTAATCAAAAAAATGGAAAATTAAAAACCCAATGGTCTTTACTAATTTCCTTTTTAATTTACGAAATTAAAGATGCTTATTTGGCACATGTAAACATTAATTTAAAATATTTTAATTTCAAATTAAAATTAAAAAACTAAAGATTCGAACACTTCGCTCAAGTTCTCTTCCACAAATTGTAGAAACAAATAAACTTGAATTTAGACGGAAAAAGAGTCAAACACAATCACCTCAACAACAAAAACAAATTGAAATGAAACAGAAAAAAACAAAATAAATTAATTATAATTAATTGCCTTTTTAAAATAATTTATTTATTATTATCAAAATAAATTTAATTTTAATTATTTTATTAAAAATAAATTTTTCTTTAATTTCTAAGAATTCTTTCCTTTTTATTTTCGTCATTTTCCACCTCTAAAAAATTAAAAATAAATATATTTATTTTAATTATTTAACAAACAATGATTGAAGAAGTCCGCCTAATTGACTTGGATCAAAACGAATACCTTGTTGAGTATTTCCTTCACCTCCCCCACCGCCTCCTCCCCCTCCATTATTCCCTCTTTCTCTAACTTCTCTTATTGTATTAGTTATTAAACGAATAAATTGACCTAACAAAAAAATTTTCTAAAAATTTTTCTTCAAAATTAATTTTCTAACCAGCCTGTCCAAAAGGGGTTTCGATTCCTCTATTTCCCGTCTGTATAGTAGGGGGTGGAGGAGGTTGTCCTCTAAAATTATTCCCCAAATGGTTTTCTGTCGGTATTGGTAGAGGACGAATGTTTTCTTCGTTTGGTAGAGGTTTTTGTTGTTGGGATATTGTAGCCGGTGATTCTTTTAAAATAAAAAAATCAAAATTTTAGATAAAATATTTATTCTTTATCGTTCTCATAAAGGCAGGGAATGTATCGATAATGTCACCGGGAAGGATCAAACCTGCGACCTCCTAGTAGTTATTGCTAGGCGCTTTAGCTCACCATATACAGGAGCTCCAACACTGAGCTACCGGGGCATCGACTAACACTTTCTCTTTTTCCTTTTAGATTGTTTAACCCCCACCTAAGCATTTTAAATGCTCCAGGTGAATCATCCTTACACTTTCTTAACTTTACAATTAAAAAGAAAATCCAAAAACATTTCCTCTGTAATTAATTTAATTTTATACAAAAAATCAACACCTTTAATGCAATATTGAACAGCTTTTATGCATTCATTAAATGTATCAAAAAGATTATCAGAGTTAATATTGTTGCCTTCTTTTCGACAACCAGGAAACCAAAACTGGAAGTTTTGTTGAAAGTAAAATTAAAAATTCTTTCTTGTTTACCTGATCACAAGTGCGTGTTTCTCTATTAAAGGCAAACTTTAAACGAAATCCACAAAAACGTCCTTCAGCTGGTAATTGATCACAAATTGTTAACTGATTGGAAATAATTGGTTGAGGTAAAGGGGGTTTTGGACCTTTTTCTTAATCTTATAATTTATTTTTCTTTTTTTGTATTTTACTTGCCTTTTGGAGGGATTTGGACTTGGGGTGGTTTTATTGAAGTTATTTGTTGATTAGTATTAGGTTGGGGGATTGGAAGGGTTGTTGAAAGAGAAGAGGTACTAGTAGTTGTTGTATTCGGTGTTTTTGGTGTTTCTAAAGGTTTCCCTTCATTTGCAGCAATCAAACATTTTTCTGGCAATTCCCGACAATTATTTGCAGCTTCATTTTGATATTGGTTGGAAGGACGCATACAAAGTTGGTAAGGGAAATTACATTTAAAAGGGTGACATTCAATTGTTGAAACAGCCAAAAAAGAGCTATCAGAAATAAATACTTCACCTTTTTTGGAAAAAATATGTAATTTTAAGGAAAGAATATTTACTTACATTCTGGTGTTTCAAATAATTTTTCTAAAAAAGGATCCAAATTTTGAGGTAATCCTTTTATTAAATTTGTTAAAAATAATAATTTAATTAATATTTTATTATTCCAAAAATTAATTAACATTATTTTTTAAATATTTTATTTAAAATAAGACAAAAACATTATTGTGCCGATATTTAATGACCATCGATCAGTCAATATCCGCCGACGGCCACCACCTCTCCTCCTAGTCTTTGAAGATGTGCAAATCACTGCTACATAATAAATCGATTTTCTTATTAAAATTTTTCTGTTAATAGAAAACTTGTTTTTTCTTTCAGCTTTATTTAGAAAATTGAAGAGATTTAATTAATTATTAAATTATCCATCCATTTATTTACACAATAAATTTAAAAAAAGAAAATTCAAAAATTTTAAATTTGCGCGTTTTCGTTTCGATAAATTGTAGTTTTAATAAATAAAATAAGACAGAGAAACGACAAAAAATAATTTTCTAATTATTTTCATTTTATTAATTTTGTTAATAATTTAAATTTTAATTCTTTTTTTTAGTTTATTTTATTTTTAAAAAAAATTAAAAAATGGAGCATGTTCAAGCTGTTATTGATCCTGGAAAGAAATTTGCAAAAGATTCAATTCGACTAGTTAAAAAATGCACAAAACCGGATCGAAAAGGTTTTTTCCTTCTTTTCTTTTAAAAATAATTTTAAAAATTTATTTTTAGAATATCAAAAAATTGCATTTGCTACAGCAATTGGGTTTGCAATTATGGGATTTATTGGTTTTTTTGTAAAACTTATCCATATTCCAATCAATAATATTATTGTTGGGGGAGGCTAATTTTGTGACAAGAAAATGAAGGAAGAACTTTTAAAAAGAGATTTTTCTTTTATTTTTTTCTCGATTTGTGGTGACTTTTCTCTAAAATTTAAATTTTTTTGGTTGTCTTTTTTAAAAAAGTAAAAATCTTTAAAAAGTTTATTTTTTGCTATTTAAATTAGCAATTTTAATGCGAAATTTTAAGGATAAATGAATGGTAAAAATTGTAATCTTGAGGAGGACGAGGGGAGTGCTTTTATATTTTTGTGTATTTCTGGCAAAAGAAAATCGGGAAAAGGTATTTAATTATATATTTTTTTTGGGGGGGGGGGGGGGGGGTTATTTTTAAAAACGGGGAAAGGAAAGGTTTGGTGATCAGAATTTGAGACGTTTAGAATAAAATAAAGCACGACTAAAAGGTGGCAAGTATTTTTTCCGGATTCCTGCCGAGGATAAACTACATATACAAAATCGTTCCCTAGATACGCCCTTGACTAAATGTTCTTTTTAAATATTTTTAAACTTTATAATAAAAAATTTTAATTTTTGGATTATATAACTCATCAATTGGTTAATTTAATCAACAAACATTTCCCTTCAATAATTACTTCAATTTGTACATTAAGCGAGCCTTTAAAGAAAGAATTTGCTAAAATTAATAATTTAAATTTTAATGATTTAATGAGTGATGGAAAAGCTAAAGAATTGGTTAGGAAAGAAATGATTGAATTTGGAGAAAAATTGAGAAAAGAAGATTTTGGAATATTTTGTAGGTAAATTAATTGAAAGTTGAGGAGTATATTTTTTTAGAAAAGCTTTTATTGAAAGAAAAATTCAAAATTTACCTCCTCCACCACCAACAACAACAAATCCTTCAACAACAACAAATAAATTTAAAGAAATTATTTTAATTTCTGATTGTCGTAGACCTACAGATTTGGAATTTTTTAAAAATAAATTTAAAAACTCCTCAATTATTTCCGTCAGAATTAATTCAAAAATAGAAATTCGACAAAAGAGAGGATTTGTATTTATTGAAGGAATTGATAATGAAGAATCTGAATGTGCTTTAGATGAATATAAAAATTGGGATTTTAATTTATTTAATAATGAAGATGGAGAAGAGAGAGAAGAAGTCGAAAAAGAATTAAAAAATATAATTTTTTATTTAAAACAATTAATTAATTGAATTAAATGCTGCATCTCTAATTCGTCTATATGTTCCATTTAATTCTCCCATCCCCGTTTTTAGTCCATTAGTTACATAAGCAATTACTAATTGATCATCTGGTGATACCATTACTGAAGTCCCGCCAAAACCAGGATGTCCAAATAACCATTTATCCTTAAAAGGGGGGCATTCAAACACTAAAAATTATTTTTTCTACTTTTTTGCGAGGGTGCCTTTCGTACATAAAGCCATTTCCTTTATTCACTGGCACCATTAACACAAAATCACGGTGGTTTATCATCTGTGGACGACTGATGTATTCAAGTGTTTTGCGTGACAAAAACTCGCCAGAAAGCAACTTTGCAAAGATACATGCAAGGTCCTTCGCCTTCCCTATTCCCAAAGCGCCGGCTTGTTCAATAGGAAAAATCTCCGGATTATTTAATGTACATATTTTCTTAACAAAATAATACAAAAATATATGTAATTAATCTATTTTTAATACCGAATTAAGATTAATCCATTCAGGATTTCTAGCCATACGTGAGCGTAAAGAGTTTTTACTCCTAATATGTAAAATTCCTAGAAAAGCCAAAGTTCGTGGATCATAAAAGACTTCTCGAATTATGTACATCCAATTAGGCATTGAGATGCCTGATGTGAGAGAATGTTTAATATTTTGATTAATTTTACTCACGAGAGACAGTGTAAGATTCTGTTAGTGGAAGACCCAAATGAAAGTCAATATCTGAAATGACAATATTTAAATATTTTTTGACTCCCACCATGCTTTTGAGTTATCTCCTCGCGTACAAACTCAGCCATGCTTCGCCCTTTTGAATCAATCCTCCTTACTGTTATTTGGAATTAAAATAGTTTTACTGAAATTACCCAATTGGTCAGTTAACCAACCAAAAGAAACAGCGTGATATCCACTTTTTGTGCCCGGTTCCCAATTAGGTTTTTGATGTTCAAGTATTTCTGAAATTCTCTTTGGATTAGATAAAGCATCTTCAATAAGAATTGGTGTATCAATAGCTGCCAATCCCGCCTTATGGTTAAGTATATCTTCTATAGTTACACTCTCCTTTCCATTTATCGCAAATTCAGGCCAGAATTTGCTAACAGCATCAGAATAAGCTAAAGAATTTCTTTCAACGAGCATGTGAACTGCGAGAGCTGCAACAGCCTGTATCAGAAAAATTTAATATTTAAATTATAAGAATATAGTATAATTTTCCATTTGTTTACATTCCTTTACACGACTAGAATAATTATTTATTCAATTGCCCTTTTATTTCATTCAACCGGAATACAAAATATATTAGGAAACTAACAAAGGAAAATAGTTTTTAAAACGTGCCTTTGAAGCTGAAAATAAAACAGTCCGCGTATTCTCCTTCCATTTAGCTTTAGAGGATTTATCCGCAAATCCTCCATATAGATCAACAACCAGTTGTCCTTGCCAGAAGATGGCAACTGAGGCACCTTCTTGTTCCCAACCATCTGAGAAATTTTTTCTATAATAAATTAAAACTAAAAAATATATTAATTCAGTGGGTATTTGCCTGAATACTTTTTCTACTTGGGCAAATTTTGGAGAGCAATGGCCAAACACATTCATCGAATTTTTAATAAAATTGGACAAAAGTAATTTATTTTCTCAACATTTTACATTATTAGGGAGGGAAAGGTTAAAAATACTTTTGATTATAGGCCAATTGTGGTGATAAACCTGTTTTCCGTCAAATGTGGATTTACTTTCTAAAAATAAATGGAACTGCAGCTAGGTAAAATATAGAATTTGCAAACAAAAAATATATTTATTTTTATTGTTTTGAAGGCATAAAATTAATAATGATTAAAATTTACATTAGAAAATAAAGATAGAGATTATTAAAATCTGGGCTTGGATTTTGGGTTATTTCGTTGACATGGGCTGGACTCTGAGCCCTGGACACAGAAAAAAATTCGGGGCAGGCCCAACCCTATTAACATTTAATTTTATAATAAAGCTTTGTAGAAAAGAAAAAGAAAATTTTCCATTAAGAATATTTTTAAATATTTATATTAAGAAAAATATGAGCAGATACAGAATTTAATTTCACATAGAGATGATCATCCAACTAAATTATTTTTTTAAACCCCAAACAAAAGAAATATTTATATTTTTTATTCTAATTTTTACTTCTTTAAAATTATTTTCGGCGTTGTCCTCCTCCCATAATCATTGCCATACGCATGAATATATTTAGAATGTCCATATAGATGGAGAGTTGACTTTTAAATATTTTTAATTAAATAATTTTAAATTAATTTCTACCTATTTATCGGATCATATTTACGAACCATCCCATTATCAAAACGGTCATTTCCCATGAATCGACCACCAACTGGATAGACCGACTGCGAACTAGCCATTTTAATTACACGTTGAGTATCATGCAAAAGAAAAGCCGAAAACAAAATTAATCCTCCATAAACAACAATCGAAGCAAGTCCTTTAAGGAAAGAGAATTTTTTTATAAAAAAAACAAAAAAAAAAATAACCAGCTCCCAATGCAGTGTTTGGTGGAAAAGCAAACGATCCCAAACACGCAACAAATACAACTCCTAATCCCATAGCCAAAGGGCCAGCCATATTCAGAAATTTCTCAGACGGGGCACACATTGCTGTAACAGAAAGGCCTAAAAATGATTTAAAATATTTCAAATTAATTTTGTTAAAATTAAAAACCTCCAACAATCGCAGCTGTGTACCAAGCTGCACGAATTAAGGCAGGACCTCCCAAATAACACAATGGGGCAATTACTGCACCCAAAACAGCACAATGTGTTGCCCAAGCCAACTAAAGAATTATTTAAATATTTTATTTTTAAAAATTTACATGTTTTGGCAAAGTATTCGAATAATCAATCTTTTGCACAATCAATCCAGTCGCCACAATTGCAGCTAAAGAGCCTAACCAAACCTAAATATAATTTAAATATAAATTTTAGAAAATTCAAAACAAATAAAGAAGGGCCACTAGTCAACGCCAAAATTGCTGGACTACGTGCCGCTGTAATACCAGCACAAGCAGTAATTGTTAAACTTCCGGCCAAATAAGCGTAGGTTGTATGTAGACGTTCACGAACATAATCAGGCCAAAGACTTTTTAAAAATATAAACAAAATATATTTTTAAAAGAAATTTACACAGAACGGGCCACAGCACTTTCAGCACTCATTGTCAGTCCATAATAACAAAGCATTCCAATACCAAAAGCAGAAGCACTAGCTATTGCATATGTTCCGTAAATGAATGCTTTAAAAAAGAAACTAAAGGAGAGAATCAAAAAATATTTACGTTTTCCAGTAGTTGGACCAAGCAAACGTTCACGAATTGATGGAACAGCTTGTCGAGCAGCGAATGCCTCCTTAAATGTTGCTGTCTGTAAAATAAAAATTGTAAAATTTTTAAAAATTAAAAAAAACTGACAAATTGGCCAAAAGGAGAAGCAGATCCACCCCTGCGGAAGGCAGAACGTGCATTCTGAAGTGATGACAAAGTCAATTGACGAAGAGATTGAAGATTTTGTGGCTGGATTAGTAAGCGTGAAAGCATTTTACGAGTTTTACTAAATTAAAATAAACATGTAGTAATTAAATATTTTTAAAAATGGAAAATGAACGAAATTTCGAAAAAAGAATATTGCGAAAGAAAGTGAAGAAATCAGTAAAATATGTACAAATGTCAACAAAAGTTAAAGTAGTTTAAGAAGCTCATTCTAGAAAAGTCGAGACACGCCCAAGTAGGCGCACGGCTATAACGGCGCAAAGCTATAACTTGCTGGAAAATTTGTGGCCATTAAAATTTTGGTACCAATCTCTTTAACTCGATGAGAGGAATCGTTTAATACTAAATTTGGTAAGATTTGGAAATCTTGAAGCAGGTTATGGCTTTGCGCCGTTATGGCCGCGCGCCTAATTGGGCTGTACCCAGAAAAGTCGGGTTGGAGTCGTTTTGGCGCAGTATTAGTGCGCAGAGACGCGGCATTGGAGGACTACATACTTAATATTTCAAGCGGTGGAAAAAGTCTTGATTCAGGCGTTGTTAATTTAAACTTGAGCTACATATAAGTCAAGATTCTTGAACCAATTATTTTTTTCCTTTTTCCGATATGTACCAGAATCCCACTTTTGAGATTTGTAAAAATATTAAAAATATTAAATATATTTATTTTTGACTGTAAGTATCCCTCATGATTTGTTTTTATACAAACTTTATAAAGTAGGTGTTAAGGGTAAATAGGTGTTGAATTAAGGAATTTAAAAGAAAACAAAATATTGTTTATCTTACCAACTTTAGGTTCTGTACTTGGACTTTAGTACATATTTTTTATTTATATCCAAAAATCATATGACCTATTAATTAATCCATAGCTAATTAAATCAAGCTGGTAAAAATAGCCAGATGCACCGATAAAAAATTGAAAATACCCCCCCCCCCTCCCTACTAAAAAATAAGGAATTTACCTGGGACCAAAAATAAAATGGAACTTATTTACTTTAACTACCCACCCCAAAATTTTAGCGGGGGATTTTTCAATTAGATTTAGACAATATATACATACTTGTGTGGAAATAGAAAGACCTTGTAAAACGTTTATTTGCAAAAAATAATCATTAATTTTTTTTAAAAATTTAAATAAATACAGTGCCGGAAAGAAGATCGCCAAGGAATAAAAAATCGCCAATTAGTCTCTATTTTTCCTTTTATTAGAGATTGTGCTTCAATTAGAGAGCATTTACTGTAATTTATTGACACAATTCTTTAAAAAATCTCAGTATGTCAATCGAAAGAGCTCGACGAGCTGAGTCGAATGGCAACAAAATCAGCTTGGTTTGATAATTTTGATTAAAATTACAAGGAACTAAATTTTCGCTGGAATAACTGCTTTTGTGCGGCTAGGGAGGTAGATCCAAATTTCAAAGCTGAAAATCGTAAAAAAGGTGTAGGTTTATGTTACTAATGTAGAACTCAGCGACCTTTAGCTCCCCACGAAACGCGTGCCGTGAAACCCTCGTGAAACGCAGGTTTTACACAAGGTTTTCTCTGACCATTTTGAGCCTATTTGTTTCAGCTCAGACTTGAGACCGCGGGCTGATTTTGTTTCTTTCGATCCAGCTCGGCGAGCTCTTTCGAATGATATAAATTGTTCATATACAAAATATATCCGGCAAAATTTCGGGGTGGGTAGTTAAAGTAAATAAGTTCCAATAAAATTGCTATAAAACCAATTTTTAAATTAAATTTAAAAGACTTTTTTAACAAAACAATTAATTAAATTAAAATATTTTAACGAGATTTTCAATTATTTATTTATTTAAATAAAAAAAACTATTAAAAAATAAATTTATTTTCTTGTAAAACACAATTTATATTTATCAAAAACTCCATAAATTAACGGATTAACTATCGGGTTAACAACAATTAAACCATTTAAAAAAGGTAAAGTAATTGTTGATATTTGTCTAATTGTTCCATCCTTTTGTGCCCAAGCATTGCAAATAGCTAGTAAATTATAGGGAGACCAAAAAGTTAAATAAGCTGCCAAAATTAGAGCTGCCTGACGTTTTGCATTCTTTTAAATAAATTAATTAAAATTAATTTTGTAAATTAAATTTTAATAGTTCGGGGTGAAGTTAATTAAAAACAAAAATTTTAGAAATGGAGTTTTACTTGAAATAATTTTTATTTATTTTAATCCCTCCTTTTTACTTAAAATTTTTGCAAAAATTGTTTTTTGAATAAATGACGTGATAAAAAACCAAAAATTAAATGTCTATTAAATATTTGGTTGGATGCGCATATTATTTGAAATTTCTCTTGGGAAATTTATTTACTTACATCCATTTAGAAAATTAAATAAATAAAAAAATATTTTGACGGTTGTTTAAATGTTTGTAATAAAAAAAATAATTTTTTTTAATATTTACTTGTCTAGCTTTGGCAATAGTTAAAGGAGCAATTAAACCAATTCTTGTATTATTACTATTAATTGTTTCACATTTAGATAAAGAATTATTGTTATTATTATTATCCCAATCATTTATTTCTTTTTTATTTTCTTTTAAAGAAATTAATTTAATATTTTCTTTTTTATTTAATAAATAATTATTGGTATTTTCTTTGTCTTTTTGTTGTTGATTATTTAAAAGATTTTTTGTTGTTACTTTAAAATTAAAAATTAATTTTTAATTTAAATATTTAAATTTATACTTATTTTTTCTGGAACAACAGAAAGTGAATTTAAAGTAATTAATATTGCTGTATATGAAGCTGCAATTAATAAAGAAGGAATCCAAAAAAGAAATAATAAATGTGCCATATTATAAAAACGTTCCCAAGCAACAACTTGAGAAAATTTTTGAAATATTTTTAATTTCCCCTCAATATCAGATTCATTTAATGTCCCCATTTTTAAATCTAATTCGTAACCAATAATTGTCCAAATTGGTGTACATTGTCTTGAAAAATATAAATTTATTTCCTTTTTACAAAAGAATCAAGGATTTTTCGGTTCCGGATATAGTAAAGCAGCTTGGCTATAGCTATTTATCTCCTTCAACTAGTACAAAAAGGTATTCGTCGACTGGGAACGAAGCATCTTCAGTAGACCGGACTGATTTTATCTATTACACCACGCCGCCTACTGCACAGTTTTAGCAAATAAATAGCTATGTATATGTATGCTTTACAATATTTAAAGATTTTCCAGAAAAACTGACAGTCCTTGACAGTTATTTAAATTCTTTAAATTTTTTTATTTAAAAAGCACTTACTTAAAATTTTTAAGTTCCAAAGGTTCAAAAACTCTAAAAATAAAAAATTGTGGAATACTAAGTAAAGTAGCCCAAATCCAAGCAAAAATTAACATTTTTTTAATTCTTTTTTGTGCAACATTAGAAGCAATTGGGGAATTTAAATTTCTTGTTCCAAAAAATCTGTCAATAGCAAAACAGGCAACAATAAAAGAATTTAAATAAAAAGAAAATGTGTGGAAGAATTTAATAATTCTACAGAGAAAATCTCCAAAATGCCATTGAAAGGTAATCATCCAAATAATTTGTGAAAGTGTGTAGACAAACATTGTAATTAAATCAGCAATATTTAAATTTAATTTGAGCAAAAGAAGTTGGGAACCAAATTGTTGTTGACGGATAGGGCGTCTAATTTGTGAAATAAGACGGCGAAATGAAAATAAATTTAATGGGCCGCCAATACATAGGCACAATGAATACATGAGAATTTCAACCTTTTTTTGAAAATAATTAATTATTTTTTAATAAATTAAAGTCGGGGATCTTTTTATTAAAATGACATCACTTGGGTAAAAAAAGAAAGGGAGAGAAAGTGATGTCCTTTCCAAGGAAATATTGAGCTTACTTTGTTCTACTATTACATCTCCGTTCACAATATCTCATTTACTAGCTTATTTTCCCTCCAACTTAAATGTTTATTTAAATGATTGCAGTTATAAACGGTTCAGTTCATTCAATTTATACTTATTGTCCACATTTCCTAGTTTATGAATAAAGATTTGTGTTTCGATTTAAGGAAGCTTCTAAGGGACTTGATCAACACCGAAAGTCTTCTAAGAATGCCCCGATCACATCCTCTCCCCTTGTATCCTATAATATCAGGAAAGGGCCCACCGCTTCGGCGCATAGTTAATAGGGAAAGGGGATTCTATTTTACTTCATATGTATAACGGAAATAAAAAATTTCATCTGAGGCCCGACTTTAAATTTTGTTTAAAAATTCAAAAAAAAAACAATTTCGGCAGTTGAGCGTTGAATAACATGTTGGGATGGTGGATTATCTAAATTATTATTAGATGAAGGTGTTGGCAAGAATGGAGAAGGAGAGGAAGAAGAAATAAATAATAATGAAGAAGAGGAATAATTAGTTGAATTTATTAATATATTTGGTGACATTTTTTAAATAAAATTATTTAATTAATTAACCTTTTAAAAAATAAAAAGTTTTGGAAATTTTATTTTTAATTAAAGTATTCTACAATTTTAGTTTAAAATTCTAAATATTATTTCTCTTTCAGCTACTAAAAATTAATTTTTATTTATTAACATTTTTTTAACAACGAACAAAATACTTATGAGAGAAAAATGATGGAAAGTTAATATATTAAATTTATTCAAAATAGTAGTTTAATCGTTAATGAAAGTATTAATCTTTCTCTAATTGGAAAGTTCTCCTCTTTACTTTTTTTTATTAAAATGTGTGTTCTAAACAAAAGAAAATATTCTCGACAAATCCCGTTTAGCAGGAAAAACGGAAATTAAAAATTATAATTAATTAAAAAAAAAGATTTTTTAATTAAAAAAACGTGGAAGAAATTCATTTAAATTAAATAAAAAAAATATATATTTGTAAAATAAAGGGAAGGGGGAAGCGTGAGAGAAATAAAAAAGAGAAGAAGCCTTTTTTGAAAAATTTTTTAAACTAAAATAAATAATGGAGAATGAGAGTAAAAGAGAGTGGAAATTGATTAAATAAATTTTTAAAAATTATTTTTTGGAGAATAAAAAAATATTTATTTAAATAATCAATTATTTTAAAAAGAATTTTTTTTTTGTAAAAACAAATGACACTTTTTTTTTAACTTTTTTCTTTTCAAAAAAATGCAAAATGTTTAAACTTTTCTTTTCAAATTTTTTTTAAATTATTAGTAAAAAGATATTTTTTAAAAATAAAAGAAATTCGAAACTTTTTTTTTCTTTTTAAAAAATAATAGTTAATTTAAAAGTCAAAAAAATGTGTTAACAATAAATAAATATTTATTTTTTGTACTTTTATCTAGTATTTTTTAGACCGGAAATGGATAAACACTAAATTTTAAATAAAAAGATTTTTTAAATTCAAATTGTTTTCTTAAAATAATGAGATCTCCTTGACTAAAATTATTATTTAAAAATAATCCAGATTTGTCTATTTATATAAACATTCAAAAAATTCAAGAATTAAATACGTAAAAACACCAAAAAAACTTCGAAAATAAACGTAAAATTTGAGTATTTTTTTAATTTTTAAACTTCAATTAAAAATTTCTCTCAAGTTTTTGCCTTAAAACTCATAAAATTTACTACAAAATATAGCCCAGCCAGTTACATTTCCTGAAAAATTTTTGTTACATTTTATGGAATTTCTCATTTAATTTTTTTCATTTTTAAATTAATTGATAGGAAATTATTTGTAAAAAATAAATTTTAATTTTGTTATATTTTTTCTGTTATAATTTAGAATAAGCATAACAGATTCCCCTTTTATCTTAAGCTAAAAATATATGTAAGAAGTGGTCCTTAAAAACCTATTAATTTATTATTTCTTTTCTTTTATAATCAAACAAAAGACTAAAAAAGGAAGAAACTAAAATAAGAAAAAAAAAACTTTTCATAATTTTAAATACAAAAAATGTCAAAAAAATAAAAACTAAAATTATTTTTTAAATACATCCAACTGACAGGAAGAGGAATTTTTTCACATAAAATGAAAGACAAATGGAAGAAAAATTTAACGAGGCTATTTAAGTTTATGAAAATATATTAGGGGTGAATGCTTTATAAGAAGATTTGCGCAGATTTCCTTTAAATTTTATTTAAAAATAATCTTTTAGTTGACATTTTAAAATGTCATTTTAATAATTTATATAAGAAAAATAACAGAAAAATATTATTAAAAATACTTATACTTTATGTTGTCACAATTATATAAGTACAAAATAATATTTTTTTAATCTTTACTTTTCCATTAAAATATACATAAAGGGATTTACACTTCCTCTTTTAAAAATAAACAGATAAAAGAAATCGTCAAATAAAACTAATCTAAAAGATTTATTTTTGTCAAGGAGAATTCAAACATTCCCTCTTGCCATTAAAAAAGTCAGTAATTTTAATCAAAACAAGAACAAAACAAGAACTATTTTAATTTTTCTAAAAGAATTTAATTGACGAAAATAATATTTAAAAAAAACATAAAATTAAAACTAAAGACCGGACTGGAGATTAATGTCTCAGAAAAAATGTCAATCTCGATACCCAATATTTTCGTTAGAGTATCTTGTCTCGGTCTCTAATTAAAACATTATTTGCGCTTTTAAAGTCAAACCGAAAAGAAAGTCAAATAATAAATGATTCTTTAAAATTATATAATAATATACACATCAATTAGAGATAGTCTCAACAGAAATGAGAGAAATGCTAAGAGAAGCATTTTTTAGAATAAATTTTCTTTTAATGAGGAAAACCCAAATAAATAAAATATCTTTTTTCTTTTGTTTACAATTCTTGGTTGAGTGCCTCTGGCGTAATTGTTGTCTCTTCTTTCGTTTGACTCGTTTCCCCAATTTTCTCTTTGCCCAATGAGGAAGAAGGAGGACATTCATTAGCACAACCAGAACCATTAGAACTACTTTCTCCATTTGTTGAGGTCCCATTATCAGTTGTAGGAATTGGATTAGCTCCAGTAGTAGAAAATGCGGTTAAATATTGTTGAAATTGCAACATTGCTGCATCCAAAAGAACTTGGATATTTCTTAAAGTTTGTATTCGAGCTTCAACTGCTCTTCTCTCTGTACCCTCCATTGCAGCAAGTTCAACATCGTTTAAACCAGAAAGCTTAAAAATAAATTGAAAATAAAGAATATAATAAATTTACAGTCGGAGGTTGCGGGAATGGCTGCAAAGGTGGCAAAAATGGGAAAGGAGGCATCTGAAGAAAAATATTTTTAGTGATTAAAGAATTATTATAAATCCTCACCATAAAAGGATTGAAGAAAGGAGGAGTTGGTTGAGATTGTTGATTATTTTGCTGTGAAGAAGTACCAGACGAATGAGGTAATTGTTGAAAGTTGGCATCATTTTGTTGTGAAATGGAAGCAGTAGACGAGGAAGGTCCATTTGAAGTTCCTGGAACTGACCTTCCACCAGCAGCTCCATTTCCTTGTGTTTCCGCTTGCTGTTGAACAGGATGTTGTTGCTGTTGCTAAAAATTTTTTAAAGAGAATAAAATGTGATGCATCTTTACCTGTTGTTGCTGCATCGGAGGAAACATTTGAGGAGGAAATATTGGAAACCCAAAAGGCATAAATGGTGGCATCTGCTGATGTTGAACGAAAGGGGGTGGAGGTTGCTGTGGTCTTTGCTGCTGCGGCCCACCAAACTGAAATTGGAAGTGAAAAGGTGCCTGAAACATATTCGCTGGCATTCCATTCATAACTCCAGGCTGTTGCTGAGGTTGTTGACCAGGCAAAAGGCCATTAGACCGTCGAGTAGCTGCTAAAAGGAAAAAATAAATTAATTAATATTAAAATATAAGATTAACCTAAAACATCAGTTCTGCAAGTTGGACAAGTCTGTTGACGCTGAAACCAAGAACGAAGACAATTTGGATGGAAAATATGATTGCAAGGTAACTTTTTAACTCCACTTTCTACAGTCATCTCTTCACGGCAAATTATACAAGTATTGTCGTCTAAAAATGTAATAAAGTTTTAATCATTTTAAAAACTAATTAATAATTTTCTAACTTACTTTCAGCAAGATCTTGAGCTGTAGCCAATGGGAAAAGATTATTCATTGCATTAATTGCACGTCGTGAGAGAATTACGTCATTAACTGCTTTGCGGAATGATTTGACTGTCAAATAGAATGGACGGATAGCAAATAATGGAAAAGTGTGGATCTAAATATTTCGAAAAAACTCATTACTTAAAAATTACAATACTTTCATCATCACAACCGCAAAAGCCAAATAAAGGACACAACGAAGGAAACCTAAAATTTATAAAACAATTAAAAAATTAATTTATACAAACTTGTGAATAATTCTACATATAACATATAAACTGCCTTCATTTCCCAAGGATGTGGCGAACGCAAATCATGTAAATGAAGTAAATAATTGATAGTTATGTGTGCAACCATTGTAAGTAAAACAGCATATTCAAATCCAAAAACAATTTGTGCACTAGCCCCGCGCATTAATGTCGTGAAGAAAGCGTGAGAGATAAAGTAAGAGTCAATGGCGCCAAGAAGAGAAATTATTCCGAGAATACGAGCGTGAAACAGAAGAGTTATAATTGGACTTCTTTCCTATATGTATTTGTTTAAGTAGTAATATGTACCTCTAAATTTAAAATCAAACCATATAATCAACACGATCCTCAGAAAGCCAATGAAAAGCTTTAACAAAGAATAACACAACAAACTGGACAACGAACTTTGGCGAAAAGTCATCACGAAAAACAGCTAAATTATTAAATATAATTAACAAAAAATATAGAACTAACTAAAAGCCAAACAAGTCTCCATAATTGCGTGCCAAACCCGTTCTTGAGCACGTTCCACTTCAGCAGGCCTCAACTGACCAAAGAAAATCCAACGAACAACAGAGAAAATTAAATAACTAAAAACGGCCGCTTGAAAGTAAAGGACCTTAAGAAGAAATTTCTAAAAACTTTAAAAGTATAAATAACCGTCATCGAAGTTGAACTTTTTGTAAGATAAACAACTGACGGATAAAATTGTTTTTTGAGAAAAAACGCATTCATAACAGCCAAAACTGTTGAAATGAAACTTCCAAGAACCACAAACGAAGCCGTAACTCGGACCATTTTAAGTCTATTCAAAAACCTCTAATCCTAAAAATAAAATATTTTTAATCAGAAATATTTTTTAAATAGCATACCTTTTTAAAAAATTTTTGAAATTGATTCTGAGTAACTAAAAAGATGTTTAAATCGAAAACTGAAAAGATAATTTAATTGTGATTAACAATTAATAATGAAAAATATAATTTTCTGCTAGACAATTTTATCAAGATGTGTTTGAATATATATCACAGGGAGGTTAGAAATATGCCCACCAAGGGTCAAATTAATCTTTATAAGTGATTCTCCCATTCCCTCATGTTTAAGTAATATATACTATATAAAGGTGACGACAGATACCTAATGTTATTAGAAATGGAATTTAGAAGATTTGAGGTACCTGGGCAATAAATAATAGCAAAAAAAGAAAGCAATCTAGTCAAAATCTGTCGACACCCAGTTAAAGATTTAAAAAAAAACTCGAAAAATAAAGGATATATAATTATAATACAATGTTCGCTAAATATTCAGACAAGAGAGAATAGAATTTCAAAGATTTATTTATAATAGAGAGAAAACCCCCCAAAGAGCCAAAACTCACTTAATATTAAACTAACAAGGGAACATTCCGAACTGTCAGTAAAAATTTCAAAATAAAACTTATACCATCGTGTAGAGCGTGATCGAAAACGTATTATGGTTACTTTCTTTTTTGGCTCCGACCCCCATTTCGAAAAGTTATAGGGGTTCAAAGTTTCCTACTTTTGGAACGGTTGAGTCGCCCTCACTTTTCTTATTATTTCTCTTCCTAAAGGGAAAAATGAGACTCCTTTTCTCTTTTATTTTTTCCCTCTTCTTTTCCTGTGCTGTCTAAAGAAAGAGAAAAAGAGGAGAGAAAAGAAAAGGAAAAGAGACATCTGTGCCTTTTTCCTCTTTCCTTTTTAATTGACCGTGTCCGCTCAACTCATCTAATCCTTAACTCATCCACACGCCCAAAAACGCTCAACTCATCTAAACGGCTAAAATTCCTTAACTCGTCCACACGGCCAAAAACGCTCAACTCATCCAATCCTCAACTCATCTAATGCTTAACTCATCCACACGCCCAAAAACGCTCAACTCATCCAATCCTCAACTCATCTAATGCTTAACTCATCTACACGGCCAAAAACGCTCAGCTCATCCAATCCTTTGGAACGAGACTATTGAGTACCAGTCGTTTGAGTCCCTGGCCGTTTGAGTCTCTGGCCGTCTGAGTCCATGACAAGTTGAGTCCCTGGCCGTCTGAGTTCATGACCAGTTGAGTCCCTGGCCGTTTGAGTCTCTGGCCGTCTGAGTCCATGACCAGTTGAGTCCCTGGCCGTCTGAGTTCATGACCAGTTGAGTCCCTAGCCGGTTGAGTCCCTAGCCGTCTGAGTTCATGACCAGTTGAGTCCCTAGCCGGTTGAGTCCCTGGTCAGTTGAGTCCCGGCCGTTTGAGTGGTTGATTACCGCCGGTTGAGTCTTGGGCCGGTTGAGACTCAACTGACCAGGGACTCAACCGGCTAGGGACTCAACCGGCCGATATTTCAAGGATTGGATGAGTTGAGCGTTTTTGGGCGTGTGGATGAGTTAAGCATTAGATGAGTTGAGGATTGGATGAGTTGAGCGTTTTTGGGCGTGTGGATGAGTTAAGCATTAGATGAGTCGAGGATTGGATGAGTTGAGCGTTTTTGGCCGTGTGGATGAGTTAAGTGTTAGATGAGTTAAGGATTGGATGAGTTGTAGGGTAGCCTAATTGACATTAGCTGCAAGGCAGAGACGCCTCTTTTCCTTTTCTTTTCTCTCCCCCTTTTCTCTTTCTCTAACTAATGTTGGAAAAGAAAAGGAAAGGAAAAAAGAAGGATGGGAGTCTTATTTTTCTCTTATGGAGGAGAAAAATTTTCTTTAATAAAAGTAGCGAGGGAGACTCAACCGTTCCAAAAGTAGGAAACTTTGAACCCCTATAACTTTTCGAAATGGGGGTCGGAGCCAAAAAAGAAAGTAACCATGATACGTTTTCGATCACGCTCTACACGATGGTATAAGTTTTATTTTGAAATTTTTACTGACAGTTCGGAATGTTCCCTTGTAAGCCCTTAAATGTATTATGTCATGAAAATCACAAAGAAAATAAAAAATGCCATCAAAACTCCGAAAACTTTTAAAATAAGCCATCGGTTACGGGAAATATTGTTAAAATATTTGAGCAATTCATAATGGGCAGCTTCAACATTTAAAGCTGTATCTTCAACATTAGAGTCAATTCTAAAAAAATAAAAATTTTAATTAAGAAAAATATCACCAATCAAAAACCGAGTAATCATTTCGCCTTGTTCAGAGACAAGAGAAGCTAATTGTCGAAATATTGTGCCCAATTCAGCAATACTACTTTCTATACCTTCCATAGCGCTATAACGAGAACGATGATAGGTATCAGTCTCATCAATAAGTGCAACCTTTGGTTTCAATAGATTAAAAAATATTTTTAGGAAAAAAACTTGGTCTTGAATTCGATGTTGTTCCAATCGATCCATATCCAATGTAAAAGAAGAACTACCACTTGAAGCTGCCATATCATCGTAAAGAAGAAGAGAGCCCACTGAAAAATCAAAATTAAAAAAATAAAATTATTTTTACTATTTCCATTGCTTGCAGATGGAGGTAAATTTGAAGGAATTGCTGCCGATTGACTGAATTTTTCGCGTCTGGCTCTTTTTAATTTTAAATTCTGAAAAGCCACAAATTTTAATTGATTTCAAAAAATAAACCTCTGTTCTAATTTCCAAAACATTTTTAAAAGTTTTACTAATCGAAGCAAGCTTTGATTGTAAACCAACAACAACAAGTTTTGAATGGTTCTGGCCCTGCTGTTCATTTTTTGATGAATTACTTTTAGAACCGGATCGCTGAAGTGCAACTTGTTGTAAATTGGCAATTTGTTTATTTAAACCAGTTATATCCTTAAATTTATTTATTATTTATAAAAAATTAATATACAAATAAACTTGTTTTATAGTCTGAGAAAGCTCTTCAATATCACTTGCTCGATCATCAAAAAGTGATTTATTTTTGGCTAGTTGAGATAATTTCTCCATTTTCGCACAAGTCATGCTCAAGTCCCTGCCAATCCTCCTATAAATAAATTATAAATAAATTAAATTTTAAATAGTTACTTGGCCAATTGATTAAAATGTATAGAAGATTGGAGCATTTTCTCGCGCTCTCCTTTAGCCTCCAATATATTCCCATTAGGTTGATGTCGAAACTGAAAATAATAAAAATTGGAAAGAATTATCAGACAAATTTTTAAATTACCTGACAAGACTTTGCCACAGTTCTAAATTCAACTGTTCGATCGTGGAATGGCATATCGATAGGCAAATTTAGAATATCCTGTTTTAATTTTTAAAAATAAAAAAAAATTTAATTTTACTTCAGAATCCTTGTATTCAGAAGTGTTATTAAATGGAGATATTCGCTTCTCTGTTGAAAAATCGTTAGTTATTTGTCCAGCAAATGATTGAATGGAAGACTAAAACTAATAAAATTAAAAATAAATTGAAAACCTGTGCTGCGTTCCAAATATTAGAAGCTGGAGTAATTAATGAAGAAAAATTGCCGAATTGTTGAAAAGAATAATAATTTAAATGTCCTCCACTTCCTTCTGAAAGATTGTTTTGTTCTGTTGTTTGAGTATTTGTCTTAGTTTCGTTATTGTTGTGGTGTCTTCTTCGAGCCTCTGAATTTGTGTTATAAACAGGCAATTCAGACATTCATTCAAAACTAAAAAAAATAATTTTTATTGAAATAAGAAAAAAAATCTATGAAAGATTTTAGCTAAAAATAATGAAGAATTGAATGAATGAGAGAAAAACAAAAAGTTGAACACGTAGATTTACAAAATGCCAAAATTTAAAAGAAAAATCTTTAAAAATATTTTAGACAAAAATTAAAGATTATTTAAAGTTTTTGTTGTTTTTCACATTCATCTTGTTGTGACAACATTCAAAAATAATTCCGCTTATTAAGAGCTTTCGAGTGATATAAAATATATTCGGGTTGGATAAAAGTTTAAAAAGTTTATAGCAATCAAAGCTTGTTAATTGTTGGCGTTTAATTAGCACGTATTACTAAAATTTATACGTTGAATTTAGACGTTTTACTTTTGTTTTTCTTGTATGAATTTTAAATTATTTTCGGGTTTTTATTTTTTTATTTTTAAAAATTCTTTAAAGTATTTTGCATTTTTAGGAATTGTATATATATATATTTTTAAAAACTAAAAATTATTTTGCAAATAATGTGGAGAGATTGGCCATTTATTTTTAGTTTTTTCCATTTTACTTTTCTAACGTTATCATTTGCTCATCAATTGCCACAGCAACATGTTGAACAACAAGAGGCTAAATTTGGTGGAGAGCAAGTTAAAGATGAAGAGTTGGGGAAAACAATTTAACGAGAAAAGTCAAAAAATAATTAATTTAGACATATCAAAGAACATTTGGAAGGGAAAGTTGACCCAACGGCGCACATGACCCCAGAGCAACTTCAATTTCATTATTTCAATATGCACGATTTGGATAAAAATGGAAAATTGGATGGAATTGAATTAATTAAAGCAATTTCTCATTATCACGAAGGTTAAGCTTTAAGTATTAATTTTCAAAAAAAGTTTTTAGAAAATTCTGCTCAGCAAAATGCTCCACCTGTACCTGATGAAAGTCAGCTCGAGACTATGATTGACACTATAATCAAAGATGATGATTTTGATGGGGATGGATATATTGATTATAGTGAATTTTTGAGGGCCCAGAAAGTGCGAGAAGAACAAGCGAGAGCCGCCAATCCTCCACCACAACAATAATGTATATTTTTTCTTTTAAATATTTCCTTGTGATAATGTGTTTATTTTGGAAGCAGAAAATCTACTTTACTTTCATTTTATACTTAAAATTGTTTAATTATATACTTAATTTGTTGTGATTTTGTCTAAAATGGGAATTTCTTTATAATTATTTTAATTAATTACTTAATCATTCTTTTAAAATTTTTGTTGGGCATATTTTGTAATTAAAAATATTTTTTCATTTTTCTTCTTCATCAATTACATTAATTTTTAATAATTATATTGTTAACTTGTTGTTTTTTATGTTTAAATTTATCTAAAAATTAAATTATTTTTGAAGTATTACTTTCCGCATTATGCGCTTTAAAGTCCATTCATCCATTTTTGTTGTTTAAATCACTCGGCAGTCCTATCTAATCAATATGCCAACTGGCAAAACTGCCCGATCGATTGCCCCAAATTTTGCCTTTCTTGTTAAAGAATCAGTCTAAAAAAATATTTAAGATGAGGCTTTTACTTTTCTTTATTTTGTTAGCAATTTCTGAATTATTTGAAGGTAAATTTTAAAGAATATAATAAAAAAAATATTCTTTTAGCCTCGGATTTTGCTGGTAAAGATGATGTTTATAATGAAGAGTTGAGTGTTTTTATAAATTATTTTAATTTTGAACTTTTAGTCATTTAAAAATGCATTTAGAAGACCAAATGGAAATGGGTGAGAAGAAAATGACGCAGGATCAAGAACGATACCATTATTTTACTATGGCAGATTCGAACGGAGTTTTTTATATATTCAATTTTTTAATAAAAAAAATTTTTAGGATGGTTTCATTGATGGAGTTGAAGTTTTTAAGGTTTTTTGTTAATAACTTTAAAAATAAAAAAATTTTTAAAAGGCCATTCACCACGACCATGAAAATGGAGAACATCTCGCCTCACAAAGTGATAATGAAATTGAAGATAAGGTTGATGGTGTATTGAAATCTTTTGATTTAGATGGTAATTCTGTGATTGATTATTCAGAATATATAAAAGGAATAGAAAGGGAAGAATAATATAAAATATTTCCTCTAATAGAATAGCCCCCTCCTAATAAAACGGAGAATAGAATGCCCGGACACTCGATTAGAGGAAATACGGTGTTAATATTTGATAATTTATACAATTTTTGAGTTCCTATATCGAATTTTCTTTTATTATTTTATGCCTTTGTTTGAACAGTTGCTAATAGGATCTGTCGATTCATTGACACTAGTAAAATTTATAAATTATTAATTCAATAACCGAACCGAAGTTTCCGGATTCCAAAACCAAACCCACCGTCCAATCTGTTACCAGTCGTTTACTTTTTTGTATTTACTAGTATCCTATTTGTATGTTTTTAAATATGTTAAAATTAATGTTATATACTCTATTAATTCTGTTGTTGTTTTGTCATTTTATTGAAGGTAATATAAAATATTTTTTGAATCTCACTTTTAATATGGAAAATAATCTTTAGCTGCATTGGTCAAATTTGGCGAAAAATCAGAAGTTTATGATGAGAGGTATTTTTTTTTGACCAGATTACGATAAAATTAAGTACTCATTAATGTAATTCTTTTCGTAAGATTAAGAGTTTGTTTTTAAGTCATTTAAAACTACATGTAGAAGAAGAAATTGGTGAGAATAAAAAGATGAATGAGGAAGATGAGCGGTTTCACTATTTTGACATACACGATTTAAATAAAGTTAGTTTTCATTATAAAATTTAAAGATTTTTTGTAGGATAGCCACATTGACGGAATTGAACTTTGGAAGGTTTAAAATGAAAGGAAATTGAAAATAATTAACTCTAAAAATTATAGGCCGTCCATCACAATCACAAAGATGAATTAGAAGAGGTAAGACCTGAGGATGAAATTGAAAAATTAGTGGACGAAGCTTTTAAAGAAATTGATTTAGACGGAGATGGATTGATAAGTTATCCAGAATATCTTAAAAAATTGAGTTAAAATCTTTAATCAATCTGATATGCTAGATAAATGTTATTTTGAGTTCTGATATATTCTAATATATGTAAGTAGTAAAGTATTCTAAGGAATTGGTAATTTTGAACTTTGTGACTTGTGAAATTTTTCCCTTCTTTAAAAATCGCATATCTTCCTTAATTTTTAATATATGTATAAAATGTTCAAGAGATTGCCAAGCATGGTAATGGAGTGAAATAAAAGTCTGACCCTTAAGCTATTTTTGCCGAAAAAATAAAATGGGAGTCACAAAATTCAAAATTACCAAATAATTTTAAGTGATTAGTTAGATAATTTCTTCAAAACTAGAAAATGTTGTAAATTCTTTAAGTGCACTTTCACTAAGAGCAGCATTTCCTGGACGTAAAGCTAAACGAACTTGAAGACCAGCCGCTTTTGCCGCGTAAGCTTCTTTAAATGTTTAGGGAAATTAAAAATTGATATTTTTAAAAAAACCTTTTTCAATGTCAGTAAGAAAAAGTATTTTATTTGGAGCAATTCCAATCTGTTCTACTATGCGTTGATAACTTTCCTTCTCGAATTTAGGACCAATAGTTGTGTCAAAATGAGATGATATGAACTTTAAAGAGAGACGTTTATGATTATAAAAAGCAAAAAAACCTTTTCTAAATTTCCATATTCGGTGTGTGAATAAAGTAATTTTTGGGCCTTAATTGAGCCAGAAGAGAAAATATGTACATTAATTCCGGCTTCATTCAAACGTTTAAAAGCAATAGGCACATCAGGATAAACACTAATTTTAATAAATAGAAACATTAATTAATTTAAAACTAACTGTGCCTTGATTAATCCATTTTTGTAGCCATCTTCCCAAATAAGTCCTTGCAAATTTTTTAAAGCTGTATACTAATAATTTAAAAATAATTTTATTAAACGTTAGAATTACACCAACCTTTCTATCCTGTTTTATCCATAATAAAACATTGGAAGTAAGTTTGGGAATCTGAGTTTCTGATTTATCGTTTGATTGAATTACTAAAACTTCAGAGCTTTCCTTTGCATGTTCATTTGATGTTTTTATTAAATCATCAAGTATTTTTTGATGTTCTGGTTCACGTTTTTCAACTACAAGTTTTTGAATAAAATTCCCAGCATGTTCAAAAGAAAATGGAAAAAGAACATTCTTTAAAAAATTCAAAAAACTTTAAATTTTACACCTTTTATTTACCTTTACAAAGTCAATGGAAGTAGTTGTTCCTTCAACATCTGTCAATATTGCTTCAAAAGATGAATTACTCATTAAATTGCTTTATAGTAATTGACAGATTTAGAAATTAATGGAGTGTAGACAAAGAGAAGTTAAAAGAACGAATCTAGATTATTAGAGATATTAAAAATATATGGTAAAATTTACTTGTGTATAGCAGAAACACATGACAAAAAACGGTCGGTTAAGGACGATTCAGTATCGCCGATAGAGGTCGGCAAAATCGCATTCCCGGGATCCCGGAACGGGATTTTTTTTCAAAATTTTGTACGGGACGGGATCCCGCGGGATTAATCCCGTAAATCCCGTAATCCCGGTAATCCCGTTCTCAAATTTCCCGGGATCCCGCCGGGATTCCGGGATTTTCACAAAAAAATTTTAAAATTATAAATATGTTGAATATCGGCGGATTTGGAATCTATCGGTGGATTTCGATTGATTTAAGGGACAAATGAATATATATCAGAGGATTAAGAGGGATATCAGTGGATTAAGAGAGATTAAAAGGATTTGAATGCTTATAGGTGGATGTAGGGTGATATCGGTATATTGGAAGTGATAAAAGGTAATTTGAAGAACGGTGGGTTAAGTCGAATATAGCGGATTTAGAGCTCAACTATTTGAATGGATATATGGGGATTATTCCCCGAATCCCTCAATATACTCTTAATCCCCAGATCCTGATATACCTCTTAATCCATAAATCCCTGATACCCACTATTATCCTCCAAATCCTTTTTAATCCGGTGTTAATCCCAAATCCATCATATTCTTTTTCAATACCCCGACATCATATATCTCTTAATCCTCCGGAATCGAACTTAAGACGATTTAAACCTCACAAACCAACGTACACCTCACAATCCCTCTATATCTCTGTTAATCCCAAAGATCCATTCTTATTACTCTCAATCTATCCACCACAGGCAAAACTTTTCTAATTTTGGAAGGAGCCAACTTAGTCTTTTTTGGAAGGCTAAGAAGCCCGCTTTTTTCATTTTTTAGCGCCGCAGGCGAAAATTTTAAGAATTTTTGAAGAGCAGGTCACAAGATTTCTTCCTTTTTTAGCGCCGGAGGCGAAAATTTTGAGAATTTTGGAAGGCCAAGAAGCCAGATTTCTTCCTTTTTCAGCTCCGCAGGCAGTTTACTGGAGTAAATTAAAATCCCGTAAATTTGAAAAAAAATTCCCGGGATCCCGGAACGGGATTACGTTTCAAAAGTTCGACCGGGACGGGATCCCGCGGGATTAATCCCGTAAATCCCGGAATCCCGGTAATCCCGTTTTCCGCGAAAAACCCGGGATTCCGGGACGGGATCCCGTAAAATCCCGTACGGGGTCCCGTCCCGTGCCGAGCTCTAATCGCCGATTCAGTATCGCCAATTCAGTATAGCCGATTCAGTATCCGCCGATTCAGTATATGGTCATAACTTTCCTGATATTCGACCGATTCGAATAATTCTCATATCATTCGAAAGGTCTCGTGATTCGAGATCTTTTTCATAATTGGCCCGATCTGATCTGATGATCAGAAAAAAAGTTACAGCGTGAAAACCTATTTTTTATGCCTGTGACGTCGTTTATTAGTGATAACTTTTTGTAGAGTGATAAGATCAGATCAGTCCAATTATGAAAAAGATGCAGCACCCCAAGGCCTATCAAATCATATATAATACTTCCTAGAATGTTGATCAAGCAAAAAGTTATGGCCAAAAAGCCCAAATACTGAATCGGCTAATACTGAATTGGCGATACTGAATCGTCCCCTACCCAAAAACAGTACACCTCAATTGAGTCCCGACTCAATTGAGTTCCGGACCCTATAACTTATGAAGGGATGGTCACTTTTTGTTACTCTTGGTACCATTGGATAGGGCATTAAATAGGCTACAATATACCAAAAAATCAAAATTCCTGACCGACTGGTAAAAAAGTTATGATCGATAAAGTGCCGAAAAATCAGATTTTTTTGAAAAAGTTAGCTTTTAGATCATAACTTTTTTATCAATCGGTCAAAAATTTTGATTTTTTGAAATTTTGTAGAGCTTTTGATTCTCTATCCAATGATACCAAAAACATTAAAAAGTGACCATTCCTTGCTTAGTTATAGGGCCGGGACTCAGTTGAGCCGGGACTCAGTTGAACTGCTCCGGACAAAAAATAATTAAAAGATTTTAGCAAGGTTGACAATATGAGAATTTGACTGAACGAAATTCCATTCAAGATTAATTTCATTTCACAAAAAATCCTTTTCCTCATTTTCATTTCCATTCATGGGATAACAATGGATTTGATATATGCATTCTCGTATAGGAGTGGCGTGAGAGAATTGTACGGGATTCTCGAAAATTTTCATACAGCAAATACATTTTTATAATTTTTACAAAATCAGATTTGAGTTTTTAGGGAATTTTGAGTTACCGTATTTACTCGATTAATTCCCCACCCTCGAATAATTCCCCACCCTCTATTAATTCCCCATGCCAGGGATGAATTGAAAAAATAATTCCCCACCACCAAATACCCTAATATACGTTCAAATTTCAAAACTCGAATAATTCCCCACCCTCTATTAATTCCCCATGCCACGGATTGGTTTAAAAAATAATTCCTCGGGGGAATTAATCGAGTAAATACGGTAATCACAACTTTTTCATAATCTAATTTGTTTAATTATTTATTTTTAGAATAATTTAATGATGATTTATGCAAAAATCTTTAAAAGTGCTGCCAATCCAGCACTCCCTCGACGTTTAAACAAAATTGGCTCAGTTCATCCTCTTTATTTTCCAATCAACAATGTTGTTACCTCAAAAATGAATAACAGTACAACTACTCAATCTGCCGCAATGGGACCTCATGCTCTTCAATTTAAAGTTGAACGTTATCTTGCTGCAGGAATGTTTCCATTACTTCCCACGGCATATTTCATTCATGGGACTACAATGGATTTGGTACTTTCGGCTGCTATTGTTATGCATTCTCATTGGTAATAAAATCTTTTAAAAATCACTTTAAATTTAATTTTTCCAGGGGACTTATGGCTGTTGTGCAGGTTTTTTCTTTAAATTCCATAAAATTGAAAAAAAAAAACAAAATTTTAGGATTATGCACGTCCAATAGTCGTTGGTGAACGTTTGGCAAAAATTTCTCCTGCACTTGTTTATATAACTTCGACAATTTTACTTGTTGGACTGCTTCATTATAATTTGTTTGATATTGGCTTAACCAAGTCGTTTGAAAGAGTTTTTAGTTTGTGAAAATGAAAAGTAGATATGACAGTTTATTCAATTATATTTTGAATTCGTAAAATTGTGCACAATAAAATTTTAGATTTTATAATTTTGGGTATCGACATATTTAAAACTGAGACTAGGGAATATAGAAAGGGCCGCTAATTATTTGTGAGATTCCTCCAAAAAAGCAATCTTTTTTGGATAATTTCCTATTTACTAATTAAAAATCTCTTATAAATTCATTATTTCTTATTCCTTGTAATTCACAGTTCAATCCATCTTTTATTTTTATTAAATCATTAAATTGTGCCACATCAAAACTAAAAACAACTTTTAAAATCTTCATTTTATTTTTACCTGTATTTTCGTGCTCGCCTATAAAAATCTTTATTGAAAATCCGTACATTAGCCGACGAATATTCAAAATTCTTTAAAAAATAACAGAAAAATTATTTTTATTTTCACAATTTAAACCTGTTTTGTAACCAAATAATAGGCAAGTGCAATTACAACACTCGAAAAAGTTGAAAAATATGTAATTGGCTCCATAATATCCCAACTATATTCCCACCAGGTTAACCTTGCAAAAACTCCAACTTGAAAACAAATAGCAGAGAAACCTGACCAAAAAATTCGTTTTGCATGTTTTTCACATTCTTTTTCAATATTCTTCCTTATCTAAAAATATTTTTCAAAAATTTTTTAAAAATATTTTACAATTATAAGTGGCCTCAATTTTCGTTCAACATTTTCTAAATTATTTAAAAGAATACTTTCTTTTTTAATTTTATATTCTTCTACATCAAATACCGTATAGAGGGTAGAAATCTTTTTAAAAGAAATTTAAATAAAAAAATTTTTAACAGAAAAAAACCTTGGATTTTATGTCATTAAATGATTCAGCTTTATCTAAACTAGAAATATAAAAAGAAGTATCCACATCAAATTTGTAAAAAGAATCATTAATTCGAAGATATAATGTTGGAAATGTAAGTAAATGATGGATACGTGTACATTTTGATATTCTCAGACCTTCACAAGTGTAAAAAGCGATAACTTCAATTCCGCTATCCTCATTCGATAATGACTCAGATAATGAACCAACTGTGTCTCCAAAAGGCCTCAAAATAAAATGACCTAAAAAATAAAATACTTTTCAACAATAATTCTTTTAAAATTCTTACAATTTTCTTTACGTGAAGGCAAAGGAATATCGATAAAAGGCAATCCATTTTTTAAGTAAACTTGCCCTCCATAAGAAGCTTTTTGTATTTGGTCGATTAATTTACATGTTGAATCAGTTGAAAATGCAGAGAAAGAAAATATATTGAAATTCTGAATTGAAAAAAAATATTTTTTAAAATTAAAAATAATTTTACCAAAGAATATTTAAATTGCCTAGAATTAATAATTAATTGAAAGAATTTTGTTGATATCGACATTAATTAATGAATTGAAGTGTAAGGGAAAAATGTTGATCATTTACATATTTTAGAATTTCTTAAAAAAAAATTATTTTTCTTTACAATTAGCAGTTGAAAATTTTATTTTGACCATTTTGATCCTTTTAAAGAAAAAGTCCGAAATTAAGAACACTAGAGTCACAAGTCTATTTTTTATTTTCAAATAAATTTTTTCAGTAGGGGGACTGGCCGGTTCCAAGGTTAATAGATACAATTAATTCATAAATGAGAGAATTGACCTTTTTCCGTCCCTTTAGTCCCTAGGCCCCATTTTAGGCCTCAACTGTTGTATGGCAGTCCGAGACTGCAATTTTCATAAGCAATTTAATTAATTTTTAACTTAACTTGCGTTTAAGGTAAAATATGTCCGATTACAAAAAATCAAAAACATCTCGAAGGTCTTCTAGAGAAAAATATGATGATCGCAGTATTTCTTCACGTAAAATAAAAAAATTGATTTTTAAACTTTTTAATTTTTTTAGGAAAATCTAATCGGCGAGAAGAACGAGTAAAAAGTCCAAAAATTGAAAGAAGACGAAGTAGAGACAAATCTGTTATTTCCACATCGTCAAGTGATGGTTCTGAATTCGAAAAATTGCTTAACAAAAAACGAAAGGAAACGATACAAAAAGAGAAAGAGGAAAAGCTTAGAATGAAAGAACTTGAAACACCTGATGAAAAAAGGGCTAGACGAATTGCAAAAAAATTACAAAAAGTATTTTTAAAAATTTAAATTATTTTTTTATAAATTTTTAGGAGGAGCGAAGGAGAGCAGAAGCTTTGAAGGCTTTTCCTGAAGGGATTTCTTACACAGACCTGAATAACCCATTTAATGATACCAGCCTTTCTGAAACATTTGTTTGGAAGAAAAAATGGGAAACGGAAGGAATGAGTTCTGTTTCAAAGAAAAAAGTTGAAAAAATGTGAGAAATTATTTGTTTAAAATTAAAAAATAATTTCAGAAATCGGGAAACAATTGCGAAAAATTTGGCTGAAATGGAACAATTAAAAAAGAATCGGGAGGCTAGGGATGCAGCTAAAGAAGACATGGAAATGATTAATCGCGATCAGGAAAGGCGCCTTTGCGACTGGAACAGAACAGAAGATGCATTTCATATGAAGCAAGCTAGGTTACGTTCATCAATTCGAATTAAGGAGGGAAGGGCAAAGCCAATTGATTTATTAGCTCGTTATATTTCTTATTTTGATGAAACAACTGAAGACGATTTTCAATTAGATAATCCTTTGAGTTATATACCAAAAAATTCAATTGACGATTTGGAGGATCTTATTGCTGATATTAATGTAAATTTGTAATTTTTTTGTTATAATTTTACATATTCTTCAGGTTTACCGTATGATTGATGGCAAAAAGAATTCTGAGTTTTGGGATGATATTGAAACAATCTCTAAAAGTATTTCAAAAAAGCTTGTTGAAAATCGACGCCGTTCATCTGATAGTGGGACTGTACATTCTTCTGTTCAGGAAGAAGTTCTTAAAATTTTTAAAGGAAAATCTTACTCTGATTTGCAACATTTACAAAGTCAGATAAAGGCTAAAATTAAAAATACTAGTAAAGGAACAGATGTTAGTTATTGGGAAGCGTTACTTGACCAACTTGGCCCGTATATGGCTAAACAACGTTTAGGAGAGAATTATGCTTATATTCAGCAATTATGGCTTAAAAAAATAAGAGAAGAACAAATGAATGAAATGGACACTTTAAAAGATGAAATTTTAGAAAAAAATCTTTCAACTTCAAATCAATTTTCTTCAAAAGATTCAGAAACTGTTTGGCAATCGAATACTTCAATGGAAGAATTGAGAAGAGAAGTGGAAGAGACAAAATTTGTTTTGCCATTTTCTCTTGAAGATTTTCAAAAGCTGGAGGATGAAGTTAAAGAACATCATTTTCTGTTAGTTTTTAAAATTAGTCTTTTTTTTTAAATTAATTTTTAGACAAATTGATGCAAAAGGACATATGAAACAGTTTGCCCTTAAATGTTATGAATATGGACGGTATAGCCCTACTTATGGAAGTGAAAGTCATATAATGCCTGGAATTGAAATTCTGGATGGAATTGAAGACGCGGAGAAGTTACAAGAGGCTAGAAAAAGAAAGAAAGGAGAAAGGATTGAAGCTGATTTATCTGTATATATTTTTGGATAATTTTAATATTTTATTAATTTTTAGGCGAGTGATAAACGTATGATGGATATTGCAAAACAAGGAATGACTGAAGACGAAGCCGTTTTTGCTGTTGAAGAAGCACTTGAAAAACAGCACTTTTTGTGGTCTGATAAATATAGACCTAGAAAACCTCGTTATTTTAATCGAGTAAATTAATTTTTATTTTTAAATAAAATTATAAATATTTAGGTACATACAGGCTTTGATTGGAATAAATACAATCAAACTCATTACGACATTGACAATCCACCACCAAAAATTGTTCAAGGATATAGATTTAATGTAAGTGTTTTTTTAATTTAATAATGCAGGATTGTACTTTTGGGGACTTTTCTAAAGGACTTTTTCTTTCATCTTTTTTTGTCTTTTATTTCGTCTTTTGGATGTTAAATGTGATCTTATTAATTAAGTAGAAGACAAACTGGGAAAAATAGAGGAAAATCCATTAAAATGTTCTCAGAATTGTTTAACAATAATATTATTTTTTCAAGATTTTTTATCCCGATTTACTCGATCAAACACAAACACCCTGTTTTGCATTAATAAAATGTGAAGATTCCGATTTTGCAATTCTTCGTTTCAAAGCTGGCCCACCATATGAAGATATTGGCTTTAAAATTGTAAATAGAGAATGGGAGATTAGTTATAAACATGGATATAAATGTCAATTTCAAAATGGAGTTTTTCAACTTTGGTTTTTCTTTAAAAGATATAGATATAGACGATAATTATTTTTAAAATTAAAATTTGTATTTTTTTCCTATTAATGAATAAAATTTAAAAAATATTTTTTATTATTTTTTTTTAAATTAATTTATTATTTAATTTTTATTTTTAATTATTTATTCAAAAAATTTTATTTTTTTCTTTTATTGTTTAGATGCCTTATTTACAACCTACCTCTCTTCGTCAGAAAAATCAAAGATGGATTCACAGCCAACATTTTGTGTATCAATTATGTCGTTCATTATTAACAGTTAATGAAATTGGTTTTTTTCTTGTGGCAATTTTTATGTTTTTGGTTGAATTAATAATGCTTTATCAAATTATACAGAGAGTTCCTTGTTAGTTTATTTAAATATAAGAAGTATTTTCGCTATTTGTTTTCAGTCAAGTATTTATGAAATTTAATAAGTTTCTGTTAGCCTTTAACGAACATTCCACTAATTTCCAATTTTTATTTCTTATACATTTTTAAAAATTAATGAATTTTTTTAAATTAGATACAGAAATTGATTGGAAGACATATATGCAACAAGTTGGATGTTATTTAAAAGGAGAACGGAATTATTCTAAAATTGTTGGTGATACAGGGCCGATTGTGTATGTTTTTAATTTATTTTTTTTATTTTAAAATTTATTTTTTAAAGTTATCCAGCTTTTCATCTTTATATTTACCGTTTATTTTATTCATTAACTGATGAAGGAAAGAATATTAGAAGAGCTCAATATATTTTTGCTTTTTTATATCTTCTTAATCTTTTACTTGTTTTTCGAATTTATTTTAAAAGTAAAAGGGTAAGGAGCTTTTTTTATTTTTTAAAGGATTTTCTTTTTTATTTTTCAGATCCCTCCTTTTGTGCTTTGTTTAATTTGCCTTAGTTCTTATAGAATACACTCAATTTTTGTTCTTCGACTTTTTAATGATCCTATAGCCATGTGTTTATTTTATTTGGCTGTAAATTTTTTCATATCAAGGCAATGGATTTTTGGCTGTATTTTTTATAGGTTTTTAAAAAAAATTTTGAGAAAATTTTAATTATTTTAGTGCAGCAATTGGGGTAAAAATGAATATACTTTTATTTGCTCCGGCTCTTTTCTTTATTTTACTTCTTAGTAATGGTGTTTCAGATACTTTTTGTCTTTTATTTGTCTGTGGATTTGTTCAGGTTTAAAAAATATTTTTTATTAAAATTTTCTTTTTAGTTTTTTATTTCTTTTGAATTTCTTTTTAACAATCCTTTTGCTTATTTGAGTCGTGCTTTCGAGTTAAATAGAGTTTTTCTTTATACATGGACGGTTAACTGGAGAATTTTACCAAAAGAAGTATTTTTAGACAGACGATTTCATCTTTTACTTTTATTATTTCATTTGGCATTTTTGAGTTTATTTGCTCTTAAAGTTTGGTTTAGGTTTTTTTTAAATTTATTTTTTTAAATGATTTTCTTTTATTTTTTAGTGAACAAGGGGGGCTAAAAAATCTTTTAAAAAGGCTTTGGTTTGGAATTCGAACTAGACTTGATACACATGGTTTTTTAAATTTAAATTTATTTTTTAAAAATAATTTCTTTAGATGTTCTTTTTTCACTTTTTACTGCCAATTTAATTGGAATGACCTTTGCTCGGTCATTACACTATCAATTTTACTGTTGGTACTATCATTCAATTCCATATTTAATATTCTCGCCAATTTACCGATTTGATCATATTTTGTATAATGGAGATAATAATTCTTACACTAATAATAATTATATTCCGTTTAAACAAATTTTGTTTAGGTATTTTTTTCTTTTTAAATATTTTTTTAAATAAATATTTAATTTTAGATTAGCAATTTTGTTTTTGATTGAAATTTGTTGGAATATTTATCCTTCAACATTTTCAAGTTCTTTTTTGCTACATTGTCTTCATGCAATTATTTTATTTTTGGCATTCAAATGTAGAGTAAATCGAATTAAAAATATTAATTAATTTTTATTTATTGGCTCTGAAAATCAAAATAAATTTAATGTATTTTTTTCAAACGAGAATATTTTCTTTTACAGAATATTTCAAATAAATAATATTTCTTTTTCTATATTTTTTTATAAATTATTTAAATTTATTAAAATTATTTCTTTTTGTATTTAATAATTTTTTAAAATAAAATTTAAATTTATTAATGCCTATTATGGCTTCTCGTTTATTTTGTCATTTACGTTCTGCAAGCACTTCAGCAAGTAAAGTTGTTCCTCCTTATATTAAAGTATATTTTATTATTTAATTTTTAATATTTATTTTTTAAAGGTGTTTGACAGAGAAACAAAGCGTAAACAAAGAAACTGGAGTGCAAACCAATCTGAGTTTGAATTAACTAGATTTATACGAGATGAGGTTTTTTGTTTTATTTTTAAGTAAAATTATTATTAAATTTAAGTTTGGCTATCGTCTGGCTGATAAAGGTTTTTATTCCTTTTAATAATTCTATATTGTTTTTAAAGTTTTCGATTTGTTAAAGAAAAACACCGTTTGTATCGATCTTGGATGTGGAGCTGGGCATATTGGAATGCACTTAATCCGGGAAAATGTTGGTTGTTTAATTCAACTTGATATGAGTGAAGCAATGGTTAAAACTAGTAAATCAGCAGAAGAAAATGAGGTTAGTCTTTGATATATAAAGGGTTTCCTTTTAAATTTCATTTTAGTTTCCAACTTTTCGTGCTATTGCTGATGAAGAATTAGTTCCATTTCGTCCAGAATGTGCCGATTTAGTTTTGAGTGGCCTTTCTGCCCATTGGATTAATGATTTGCCAAACTGGTTTCTTCGTTGTTTTCAAACACTTAAGGAAGATGGTGTAATGATTGGTGGATTGCTAGCTGGTGAAACGCTTCACGAATTGAGAATTTCTTTACAATTAGCAGAAATGGAAAGATTGGGAGGTATTGGGGCACATGTTTCTCCTTTTGTTGAGGCACAGGATATTGCATCATTGATGAATAGAGCTGGCTTTCAATTGGTAACTATAGATGTGGATGAAATTGTGGTCTGTATTTTATTTTTAATTTATAGATTTGGAGTGTTTTGTATTTAAATCATTTTATTTAGATAAATTATCCGGATATATTTTCCTTAATATTTGATCTACAATTTATGGGCGAATCAAATGCAACATTCACCCGATCAGCTAGCCTTAAAAGAGATATTCTTATAGCAGCAGATGGAATATATAGACAGATGTTTTGTACACAAGAAAATAAGTAAGATAATAAGTTAAACTTTTAAAAATATATCGAACTAAATTGAATTGACGTATAAAGAAAAGTGGCATAGGAAAGGGTAACCATATTAAAAAAGTCGACTATCTTATTTCATTCATAGTTACCCGGCGACATTCCAAATGATTAATTTTATTGGTTGGAAGCCTGGGGCAAATATGCCAAAAGTAGCAAGGAGAGGCTCTCAAAGTGTATCTTTTAAAGATCTCTCGAAATTTATAGAAACTGAAATGACAAGAAAAGAAAATGATGAATTTAATAATAAATGAATGTTTGTATATTTTTTACTTTAAAAATTTATTTTATTAAAAATCAATTTATAAATTTAAACAGTTGAGGAATGCACTTTTTTATCAGATGTAATACTTAGATAACTGTTATAAATAATTAATTATTACTCTCTCTATTCTTAAATTTCTTTTTTTAAAAATGTCTTTCTTCAAAGGTTCTTCTATTTCATTTCTTCGTAATTTAATTATTGGTCAAACTCGGCAATACACGTTTTCAAAACTGGTGATTTTTATTATTTAAAAGAAAATAAAATTTTAATTGTTTAGTAAAACTAAAAGATTACCTACTTAATTATCTTTTAAATTAATTCTTTTTTTTTAGTTTAACAACAAAATGTCTACGAATAATAATTCTAATTTATTAAACGGATTTAATCCTACTCACGTTGAGCGAGAAAATTACAAAGGAAATTCGATTTTAAAAGATTCTGTGGACAGTGTCGACCCAGAGATTTATGCTCTTCTTAAAAAAGAAAAGGAAAGACAAAAACTTGGAATTCATTTAATCGCTAGTGAAAATTTTACAAGTAAAGCTGTTAGTGAAACTGTTGGTTCTTGTTTAACAAATAAATATTCAGAAGGATATCCTGGTGTTAGGTAAGGAGGAGCAAGGGCGTATCCTGAGTGACGAGTTGTAGCCTATTTGAGATGGGTAAAATGTTGTTAGGAACTCCTTAATTGTCTACTTTCCTTGTTATATTCCCGAAATTCGACACAATTCGTTATCCCTTATTGTTTACGCCCTTTGTAAAGGGGGATTCAATTATATTTTTCTAACAAAATTATTTCAATCTCTAAATATTAATTTTTTAGATATTATGGCGGAAATGAATATATTGACCAAGTTGAGAATATTTGTAAAAAGAGAGCTTTACAGCTTTTCGGATTAAATTCTGAGAAATGGGGTGTTAATGTTCAGGTATTTAATTTTTTAAAAATTTTATTTAAAAAATTTTTTAAAGGCACTTTCTGGTTCTCCGGCTAATTTTGCCGTTTATACTGCAATTGTTGAACCTCATGGACGTTTAATGGGTCTAGAATTAACAGATGGTGGACATTTAACACACGGGTATTTTTTTTAAATAAAAAATTAAATATTTATTTTTATTTTTAAAGTTTTTTCTCTCCAACAAAAAAAGTTTCTGCAACTTCTTTATTTTTTGAATCAATGCCTTATAGAGTTAATCCAAATACAGGATTAATAGACTATGATTTATTAGAACAAAATGCTCTTTTATTTAGACCTAAGTTAATTATTGCTGGTATTTTTTTATTTTTCTTTTAAAGATTTTTATAATAAAAGTGAAATTTAAAATCGATAAAAATTCTTTTAAGGGGTATTTTTGGAAATTTTTAATTTAATTTTTTCGGAAAATTGTCTTTTTGAAATTTTGATAATTCCGAGTTTAGCCCCCCTCCTTTTCTACCTTTTTCCATTATTTTTTATTTGACCTATGTAACCCTAAAATAATAACTGAAAAAATAATAAAAATAACAACTAAAAAATATTTTTATTTATTTAAAGGAATAAGTTGTTATGCTCAATTATTAGACTATAAACGTTTTCGTGAAATTTGTGATAAATGTGGGGCCTTTTTGATGGCTGATATGGCACACATTGCTGGTTTAGTAGCTGGGGGTGCAATTCCCTCACCTTTTAATTATGCTGATATTGTTACAACAACAACACATAAAACGTTTATTTAAATTAATTTTACTTAATTTATTTTTGTATTTAGTTTGAGAGGACCTCGTGGTGCTTTAATTTTCTTCAGAAAAGGTTTTTTTTAATAAAATTTTATTTTTAACTTTTTTTAGGTGTCAAATCAATTAATAATAAAGGAGAAAAAACTTTTTATGATTTTGAATCAAAAATAAATTCTGCTGTCTTCCCAGGACTTCAAGGAGGGCCACACAATCATTCAATTGCCGGTTTAATTTAATTTTTAAAAGAAGAATTTAATTAATTATTTTTAGCTATTGCTGTAGCGTTAAAGCAATGTCTAACAAATGAATTTGTTGAGTATTCACATCAAATATTAAAAAATGCAAAAATTCTAGCTAATTCTTTACAAAATAAAGGATATACTTTAATTACTGGTTTTTTTGGATTTTTTAAAAATAAATAAAATTTTTTAAAATAATCAGGGGGAACACAGACACATTTATGTCTTTTGGATTTACGTCCAAAACATTTAGATGCTGCTAGGATTGAACATATTCTTGATTTGGTACATATTGTGACTAATAAAAATACTTGTCCAGGTTAGTTTAAATTTAAAAAATTTTTTGTAATGTTTGGAAGGGCGTTAGGGAGGGGGAATGGGTAAATTTAAATTATTTTAAGTCTTTATAAAGAAAGAGAAATAATTTAAGGAGACAAGAGTGCCCTAAAACCAGGGGGAATTCGTCTTGGAACTCCAGCAATGACTTCTAGAGGTTTAAAAGAAAAAGAATTTGAACAAGTTGCTGAATTTATAAATAAAGGTATTTTTATTCTAAATTAAAAAATAATTATTTTTTTAAGCAATTGAAATTTATCAAAAAAATGAAGAAATTTTTGTTGAAGCAAAAACTTTAAAAGAATTTAAACAAATAATTGCAAATAACGAGAAATTTAAAAATGAAATTAATTTATTAGGGGAAGAGGTTATTGAATTTTCTAAATGTTTTGATTTGCCTGGTGGAGATGATATTTAATAAATTGGAAAAAAAGATAAAGGATTTTCACTTACCTATATTTTCAGTTTTTCACTTATTTAATTTTTTAATCTTAAAAGATAAACAAAAAAATATTTTTTTTAAATTAATTAATTAAAACTTTGAAAATTATTTTTATTTTGTAAACATTTTTTTCTCTAAAAATTAATTTAAAAGAAATGTCAACAACAACAAAAAATTGGATTCGAGCAGCTTCGGTTATTCTTTTAAATATTAAACAAAATAAAATGTTAATATTACAGAGAGGTTCTACAGCCAAATTTATGCCAAATTCTTTTGTTTTCCCTGGTGGAGTTGTTGACCCTTTAGATTTTAAATTTCCAATTGAAAAAACAAATTTTGATAAATTAATAAATAATGAAAATTCAAAAATTAATTTGGGATTAGAAAATGATTTTTATTTGCGTATTTGTGCAATTAGAGAAATGTTTGAGGAAAGCGGAATTTTAGCAATAACTGATAAAGAAGGAAATAAATCAGAATTATTGTCTGCAGCAAAAGATGAAAATTTGTCTGAATGGAGAAAAAAAGTTTTTTTTTTTTAATTTTCAAAAAAAAATATTTTTTTTAAAGATATTATCTAATCCAAATTTATTTCATGAAATTTTTTCTGTTAATATGAAAATAGATGTTGCTTCATTAATTCCCTGGTCTAATTGGCTTACACCTTTTGGTGAATATTCCAAAAGGTTTTTTTGTTTATTTTTAATTTAAATAATATTATAAAGATATGACACAGCATTTTTTGTTTTAATTACTGAAGATTGTCCAGAAAATATTTTTTGTATTAATGAAATGATGAACTCTTTCTGGATAAAACCATCAGAAATAAATGAAAGGAGTGTTAAAGGTATGTAAAAAGGAGAGAATAATCTTTCCCTTTATTTTTTTAAAGGTGAAGTAAGCCTTCCTCCACCACAATTTTATGAACTTGAAAGACTTCAATTAGCCCTTAAAAATGAAAAAGGGAATTTAAATAAATTTACAAATACAACAAAAATAACTCCGCACATTTTTAAAATTAAAGAAAAACAAAATATTCATTTATCTATTTTGCCTGAGGATTATTTATATGATAATTTAAATCCAAATTTTAAACCAACAAATATTCTTCCATCAAATGAACTACTTCCACCATATTTAGAGGATAAACAAATTCACCGAATTATTACTCATTCAACTCCCCCATATTTATTTTATCATGGACACAAACTTTTTATTCAAAATATTAACAAATATTTTAAACATTGATAAACTATGTAATAAGAGAATTGTTGATTAAAAAATTTAAACCAAAAATTTTTAACTAGTATACTATACAACTTTTTTCCCTTTTATTGAAAAGCGAAGGAAATCTTTTGATTTAAAAATTACAAAAGAAATTTTGTAGTTAAAAATTACGGAGCAGATCAATTGAGTCCCGGCTCAATTGAGTCCCGGCCCTATAACTTAGCAAGGAATGGTCATTTTTTCATGTTCTTGGTATCATTGGATAGAGAATCTAAAGCACTATAATATATCAAAAAATCAGAATTTTTGACCGAATGATAAAAAAGTTATGATTTAAAAACTAACTTTTTCAAAAAAATCTGATTTTTCGGCACTTTATCGATCATAACTTTTTTACCAGTCGGTCTGGAATTTTGATTTTTTGGTATATTGTAGCCTATTTAATGCCCTATCCAATGGTACCAAGAGTAACAAAAAGTGACCATCCCTTCATAAGTTATAGGGTCCGGGACTCAATTGAGTCGGGACTCAATTGAGGTGTACCGAAAAATTACGCATTTTTGATTTTTTTTTCATTAATTTTACATTTTGCCAAAAAAAAACATTTTAAATGTAATTTTGGTGATTTTTGATTAAGAATAGATTTCGGTTTAGATCCAGTTCTGTCATACATATTATTGCTTATTACTATATTTATTTCTTTAGAAATGTCAGATAAAAGTACTCCAATTGTTGCGCCGGATGGTGGAATGATCGTTCAGCGTGATCCGAATGTGAGCTATGAGATTTTTCTTAGTAAATTTTATTTTAGAAAATTGCCAATTCCGGTGATCACGACCCTGTCTATGATAAGCTAGAACATGCATTTGGAGTTTCAACAGCAACAAATGGGACGTTGTCAGCGGAATTCGATTCATCGGCTGAACTCATCATGAAATTACAGAACATGTTGAGGAGCATCGAACTCAGTTTGGACAAAGGTATGGTAATAAGTAGAGCCAGGATTTTTAGGCACGATTAAGTTAAAAATAGGCGCCTATATAGGCACTAAAAAACTGCCAAAATAGGCACTAAAATTCGATAAAAAGGCAAAATAGGCAGTATTTTTTCGAGATTTTCTGCTTTAAATTGACTAAATTATATCAAAAAAGATAAATCTAAGCAATAAAATGTTAAATAAATTGATTTTGACGATCAGAATTACATATAAATTAATTTATATTAACTATTTTGTTTCCAAAAATAATTTGATAAATTTTTGAGAAGAAAATTTTTCCCAAAAAAATTTTTTGACAAAAATTTTTTGGAAAAATTTTATATTTTTCCAGAAAAAAATTTTTTAGACAAGAATTTTCTCAAAAAATGCTTAAAAATTAGCACTTTTTAGTAAAAATATCTAAAATAGGCTGAAAAAAGGCATAATAGGGCACTTTTCCAGAAAAAGTTAAAATAGGCAATTTTAGGCAACGATAAAATTTGTTAGAAAGCAGATTTCAGTAAAATAACACCGGATTTGAACGTTTCAGCATCAGGCCTATCTAGGAAAAAAACAGGCATTTGCCTAAAAATCCTGGCTCTAGTAATAAGGATTAATAACATTGTCTCAAACCTGGAACCTGCAAGTATATACCACGGATTCTAAATTTTTTTCCATTTGTTCCAGTAGTACATTGGCTTATTTCTGATGGTTGTTTGTGTGCTTAATTTTTTTAAAATTTTCAGTTAGTCTTTCTTTTGCATTTGACGAAGTTATAATGGAAGCGGTTAATTCTATTAAACCTCCTCGGAATTCTATGGATGCCTCAGATGTTTTAGCCGAAACATATATTAATCCTCTATTCAAATCATGTCTAAATAAGGCAGCTTCTTCTGCTTTTGATTATTTGATTGGATTGTATGGGCGCTGCAATTCTTTAGTTAATCAGGTTTTAATTAAATTTTTATGACGATTTTATTTTCAATTTTTAGAGTCATCTAGGGCTTTCTTCCAAGATATTTTCAACACTATCTGAGCGGGCAAAAGTACAATTTATTTTATTTCTTCGAGGACTTTTGTGTGCTAACAAAAAGTAATTAATATTTTTATCCTTTTACAATTTGTTTTTCAGTTCATCTTATCAAGACATTTCAACAGTCTTCACTAAATTTATGTTGACAAATCTTGAGTCAATTTCTCCGTTTTTGCGCGATATAATTGTCTGTTGTAAAGATGTGGCATTGACTGATGAGAATGCGCTAATTGAGGTTAAAATTAAACTTTTTTGTAAACACCTGTCTATACTATTGCATCTTTCTGTAATTTTTGTTTCCACTAAAATATTTTAAATTTGATTTTTATTTCAAATGAAATTACGATTTTATTTTTAGGTTTTCGGTCCGGTTCTTGATATTCTTCGCTCTTGTGCAACACACATTAATATGACAAAGCTATTTGAAGACAAACATTATTCTCTTCTCTTGCTTTTGCTTGAAATTAAAATGTCTGACAATACTCGCCCAATTGCTGATTTGGTTGGTTAAGAAAGGAATTTTAAACAATTTTTTTATTTTTAAGATTGTTTCACGTCCAGATTTCCATCCTAAGCATCTTATCACTAATTTTAAAGGACGTGAATTTGTTCATTCTTCATTCCTTGGCCCTTTTATTGCATTTAGCATTGCTGGTAGCCAATCGCCTCTTTACGTGGGTACATTAAAAATAAATTTTTAAACAAACTTTAGGAATTTTGCTTTGACCACAATGATGTTTTATTCGATTATAGTGACATGGAAAATAAAGAACTGAAAATTAATGAATTTCAGACTCAATTGCGCATGATGAGAGTAATCATCTTTGACAAGTATCTATGTTTTTCATTTTTATTGCAGATTAAAATGCATCAAATCTTTCATGCATTAATTGTAAATTCTTCAACCAGAAATCGTACTCTTGGCTATATTAGCGAAATTTTGGACACTAATAAGAAATTATCACAAATTCAAGTTGAATATGAGCAATTAGCAAATCCTACTGCAATGTTGAATATGCTTTCCATTCTTCTTGATTTTGATAAAATTCCTGTTGAAAAAATTCAAGATGATTACATATTTCATCCAAAATGTCGGATTAAAATGGCTGAAATTAATACTCTCAAAATGGATAATGATATGATTGAAGCATATCGTAAAAAAATTGGTGGGTTTTGATGATTTATAATTTTTACGTTAATCATTTTTAGATCTCTCATATACTCCCAGCTTTAACACCGAGTGCTTTTATTTGACTATTGCTTTTATGGGGATTAGGTTATTACTGATTATTGTATTTATTTTTTGTTTTTAGCATGACGACAATGATGAATAATTTGTCTCGTATGGATAGGCATATCTATGAGATTCGTAGACAGTTGCGTGATGCGGAAGAGCAACTTCAACGAAAAGGACAGAATCCGTCTCAACTTAATCGCATCCGAGCAATAACACAACGTACTAAGGAACTGTTGAAGGTTGGCTAGTTTTTTCTATGAAAATATTTTGTAATTTAGCGTTTTACATTGAGCAATGTCTGTTATGATTGTCTGATTAACGATCAAAATTTGTTATCAAAATGCTCAAATTTCGTGAACAAATTACTCAGACTTTTTCTCCGCAGTGTTATGCCTGATTCGTAAGTAATGCTCTAGTTTAACGAGAATTATTTTCTTTTTTAGAAGAGTCGATTCTCGTTCATTTACCCCGTGTATCGAACGATTTGCTTCGTTGCCTGAAGCTTTTCTCGAAACTGGCATTGAATTTTTACATTTTCTTCTCGAGTTTGTGTTAGAACATTATTTTTAATTTCTTTTTATTTAGACATCCTCAGCGTTCAAAGGTTCTTCTTTTGAATGTATCAGACTATCCTCGACTAATTTTAAATTTGATTGTAAATTTGCCACATATAAAGAATCCATTCTTAGCATCAAAAGTGTTTTCTGACATCAAATTTATTTAATTCAATAAAAAATTTAGATTGTTGATTTGTTTTTCTTTACTTGTCCAGATGTATCTTCAGATGCCGGCTTCTTCTTCAGGCAGATTATGAACGATAAAATCGCTGTAGATAACTTGTTTCCTGCCCTTGTCAAATTTTATGCTGACGTTGAGTCAACCGGTGCTTTTTTCTTTTTTGTAAATTATTTTTAGAATTTTCCAGGTTCAAATACTGAGTTTTACGACAAATTTAATATTCGACGAAATATTCAAGTTATCTTCCGGGTATAATTTTATTTAAAGAAATTTTGTTTTAAAAACATTTAGTCTATGTGGATGGATCTTGCTCATCGCAAAAGGATGGTTCAGTTCGCAGAGTAGCTTTAAACAATTATTTTTAATTTTAAGGACTTTGTTATTTAGAGAATCTTCGCCTGATTTTTATCGCTTCTTGAATATGGTAATTAATGACACTACATTTTTGCTTGACGAATCACTCGAAAAATTAAAGGTTTTTCTTTCTGAAATATATTTTTGCATTAATTTTTATTAGCGAATAAATGAGATTGAAACCCAAATGTCGAACGAAGTGGCATGGAATTCGTTAAGAGAGGTTGATATATTTTCCATTTCTTTTAAATGATATAAATATTTAGGAGGAACGCCAACATAGATCCGAACTTTTGGGCGATGCAAAACGTCAAGTTCGGATTTGGCTTCGATTTGGTACTGAGACAATGGAATTGTTTGTAACGTTAACTGGTGATGCTCCACAGATTTTTCTTCAAGAGGCTCTTGGTGATCGAGTTGCTGCTATGCTGAATAATAATATTGTACAGGTTGTAAATTCTCCCTTTCCTGATTAAATTTTTTTGCAGCTTTGTGGGCCTAAATGTTCTCAATTGAAGGTTCAAGATGCAAAGAAGCGATTTAATTGGGATCCTAGAAAGTTAACCGAACTTATTGTTAAAGTAATTTTTCTTTCATTTAATCGTTATATTTATTATCAATTTATGTCTACGTCAATCTTGCTTCTAGTCATTTTGCCAAACAAATTGCACAAGATGAGGTACATAATTTTGTAATTTATTTGAAAATCTAATTTTAGCGTTCTTATACTCCTGCTACTTTCGATTCAATCCTTAAACGTTTCGAGGAAAAATCAATTTTGCCTGTCAGTCAGTTTGAATCATTCAAAAATTTGGTTGAGCAAGCGAAGGAAGCCCACAATGAGAAAGTTAAGTTCGAAGAGAAATTTGAAGATGAGATTCCAGATGAATTCAGAGGTTGTTAGCTTTTATTGTTTTAAAATGTAAATTCTTATTATTAAGATGAAATTCTTTTCACATTGATGAGCGATCCAGTTACACTTCCTTCTGGTCAAGTAGTTGATCGAAAGAATATTTTACGCCATCTACTAAGTGATCCACACAATCCATTTACTAGACAGCCATTAACTGAGGACGAGCTGAAGCCAAGTTTGCTTTTTTGTTATATTTTTATTTATCTAAAATTTTAGATGTTGAACTTAAAGCGCGCATTACCAGTTGGGTAAATGAAAAGAAAAGTGAAATTAACAAGAAAAGCGCATCCAAGTCTTGAGAATTAAATGAGAATTAATGCTTTTGTCCATTTTCCCCCAAAAAGTGTATTTTTCCTTTGGTATATTCATTAAATATTGATTTTCCTTTCCTCGTAATTTTTAAAATGGTTCGATGAAACGCCTTATGCTTTTGATATTTTCTGTTACCTTTTTCTTTTATGCAAGCACGTGTAATCTACAATATATAAAATTTATATTTATCATATGTGAATTGTTAAAATTTCCTTTTATATAAAATTATTCAATGTTTCTTTTTTGATTTATTTAAAGTATTATAGTTATTGAACTAAAATATTTTATTAAAAATAATTTTGTTGTTTTTGTCTATTTTGTTGTTTTTTTTTGCAATTTAATTCTTGTATGATAATGATTTCAACAACATTTCGGGGGACACGAAAGGTTTTTAATATTTTTTGAATTTTAATTCCATTTTAGTTGGTCGATTTATTTCCCTCACGTTCTTTTGCTTCAGTTCAAGAAGTAACTCTCCAAACAAGACCTTACAAATTATTTAAATTAGGTTAGTTTTTATAAATTTTTGTTTAAATCTTAATTTTTTCAGACAATGGACCTAAATCTGAGACAATTTTAACAAAAGAAGATGCTATATTTTATTTCCAAAAGATGCAAACAATTCGTAGAATGGAGGTTTGGAGAAGGGTATTTTGTAGAAAATACTTTATATTTTAGACAACAGCTAGTAATTTATACAAAGAGAAGAAAATTCGTGGATTTTGTCATCTTTATTCTGGACAGGTAAATATTGATTTAGAGAGAACAAAATGATAATTTGGAATGATCTTTTGAATTTTACCTTTATAATTTTATTTAAGATTAAATTTTAAATAATTTAAGGAGGCTTGTGCCATTGGAACATATGCCGCGATGGATCCAGAAGATGCTGTTATAACTGCTTATAGATGGTTTTTTTCTAAATTTTCTCTTATTATTATTATTATTTATTAATTAGTCATGGTTGGACTTATATTATGGGTGCACCGGTAGTTGATGTTATTTCTGAATTAACTGGTAGAGAGAATTATTTTGTTAAAAATTGTTTTGTAATTTTAGGTAAAATTTCTGGAAATGTTTATGGAAAAGGTTTTTTAAAAAGAAAATAGAAGAAAGAATATTTTTTTAACAAAAGGTGGTTCTATGCATATGTACGCAAGAAACTTTTTTGGTGGTAATGGAATTGTTGGTGCACAAATACCTCTTGGAGCGGGTATAGCTTTTGCAATGAAATATAGAAATCAGAAAAATATTTGTTTGACATTATATGGGGATGGAGCTGCAAATCAAGGACAATTATTTGAATCAGCAAATATGGCAAAACTGTGGAATTTGCCTGTTGTTTTCATTTGTGAAAATAATGGAGTTAATTTTTAATTAAATATTTTTTTAATTTTATTTTTAAATAGTTTGGTATGGGTACTTCTGTTGAAAGGGCATCCGCTTCTACTGACTATTACACTCGAGGGTTAGTTTTTAATATAATATTAGTAGAAAAGAGAGTATCCATTTCTCCTAGCATTAGAAAATTGAGAGCCTGAAAATGATTCACATTTTTCAGAGATTATGTTCCTGGTATCTGGGTGGATGCAATGGATGTTTTAACTGTTCGGGAGGCTATTCGTTTTGCAAAAGAATGGTGTAATGCGGACAATGGTCCTTTAATGGTTGAATTTGCTACATATCGTTATTATGGACATTCAATGAGCGATCCAGGGACTAGGTAAGTATTTATTTTTTTGAATAATTTAGAATAATTTTAAAGTTATCGGACAAGAGATGAAATACAGGAAGTCCGAAAGACTCGTGACCCAATTACTGGTTTTAGGGACAGAATTCTTACGGCTGGTTTGGTTACTGAGGAAGAATTGAAGGTAATTTTTGATAGATTAAAAATAAATATTAAAATTTTAATAGGGTATAGAAAAAGAAGTACGTCAAGAAGTTGATGAGGCAACAAAAATGGCTTTATCTGAGGGAGGTAAAAAGACAATTTTTTAATTTAAAGAAAATTCAATTTAAAGTTTTGCCACCAGAAGCTTTATATAGCGATTTATATGCAAATACTCCACCCCAAATGGTACGAGGCACAACTTTTGACAAATCAACTGTTCAGCAATATGCAACTACTGCTGAATTATTGGGAAAGATGGGACGGCCAACAAAGTCATATTAAAAAATAATTATTTAGACTAATAGAAGGTAGAGAAAATTATTATAAAATTGTTATTTTTGGATTTATATGTTTTGAATAAAGATTAGATTCGGAATTAATTTAGACAATATAGATAACGAAATAACAAAAATCTTTGGCCTCTTCTAGATAAAAACAAAAATACTTTTTTTGTCCTTTTGAATTAAAATTAGGGCAAATGTTTGGCGCAATCTAAAATATTTTTTATATTTACTCACATAATTGAGGATTAAATAACAAAGAAAAATTGAGGATTTAGAAGGAAATAATTGCAGTAAAGAAAAGAATTTAAAAAAATAGAGAGATTTCTTCTTTACGCCAATCTTTGTAGGGAATTGTAGGTAGAAAGTGGTTGGTGGTGGTCATTTCTTTGAATTTTCTTTTTAAAAATTTAAAACATTTTTAAGTTTATTTTTATTTTAATCAAACAATTTCAGAGAGAGAAATGATATTCATAACATTTTTATATTTAAATTTATTTATTATTTTTATATTTTTAATTACAAAAATTTGTAACGGAATTAGTTTAGTTTTTTTCTTTTTTTTTTAAATAATTAGTTAAATTTTAAAGTGTTATGTGAAGTTCAAGGAACTTGTTTAAAATGTCCAGATGGCCATATTAGTCATTTTATTTGTCGAAATAATGAAGATTGTTTTAGAGAAGAATATTGTTATTTAAAGAGGGGATTTTGTTGTTTAAATAAAAATACTTCTACAAATTCTAAAATAATTTTAAATAAATGCCCGGATGGTTCTAGATTTGGGAAATTGTGTAAAATAGATGTTGATTGCCTTTTTAAGGATGAAATTTGTATTGAAGGGAAGTGTTGCCCTTCTTGTAGACAAAGACGTTTATTGGCTTTAAGAGAACTTAGAAGTATTGGAATATCTTTTTTTAATAAAGAAGAAGAAAAAGAAAGAAAAGAGGAAGAATTTATACCTCAATGTAATGATGATGGAAAGGTATTCTTGGAAATTAATTTTAGAAATAAAGATTTGTAGAGAATATTCAAAATATTTAAGATATTAAAAAAAATTTTTTTAAAAGTATTTTCGTCCAATGCAATGTGTTGCCCATTCAGGAGAGTGTTTTTGTGTTGATAAATTTGGAAGAAAAAATATTAAAAATAATTTACTAAAAGAAAATATATTAGTAAATTGTTCAATTATTAGAGAAAAACAAGAAGAAATAAATAAAGAAGAAAATAAATTAATTAGTAGTACAAAAATAGCTTTAAATAAAGATAAAGAAATAATTAATAATAATTGTACAGATCCTTTACGTGAATTTCGTTTGTTTTTAAATTTAAATTTTAAAATTAAAAAAATAATTAAAGATAATTGTGGAAGTATTTGCCCTATTTCTTGTTTTTCAAAAAATAATTTATTTAAATGTCCACAACAAGAACAAGTAAATTTTGTGTGTAAAATTAAAAATAAAATTAATTTTAAAAAAGTGTATGAAAGGTTGTTTTTGTCGTTTACCTTTTGTTTTATTAGATTATTCTAAACCTTTTAATTCACCGTAAGTTTTCTTTAAAAAAATATTTTTTTTTAATTTTTTAATTAAAAAAAAGTTGTGTTCTTCCGTCAGAATGTCCATTACTTTCATTTACTTCAGATTTAAATAAATGGAATAATGGGGGGTTTTTTCCTTCATTTACCCCAACAACAACAAAAACAAATAAAATAAATAAAAATAATAAATGTAAAGATTCTTTTAAAAATTATCAAAATTGTGGGAGTGCTTGTCCTACTGGTTGTGGAAGATTATTGTTACCTTCTAATAATAATTTTGAAGATGAAGATAATAATTCATGTTCTTCTAATTGTGTACCTGGGTAAGAAAAAAACTTGGATTTAAATGGGGAGATTAGGGAAACTAGAGAGAGAGAATGTAGATGAATCAATTCTCGCTCTCAATTATTCACTTTCTCGACCTATTAATTATTTCTATCATACATACAAATTTCCCGAACTAAAATCAAAAAATGTTTTTACTTTTTAATAGGGATATTTTGTTATTTAACGTTTACAGTCCATTTAAAGAGTTTTAAACTTTTAGATGTTTTTGTCGAATTCCTTACGTTTTGCGTGATCCAAATGACCTTAATTCGGAGTGTATATTACCCAAATTCTGCCCTTTACAACAATTTGCACTGCAAATACCTCAACAAATTTCATCAAATAATTCCTCTATTAAAGAAGAAATACTTCAAAAAAATTCAACAACACAATTAGTAGTTAAAAGAAATGGGGAAAGTGAAAGAGAAAAATGTGAAAATGATTTAACAAAAGAATTTTTAAAATGTGGTAAGGGAAAAAATAAAAATAAAAAGTCGCCACTTTAATCTTTTCTCGAAAGTTTTGACAAGTCAATAACGGATTTCTGGTTCACAGAAGTATATTGAATGACTATTTTTAATTATTTAAGTTAAAAACAGATACATAAATATAATTTTAATTTAGTTAACACCCCTCTCTCTCTCTCCCTCTCAATTCTTCCCCATATTTTTTAAATACATATCCAAAAAACCTTCCAAATTATTTTAATTATTCTAAAAAGGATATGTAATATTTTAAAACAAATTAATTTAAAAAAGGTTCATCTTGCCCTCTTGGTTGTGATCAATTAAATCGCCCTTTTCGTTTTTGTTCTCCTTGTATTTCTGGATGTTTTTGTAAAAATGGTTATATTTTTGTAAATTCTTCTGAATGGGAAATATCCGAATGTATATTACCTTTAAATTGCCCTCCTCCTCAATTATTTAATATTACAAAATTAACGGCAATTCAAGAAAAAGAAAATTGTGGAGAAGCTTTAGCTATTGCTAATCTTTATAATAAAGAAGGAAAAAGAATTGGGAAATTAATTGTTAAACCTGAAAGGAATGGAGAATTTGGAGGAGGAGAAGGGGAAATAAATACTCGAAAGTAATTTTAGTTTTAAAATTAATTCTTTCTTTTAATGAATTCGATTAAATGGAGAATTTACTTCTTTTTCTTCTTCAAATTTATTTTTGTCTATTCATCAATATAGCGATACAACAATAAATGGTTGTTCAAGTATTGGAGACCCATTAAAATTAAATTTAAAAGAAGAAAAAGAAATTAAAGAAGAAATTCCAATAAATTTAAATTATTTAAATGAATTAATTGAATGGAATGAAAAATTTATATATGGAACTAATCCTTTAATTGGACATTCTGTTGTGTTAAAACAAAGAGAAGGAAGTTTAATTAATATTTTAAGTTGTGCTGTTTTGGGAATTGCTCCTAGTTGTTGAAAGGAGAGGAGGGAGGGAATTTTTAAAGAATTTTATTTTTGTAAAAAGATTATTCTTGATTAAAAAAGAAAGGAAGAAATGCTCTCTTTTTAAAATTAATAAAAAATATTTTCTATTTATTTAAAGTTAATTTACAAAAAAGAAAGCAAATAAAATTATCTGCTCCCCCTTTTTGCAAATAAAGGACGGAAGATAATGAAGTAAATTTAAGTTAAAGCGACAAGACACACACATTTTTAAACAAAAATTTAATATTATCTGCCAAAACAAATTTTAGACTCCGGATAAATTAAATTATAGAAAGCGCATAAATTAATAATAAAATTTATTTTTTAAAATTGCAAAATTAAACTAAAAAGGCAAGCACTAATACATATGAGAATAAAATGGCTTTGAAAGCACATAAAATTTACAAGCAAGTATAGGATTGCCTGACATGTTTGGTGTCAATTACAAATATCCTTTAGTCTAGAAAATGCCAACTTTTAATTAAAATATTTTTTTGTATGTGAACAAAAGGGAAAAAATTGGCAGTTAATTGTAAAAAGAATTTATAAAAAATAAATGTATGTCATTACAGTGTCACCTCTAGGGAGGAAGAAATCTGGCATTAAAATGGGAATGTGTGGGTGTCATGTGAAGGTGACACTATAGTTAAGTCTGTATAATTTTTATAAAAAAAATAAGAAGAAGAGGCATTTTTTGAACTGATTACAAAAATATTAAAAGGTATTTTGTTTAAAATATTTTAAGAATAATGCAAAAAGTCAATAGAATATAAATTGAAAAAGAAAATTTAAATAGTGGATATATCAATTTGTATATTTCTTTTACTTTTCTGATATTCAATTGATATCTTTAAATATAAAAAATAAGAAGAATTAAAAATGAGATTCGCTTTTTCTTTGGTAAATAAATTTATTAGAGATTAGAGAAAGTTTAATTGTCATTAATTTTTTAATTTAAAAAAAGCCCAAAATCTCTAATATAAAATTAGACAAATATAAATACAACAAAAATAAAAAAATATAAAAAAGAAATTAATTATAGAATTAAAATTTTGTTTAGAAATTAAATTAAAAAGTTTAAATTTGTCAATTAAAAAATATTTAAAGGCTAAGAAGCCGTGTTATTTGAAGTAATTGAGCGATCTGTATGACTTGCCTCCAATAAATCAATTATCGTCCATTGCCGTCCCCTCAAAGAAAGTTCCAAGTCATGAAATTGTTTAAGGGAAAAACGATGTCCTGTAGAAACAACGGTTATTCCCTCTTCTCGAAAAAGTTGGTAGAGAGCACTTTCCATATCAAACCCTAAACAACTAGTTGCCTCATCAAGGAAAGCTATTCGTGGACGGTGATAGAGAACACGTCCAATTGATAAACGCTAAAAAATTGAAATTTTTTAAACAAATTTAAAAAAATAATTGCCTGTAATTCCCCTTGTGATAAAGAATCATTCCAATCCCATGTAACAGTAGCATCAAAACCACCACAACGAACTAGTAAATAATCCATCTTAATCCAATCAAGTATTTTGGCAAGCCTATCCAAATCCCTCTCTACTGGCAATGCTTTTAATGGATAAACTAATTGTTGACGAAGTGAATGACCCAATGGAAAATAAGCACGTTGTGGGACAAAGAAAAGTGATGAAGGAGGACGTAATGGCCTATTTCTTTCGACATTCCCTGTACAACAACAATTCCACAAACCAGCCATTACACGTAATAAAGAAGTTTTCCCAGTTCCAGATTCACCGCTTATGAGCAAATTACGGTTTTGCATTACCTAGTGAAAAAGTTTAGTTATTTTTAGTTAAAAATTTAAATTAAAAAAACCTGTAATGAAAGATTAAGTATTAATACACGTGTTGGGTCATCAGGCAAAACAATTGTAACAGAATCAAAAACAATTGCTGGCTCTGCAGCCAAATCTAACCAATTTCTTTGAGAACCATTTTCACCTAGTAAATATTCTGCTTCATCATCATCGGAATCACTAGCCAAAATAGCATGTTGTGTCTGGCGTCCATGTAATTCCTTTAAGGAATAAACTTTTAAATAAATAAAAATATTCTTTTAAACTTTTTGTATTCTTCCATTCGAATCATCTTTTGGAGTTTTCTTAACACAACCACATCCAATCTTTGAACTTTTTCCTTCATCAGAGGCAATAACAACAACAGAACTGGGAACTGTCGAAGGAGGGCGTTCAGTCTCTAATTGATCACTATGTACCCTCGTTAATTCTTCATAAAGCTCAACCACACTAAAAAATTAAAAGATAAGTATTTAAAAAGTAAAAAGATTTATTAGAATTTTCAACGAGGATAGAAAATTCCGAGTTTAATCAAAATTAGGTTTAAAAGTTTGTATAGATTTCCTCTTTGCATTAGAAAACAAGTCCGGACGCAACTGGAAAAAATCCAATTCCATCCAGCCCTGATTAGAAAAATTAATCCTCCTAAAGCCTCTTTTAACCCTACATAGTAATATGTTTTAAATTTAAAATTTAATGAAAAAAATGTAAAAATTACCGATGGGTAACACCACCGAAATCTCCCACATTTTGTGACAAAGAAATAAGACCAGTAAAACTTCGAATCTAAAACAAAATATTTTAAATAAATTTAGAATAATTCAAAAAAAATAATTTAAAGTTAATCCCTCGATTGATAAGAAAGTAAAGATTAATTTTAATACTCAAATGGGAACATATGTATAAAAGAATCAAAAAGTAATTACCAAATAGAGATAATAAAAAGCATTTTCGCTAACTATTCCATTCAATTCAGGAGGTCCAATTTTGTCATCATATTTATTTTGCACAAAAATAGCAATAGCAATAATAATATAACTTAGAATTCCTCCAAAAAAGTCAAAACAATTTGTGGCTACTAAAAATTAAAATTAAAAATAATTTTTAAATTTATGAAGAAAAATAATTACAATTTAACCAAAATTGCCAAATAATCAAAATTTTTTGTGTTTTTAACAAATGTTTAAGTTTTTGATTTGTAAAAACATTTTCTGTAAATCCCGCCTGATAAAAAGCAATTGATTCTACATTTGTCCGAACTTCTAAATGTCTTGCTCTAAATTAATATTTATTTAAAAATAGAAAAAAGATTTAAAAAAACCTTAAATCTCCTTCCCTTTTTTCTTGTTCTGCAACCAAAGGAATTGTTTTAGTTATAAGGATTCGATTAATAATTGTTGCAGAAGTAAAAAACAAATAAATAGTAAGAGGTCCTAAATATCCAGAACTGAAAAGAAAATTTTTTGATTTTTATAATATATTTCCTGAAAGAATATTTCGAGAAGAATCATTTTAAATTTAAAAGAGAACATGTAATTAAAATAATTAAAAACCTATTATATGTCAAATAAGTGTAATAAATAACAATAAATGGAGTTAATAATAAAGGACCAAGTAATTCACAAGCAAGTAACCGTGTACATTTTTCAATGTCTTGAGTCATACGTTGATCACTAAAATTAATTTAAATAATTTAGAAAAATGTTTAATTTACGGATTGTCCAAGGAATTTGTCAGTAAATAAAAAGCGTGACGTTTAAAATAAAGTCGATGCATAACAAATCCAAGTAAACGCCGACATCGTAAGTAGAGCAAAGAAGAAAGTAATTTTATCAGAGCAAATGTCTAAAACATAAAATCAAAACCATTTTTAATTTAAAAATACCGCTGCTTTAAGAAAAACCAAAACAAATGACATAAGGATAAGACGCTCAAAAGCCGATTCTTCTCGCTTCCCCAAAAGAACATGAAACTTAAAATTAAGAGATACATAAGACAGAAAATTTAATTAAAAACCTCTCGAGGCAACACACCCAAAAAATAGGCGGCAATTTGATCTGAAAAAAAATTATCCTTCTGAATGAATTAATGTATAAATATGCCTGCAATGGATAGAAAAAGAAGAGAAACGGCAAGAAGAACACCAAAAGACTTCCAAGTTGGAAAAAGAATTCTCACAAGTACAAAAGTTCTCCTTAAAAGCAGTAAATCCATTGAGAAGCGAGTCATAACTTCTTTTTCTCCCCTTGTTAAAGTATATAATTAAATCAATTTTAATAAATATTAATTGTTGTAGATCAACGTCAAAAAACAAAAATTAAAAAAAAACAAATACAAAAAATAATACATTAATATAAAAGAGTATTTGTGCAAAAATATTTATAATTCAAGTATTTAATTTATTTGGAAGTAGAAAATAAATGGAGGAACTGGATAAAATAATAAGGTATATACTTTTATTTCTTCCCATTAAACAATTAATTTTACGATTTATTAACCATAATCAATTTCTTCTCCTGCCTCAACTTCCGTCGCTGTTTTAATAGTATCATCAGTATTTTCTACCAAATTGTTACTTAAATTATTCGCTTCTTGCTGTTGCGGAGATTGTTGCCTTTGCTGAGATTCTTCAATCTTATTCTTTTCTTCCAAAATACGATCTATCAAAGAACGGGCCAAATGTATGTCACACGTCGAAGGAGAATCATCATCAAAACCTTCTTGTTTCAGAATGAGCGTTATCGAATCTGAGTGTTTAAAATATGTACTTAATAAAAAATAAAATAAAAACCTGCATCATCAGCACCGTCATGTTTGGATTCAATCAGCTCTAAAAATAATTATAAACATAAATTACAAAAAACCTTTAAGTCTTTTGTCGACACTCTCCAACCATATATTCTCCAACTTAACCGCTTCCTCGTTAACTTTAGGTGCCGCATCAAAAACAACCTTGAAAATAAATTAATAATATTTTTAATATTTTAAGTTCACCATAATCATTGTCATGTTGTCACGTGATCCCTTCGACAAACAAACATCAAGAACTTGATTTGAAGCACGCTGAAGAATAGGATTAATAAAATAAAAATAAATTTTAACCTTTAAATCTTCTGTGACAGTTAATCGAGAACGAACTAAACGACAAAGTTCCTCGTTTTCGAGCACATCATAAATTCCATCACAGGCAAGAACAAGAAATTCATCATCCTCTTTGTTCCTTTCAATGATATAAATATCAGGTTCTGGGCTAACTAATTGATCAGTAGGACATAATCCAGGAACAGACTTATATTCATAATCTCCAAGTGCTCTTGAAACGGCAAGGCTTCCATTAACTCTCTGAATCATCACAGAACCACCAGCCTTGACAATTCTGTCGCGTTCTTTTTCAACGTAAGGCTTATGATCTTCAGTGCTAAAAATATTGTCACTTTTCCGGCTAAGAATCCCCCTTGAATCGCCTAAAAAACAAAGTGTAAATTGAAAATTTTAGAGAATCAAATACCCAAATTTGCAAAGAAAATATAATCTGGTGTGAGAATGGCACAAATTGCTGTGGTTCCACTTCGTTCTTTCTCTGTCCCACCAGGTAAGTTTTCCATAGAAGCATCTAATTGCAGAAAACCTGACCTCATTCCTTCCTTAATTAATGTCTTTGACTTTTCAGTAATTTTTTGGTCATTTGAGTTTAACTCTGCCTTGACCTAGAAGATAATAAAGAATAAAAAATCAGACAATTATAAAAAGATATACATCACGAAATGCCTGTGTTTCCAATAAAGTTTGCAATAAATTTTCTGCTGAATGGAAGGCAACATTACTCCCAGCATGACCATCAAATACAGCAAAGAAAGACCAATTCTATAAATTTAAATAGAAAATTTTAAAAAATGAAAAAAAACCTCAAAAGGAGGGTCCTTCCCTATTGAAATTTTAACATGATGGGCATCCTCCATATCAATTCTCCAACCTTGCATTGAGGCCACTACATAACGATAATCCTTAAAAAATGAAATATTAGTAATATCTCGAGAGGATTTACACATACCCTCCCAACTCCAATATCATTTGTTTTCTCAGTTTTAGGCTTATCAAGAAAAGCGCCCATGTATTTTTGGTATCAGTTTAAAAGTCAAATAATAGTTTTGTCTAAAAGAAACAAAGCAAGTAACAGAACTAAAATAAAGATTATATAATTAAAACAGTTAAAGAAGAAAAACGAAAAGAATGACCCCACACCAACATAAAAAAACCCGTTGCACAAAACTTTTTAAAAAGTGTCAAATTTTCGTTAATATCTCCTTTTTGGCACTGTGCCCATACAAAATGCCAATTTCGCTTTATTGAAATTAGAGATCGGCACGGGTCGGGACCCCGCACGGGATTTTACGGGATCCCGTCCCGGAATCACGGGTTTTTCGCGGAAAACGGGATTTACGGGATTAATCCCGCGGGATCCCGTCCCGGTCGAAATTTTGAAACGTAAACCCGTTCCGGGATCCGGGGAATTTTTTTTCAAATTTACGGGATTATTAATTATTCTCATAAATTGCCATCGGCGCTGTAAATGGAAGGAATCTGGGACTTTGGCCTCCAAATCCACTTATATCCCTCCAAATACACCAATATCCCCGATAGCTCAGGAGACCCGTGAATAGTCGGGACTCTCCGGAGTTTCGACTATTCCCGGACAGATTTCTGGACTGTCGATATCTTTGGGTGGCCCTCATTCTTTACTTTCAAAATTCTTAAATTCGGCTGCGGAACTAAAAAGGAGAATTCTGGCTTCTTAGCCTTATGAAATGGCATTCTGAATGATTTCTTTAGATAATTTCTCGAGCTCCTGAATTACAGCGCAGAAATTTTTTTTTCGGAAAATCCTAAAAAAATTTTGCTGCGCACTAGATGTGACTGAAATGGGCGAGTAGTTTGTTGAAAGTTTTTGGGCTTTTTTTCATAGAAATGATTGAAACCGAGAAGGCGGTTGCAATATTTTGTTTAATTTATTGTTGATTTTCGTCAGAATTTTGTTAATTTAGAATATTTAATTATTATTTTGAATAATTTGTGATTAATGTACATTAATTAATGGATGAAAACGATAAATGGTCACAGCGAAGGCTGCGGCATTGTGTACAATATGGAATTAAACCTGACATTCTTGCGGAAAAATTATGTTCAATATCGAGAAATGGAGGTTAAACAAATCCTTAAATTAATTCTCATTTTTTTAGAAGTTTCACATACAAACGAAGAGGATGATTCGACAAAACGACCTCATGCACACTCGACGCGGTCAATTAAATCAACAGCTACAGCTCTTTCGAGAACCCGATCACTCGATCGAACACATATCAATAGGGAATGCTTCCTTGAAAAAAGAGAAAGTGTTCTAGGAATGGCTTGCAGAGGATTAAATTCTGTTGTTACAGGGTAATATTGTAAGGATTTTTAAATTTCAATTATTTTTTAGTGATTTATTTCGCCAAATTCAAGAAGGTAATTCTTCAAAGAGGGCTACTGTTACAAGGATATCTACTTGCGTATCTATACGAGACAAAGATAGATTGCCAGATGTTTTTAACAGTTTCCCTTCTAATCAAAAAAGTCTTCGATGTGATTTAAGTTTGGGTATAAATAATACAGCAACAAACACTTGTTTATTAAATGATGTTGAAAATAATCATCACGACCTTGAGCATACAAAATCTTTAAATTTAATCTCAAACAAGTCACAGAAACAGGTTTAAAAATTTTGTTTTTCGGTTAATATAAGTTGAAGCTTTGAAGCTCTATAGGAAATACCGTAATGTTTATTTTTCAATACCCCTCATTTTTTTCAATACCCCTCATTGTGTGGGCTTCTATTAGGACATGGGAAATATTACGGCACTTTTTTTTAATTCCCTGTTGAAATATTTTTAGTTTTTCTCACTTTTTTAAAATATTAGTTTGATGGTAACAAATAATAACATATATTTCTTACAGATGGATTTGGACGATGAAGACCTTAATGGAATTATATTTATTGATGTACCAAATAAAACTACTTCGAGCATTGATAATAACGATCGTCAGGAGATTATTACAAATTCACTTTCACCCGATTTTTGTCAAATTTCTAATCGGAATGGAAATACTCACGACATGGAGGTAAAAATTTACGAGAAAATATTTTTGTAAATAAAATATTAGTTAAACAATGTATCCAAACTTCATAAATTTACAAGTTTGTTTGGAAGCGGAGAGGACAGTGTTTTAAGGTTTCGGGCATTTAGAAAGGTATAACTTTATTTTATTTTCTTTTAATTTGATATTATTTAAGTTTAACTTTACAAAGAGAATTACAAATGACTCAATTGAAAATAGCCGAAGGAAAAGATTACCAATTTATGGACAATATATTTCTGATCCTCTTTTAATTGTAAAATTAAAAGATTATTCCTGTGATTATAGGTAATACTTTATTATGGAATTATAAAAATAATATTGATAAAAGTTTGGATTGTACAATTTACGCACTTTTTTCCTTACTGGTCGGTCTTTTTTCTTTCCATAATTTGAGGTTAACTTCGTATTTATTGCACTAACATATCGCATGTTAGGGCAATAGCGAAACTTTTCGAGCAATTATAGAACCAAGAGAGAAATATTTAATACTATCTTAACTTTTTTATCAAAAATTTTTAAGACCTTGTTTTACATATTGGATTAGCACAGTTCATGTTTTTGTTTTGCTCTTTATGGTTTTAAATTTTGGAATTGGAACTGATTTTTTAAATATTTTTTATAATCCTTTTGGTGTTATTGAACGTAGTGGAAATGTAATGACTTCATCTCTTTCTGCTGCACATATTGTTGTTTGGGAGCAAAATAATATTTGGATAGGACCAAAATATGTATTTTTTAAAATATATTTTTTAATTAAGATATTTTTTTAAAGTCAGATTTAGTTCATGTTGGTGCTAAATACACACCTTGTATGAGAAGAGATCAGAAAATATATGAACAAATATTGCGTGAAAGACGAATAGAATCAGAAACAACTGGATGTTGTGTTGGACCTTGGGGTTGTTATCAAACATCTGAATGCCCGGTTTCTTTTTTAAATAATTTTTAAAATAATTTTATTTTAAAGAAACAATTTGCTCAACATATAAAATGGACAAATGGAACATTTCCTGAACGTTTTAATTTTCGTGTTGCTTGTGGGCAAGATCCCCGTTATTGTGTAAAACCCCGTTCTGTTCATCCATTTCTTTGGGGAATCGACTTGATTGACTGGCCTGTTAGTTTTTTTACATATAAAAAATTTAAAATTTTTTTAAGATTTGTGAACAAAAAGCTTCTTCAATCCCAGCAACAATCAAACACATGCAGTGTGAAGTGACTGGACGTCCTTGTTGCATCCAAATGCATGGACAGTGTAGAATAACTTCTAGAGAATATTGCGATTTTGTTGGAGGTTATTACCATCCAAATGCGGTACTTTGCTCTCAGGCAATCAGAATTTTCCAGTACTTTTTCTAAAAATATTTTTAGGTTTCTTGTCTTCGTGAAGTTTGTGGCTTGACATCATTTTTACGCAAAGATTCACCAGATCATATTTATCGTTTAATTACACCACTCTTCATTCATGCAGGATAAAGATTTACTTATTTTAATAAATTCCTTTATATATATAGTAAAGTGTGTTTGCTCAAACCCGGTTGACCGAAACCGAGAGCCTTGCTCTTGAGTTTTGACCAATACTTTTCTTTTTTTTCGGTCTTGTGGCGCTATACGCTTCTTGTGTAAAACTAAACTTTTTTTGATGAAATTTCCTTTGAAAACTGAAAAACTCAAAATCAAAAACTTGAATACTAAAACTATCCTAATTTAAGAATAATTCGCTGTGCAATATCATTGGCTCTTTATTTAACTGTAATGCGAAGATTTGAAATAATGGTTAGTGATTTTGAGTATTCTCAGAATTAAAAAACTATAATGTAGATTGGGTGGCATCGTCTTTCAGCAATTTATTTTATTTCCGGAATTGGAGGATATTTGGCGAGTGCAGTATTTGTACCTTACATGGTTAGTAAAATGTTTTTAGTTTTATTTAAATTTAAATATTAGCCAGAAGTTGGACCGGCAGGCTCTGAAGGAGGAGTTTTAGGTGCTTTAATAGTTCACATTCTCTATAGTTGGAGTTGGCTAAATCAACCTTTTCGTGTGCTTTTCTTGCATTTAGCAATAGCTTTTGGACTTTTTATTCTTGGATTTCTGCCTTGGATAGGTATTTTCTCTTTTTGTAGTTTTTTCCATTTTCTCCAAAATTTAGATAATTGGGCACAAGTATCTGGATTCCTTTTTGGATCTCTTACGGCAATAAGTTTGTTTTTTACTATGAAATTTTGATTTTTTAAATTTTTTTTAAGTTTTGCTTCCATATATTACAATTGGTAATGGAAGAGTTAGAAAAAGAAGGCCGTTAGTTGCTGCCTCTTTTCTTATTCTTGCTTTTATGTTTTCAATTCTTTTTGCACTATTTTTCTTCTACCAAATTGATTATGAACCTCTTGCATTGTTAAATTGCCCAATTCCAACAAAAATTTGCGATCACCAGGGGTTGATATTACGTGATTGGATTCCAATTTAATTGGAAATTTATTATAATTACTACCTCTAATTTTTTTACATTTTACATGTGCCTTCTTCCATTTTATGCCTTTCTAATTTTTTTTGGTACCTAAATATCCGTGTTAAATCTTGACTTTTTATATTTTTATTACCTCCTTAAATTCCACGGTTTTAATTATTTAAATCTCAACATAATTAAGAGCCTTAAGATTTTGTCCCATTAATTGTTTTTAAAATATTTAATGTGATAAATATACATAATAGACAATTTTGTATTTGTCAAATAATGCTTTAATTTTAGCTAGGGAGTCTATTGAAAATAAAGATGGTGGGTAAGGTTGGTGGATCCTGGGAAATCTTCGGATATCCGAATGAAATTTCCGGTATTTTTCGAGTCCAGATCTGTCAACCCTAATACTGGGTAATTATTGCAGTATACTATTTTTATTTTTTAGACAAAAAAATAAAGTTTGAATATTATGATTCGGATCATATTAAACATTAAATCGTCGGAAAGATTTCAACATTGGAACTAAATTTCTTCAAAATTTATCGTTGCAATAATGTCCTTTAAAAAGTATTCTGATTATTTAACAAAAACATAACCAAAATAAATTAAAAAATAAATTGATCATAAATCATTTTTAACAAAAACATCGTCATTGAATTAAGCTGAGATCTCACATACAGTTCCAGATGAATCCACGGGTGAATAAAGAAAAATATTTTTTAACGGAACATCATTTTGAGATAAAGCCTAAAGTTAAAAATACTTTTTTATATAAAAAAATTAATTATACTTTAATCGCCTCTTGAGCCAAAACACTTCCAACAATTGCACAAACAGAATTTAAAGCCGGCTTTGTAAACCTTAAAATTAAAAAAATATAAATTAATTTATTAACAAAAAAAAACAAACAACAAAAAAAAAACAAACAAAGCAAAATCGTCAACTGTAAACTTTTGTTTAGATTCTTCTAAACAAGCTTCTTCCAATTCTTTTTTCCATTTTTTAATAACTTCATCTTTTGTATAATCATTTCCATTTTTTTCTTTCATAATTTGCATAAAAGCTAATTAAAAATTTAATTTTTAAATTAAATTAAAAAAACCTCTAATAATGTAATAAGTGCTTGGCAAACTAAAACGCCGACGAAGCAATTTTTTCATCCCAAGTTTAATATCAAAAGTTTGCTCAAAACTTGGAAATAAAACATTCTAAAAATTAAACAAGTATAATAACTTTTTAATATTAATTTATGATGGAGTTTGTTGATATAACTTTTTAAAATAATGCGCGAAAATTATTTTATAATTCTAACAATTCCGACTTTATGGGGAGATAGATTAGGTGGTTTCTAACGGGAATTCTTCATTTATGTTAAAGCTATCAGTTGATATACATATAATTTAAAGCAATCGACACAAAAAATCTCGTTCAAGTCCAAATTTCTAACCTTTTTAATTTTTGCATCTTCATCCTCTAAAGTAAATGTTTGAATATTTCCATCTTCAGTTCTAAGCTTTTTTGATTCAGAAATATCTTCAATTCTCTCATCAACATCATCCAAAATACTTTGAATAATTTGTGCTTCCTTTGGTTTTGGACTGAAAAATTAAAAGAATTTAAAATTAAAAGAAAAGTAATTTACACAAGAAAAACATGATCATTAAAATCAAAAAATCCATAACCAATCCAACCAAAAACACCGCCAGCTTGGAACCGAATTTTATATTTACGGCAAATTTTGTCAATTTTATTGGTAATATCAAAGTTTTGATCAACAAGAATAACCAAATCAAAATTTTTGAAAAAATCCTCTGATTTGCTTGAAATAGAGCCATTTTCAACATTAACTTGAACCATCGGATTTAATTGTTTTAAACGTTCAATAGATGCTTGGGCACGCTAAAAATATAAAAAAATTCCTTTAGAAATTCTCTTCTATTAAAAAATACATTTCCGCGGTCATCTGGAGAAATTAAAAATTGTGAATGTTTATCGGCATCAGAAATCTAAAAAAATAAAAAAAATTAAATTTTAAAAAATAAACAAAATTAACATTCTTGTCATCCATTAAAGTAAGCGATCTCAATCCAGAAAGCATCAAATTCTTTGCGAGTTCAGCACCCAACCCAGTCATTCCAACAATTATAACTGAAGATTGACGAAGTCTAAAAATTAAAAAGACTTCTAATTTTAAAATAAAAATACCTATTTTGGGCATCCAATCCCCATAAACGAATTTGTCTGTCATAAAGTTCAAATTCATCACTATTTATTTTGTTTATTTCAGTCATTATATTCTAATATCTATAAGTAAATTAAGAAAAAAAACGAAAAATAAAATAAGGTTAAAACCCAAAAAAATTAAAACAAAATTTTTTTATTAAAATTTACATAGTAAAATAAAATAATGTAAATTTCTGTGTCCTCATTGTCTCCTGTAATCTCTTCTATTATTCCAATTTTCTTCCATATTTCCTCTCCCTCTTCTCCAATATGGAGTATGACGCCAATTCCGATCCCCATAATTTCTCTCTTGATTTATTCTTGAATATAAACGTCCTGATTCATTTGATTGTTGCAACCCCAAAGATGAAAGACAAATTGGTTCATGCGAAATGGTTATGGACGCTCTTTTGTATTCATCATCATTATTTGTGTACCTTTAAAAGAATAAATTTAATTTTCACTAACCACATATAAAATTACCTTGAAGCAAAGAGAGTATCATAATTAGATTCATTGCTTGATGGAGTAAATTCCGAATTCTTAACTTCTGATGATGAATTATTTTTTTCCGCCATTCTGTAAAAAATAAGATTTTAATGATAAGATGAGATAAGCATAAAGTATTATCAAAGAACATGAAAAGTGCCCAAATCACTACTGTTTGTAAATTATTATAATTTTCTTTAAAATTATAATAATAAAATATAATTTTATTATTATTTTGTTGTAATAACTACTGTTTGTCACTAGACACGCACACAAATGCTTGGTGCACTCAAGCAGCGGCACCCAATTGAACTTTCCCAAATACCAGTTAACCTTTTTTGGCCGTGGCGATCAGTTAATGCATCGACCAATTGTTTAGGAGCAAACATTTTTGTTGAACGTTAGCATTTTTGGCTGCAATTTTCTCCTAATTTGTAATAAGTTGAAAATTTCAGTTTTAACTTGTTTAAGATGCTTAATTATTTTGCTACTTAATTCATTATTTTAGGCCAATTATTGTTTTGTAAATTTATTCCTGCATAAAATATACCTAATTTTATTATATATTCTCATGTGAATGTGTTATTTGATGATGCATGCTCCAATCTACGGTTACAACACTGTCGTTCCCGAGCCACTTAATGCTATAGAGCAATTACCAATTCGTACAAATTTAAATCTGCCTGAAGGTGTTTATCGTCAATCAACTACTGCAAATGAATATTTCCGTTCCAACAGAATGCCCACCCAGGTTTATTTTTTAAATTTTTAAAAACTTTAAATAATTATTTAGGTTGCTGGTCCTGTCTGTAATTCGTCAATACGTATTTCGTTTTTAAAAATTCCCAAGTTAAATTATGTGGAAGAAGCTTTACCTTCAACTTCAAATAAATATACGTCAAATACAAATTCATTTGACCATCATCATTCCTCTACTATTGAGACATCAAATTATATAGAGCGAATTTGTCTAAATATTGGAAGAGAGATTTACGTTTTTGATTATAGGTAAAATTTATTTTTGTATAAATAGTGTAAAAGATTTTTGATAAGGGAATTTTTGGTAACTTACCTTAATTAGACTTTTTGTAATTATACATTAATAACATTTATCGCGTTATAATTTTTTAACGAGTGATCAAACCTAATCTATCCAATTAGAAAAAAATACTGCTTATCGAGGGCTTTCAAATGATATAAAATTTATTTGATCTGGATTAGGTATCAAAAAGTTATAGCCTATCACATTTCGGCTGGCACTCAATTTGTAGAATATAACGAATATGTACCCAAAATTTTTATTTTTTAGTGGGGCAAATGGCATGACCGACACTGCAAAAATAGTCGACAAACGTGTTTACAAAGGCACATTTCCTACATGTCACACTTTTAATAAAGAAAATTCTTCCCAATCTTCCTGTTTGTTGCTAATTGGATTTTCTGCTGGCCAAATTCAATTGATTGACCCACAGCAGAAGGAAATGCCCAATTCAAAACTTTTTAATGAAGAGAGACAAATAGATCGAACAGCGGTTACTTGTTTACGTTGGGTTCCTGATGGATGTTCATTTTTTGTAGCCTCACATGCAAGCGGCAATCTTTACGTTTGTCTTGTTTTCTTTTAAATATACATATAATCTTTTCTTCTTTTTTCAGTTATACAATGATGAGCTTGACTCTTCCACAATAGCTCCAACCTACCAAGTTCTCAAACAAGTAACTTATTTATTTTTACATTTTTTAAAACCATATTTTTTTCATTAGGGTGATTGTTTTACTGTCTTTACTTGCAAGTCAAAAGTTAGCCGAAATCCTGTTCACAGATGGCAAATTGGCACTGGGGCAATTAATTCCTTTGCATTTTCTGGTTCCACTTCTAATTTTATTGCAACTGTTAGCCAAGTAATTTAATGATTTTTTGTTTTATTTTTAAATATTTTTCCTAAGGACGGGTTTTTGCGCATTTTTAATTGGCGAACAATGGAGCTTATTGGATGTATGCGTTCCTATTTTGGGGGTCTTTTATGTCTGGCATGGAGTCCAGACTTGCGGTATATCGCTACGGGTGGAGAAGATGACCTTGTTTCGCTTTATTCTGTTACTGAAAGTTTGTATTTTTATACATTAATAATATAAATTTGAATAAGTTGCTACTGAGTATTGACTCTTGAGCTTTATTTTAATAATAATTTCAATAAATAATATAATTCGAATATATCAAACATTTAAAGATCGGGTTGTTTGCCGAGGACAAGGTCATAAATCTTGGATCTCTGACATCGAATTTGATTATTATGCCTCTACCAATTCTCTTCCACAAAATAACACTGGTTACAATGAGTCAACGATTGATGAAATTTTGTTGTCTTCTACTGCAAATACTTCTTTAATGGTTCATACCGGTGATTTAATCAAAAATTATCTTTTAAATTAACAAATCTTATATTTTATGTGGTCTAAATTACTCACAAAATTCATTTGGTATTCAACATATTGGCCAAAATGGATATGGAACAAATTTTAATTCTGATTTATGTGACGGAATTGCAGCTAGTTGTTCATCTTCCATTCCGAACCATTCAGTTTTTGATGATAATCAGGAAGGAGAAATTAATTCACAATTACGAATTATTTATCGGATAGGTTCTGTTGGTCACGATTGTCAGGTATTTTTATATTTAATTGAAAGCATTTTTTGTTGTTTTTTTAGCTATGCCTTTGGGATATTTCTGATGATATTCTTCTTTCAAGTAGCTGTTATAGCAGGAATTCTCGAAATTTACAAGATATCCAAACGGAACTTTCTTCACCTGTTGGAGCGTTATCTCCAGGAATTTCTCCAATAGAAATAAATCAAGTCAATAATACAACTCTTATTCCCATTGGTTTTGATAATTCTATTGCACTTCCTAAAGAGGTAATTTTTAATTTAAAAAAATTTTTTTTGAATTTTAAGAATCAAAAGAACGGTTTGAAATCTGATAAATTAAAAAATGGAGGTGGTGGTCGATTTAGACGATTACACAAGCGAGGTTTAAGTATTGGCTCACGTTTAACTGGAAATAGTGAAAAGTATTAATTTTTAAATTTTTATTAAAAAATTTATTTAAAAAGAAATAATCGCCAAAATGGAATTTCATCAAGTGGAGCTCATTCTGTCGACGGAACACTTAAACGTAATGATTGTCCCTCATTTGCTGCTAAACTTTTTGGAACACCACAATGTCCAAGAATTGAAGAAATACCAATTATAGAGCCAATTCTTTGCAAAAAAGTTTAGAAAATTTTTTTAATATTAAAAAGAAAATTTTGTTAAGGTTTCAAATGGTCGATTGGGTTCTTTACATTTTAGAGAGGATTGTATTGTTACTACCTGTCAAGAGGATTATATTTGTATTTGGATAAGGCCTAATTCTCAACATAATCAACAAGTAAATTTAAATAAATTCTTTTATGTTTAAATTTATTTTTAGGAAGACAAACATTCATCGACAATTAACACAAATCATCATCAACAACAAAACCATTTAATGGCCATAGATTGTTCAAATGATTGTCAACGGCTCTCATCTGATAATTTTGCCAGTACATGCGTGTGACTTTTTAATTAATTAAAAAACAAGAGAGAATTAATTAAATATAAATTGATAAGCTATTTGAAATATATAATTAAAAATTCGGGTATTTACCCCTTTCCTTCCACGAGTTTTTGTTAGGTTTTATTGGATATCGCGAGCCCACTCTCTACCGCAGAGCTGTGACGCTCGTTAAAATTTTCGAATCATTGACGCCTTAGTTCTTTTCAGCTTTTATATACGAGGACTTTTTGATTCGTTTCTTTTACTCAAATTTTAGCCCTGTGTCGGAGTGGGCTCGTGGCGGACTGGCCTGTTTCCGTTTTTTCTTTAGCCATTAAAAATATATATAAAATTATTGACTAATATATTTGTTATAAAAATTAAATTTTTGTCACAAACAAAATAATTATTTTGTTTTAATTGATAATCTAATATTTAAGATTGCCAATAAAATATTCAAAAATATATAAAAGAATTTTATTTAAATTAATTTTTAAAAATAAATTAAATGAGCTCTATTATAATAAATATACTAATTATAATTTCACGAAAAATTTCTGTCCAATTCTTGTTTGTTATGAAATTTTAAAGGTGCCCGCAAAATTCCATTTTCATTCAAAAACTTTAAAAACAAAATTAATTAAAAATAAATATACAATTAAATACAATTTCCCAATCTGGACCACATTTTGCTGGCGGGAGTGAATATTTTGGATGAAGATAATCACTTTTAGGTCTTGAATCCTCCATAGAATGGCTTCTTGGTCTACATCTTTCTTCTAATTTTTTATGTAAATATTCAAGTGATTGCATTGATCTGTGAAAATAAAAAAAAGTTCTCTTTTGTTATGAAAGGAAAAAAATTAGACAAGAAGAATCGGTATTATCGCATCAGTTGCCACCGTTTTAGTTTTCTCCTTTCTCCAAAAAGGTACATATTGGAAGGAACAACATACTATTAAAGATTTTGCGACCTATGGCGACAGATACCAAGCTCTGCATTTTATAATTAAGGTCCGGTATCACCATCTCTGGGTGATTGTAACTTCCCAAAAGTTACAATCACCCCCCCCCTTCTCGACATGAACTGATTTTGGCCAATATGTACTTTTTTGAAAAAGAAAAATGAGGGGAGAAGGAAAACATAACGGTGTCAGCTAATGCGATAGTACTGAAGAATCTTCCATCTTCGGCTTGTAATACTGGAGAATCGGAACCTACATGAAACCAAACCGGATCAGAAAATCCAGCAATTTCTAATCAACCTGGTCTGCCGGAGAGTTAATACTAGGAACTAGGGTTGTCGTTTCTGGACCGAACTGAATATTTTCTGGGATGATTTTTCGGTTCGGTTTCGGATATTTGAAGAATTTCCAGGAACCGAAACCCTACTAGAGACCGGACTTGTGGATCGATTGAGTTGATCTTTATTTACCTAACAGCAGAAGAAGGTGATGGACTAGTACTGTATTCGTGGTCAGTAAATGCTGAATATTTTCTGGGACTTTTAACAACGCTGTAGGGAATTAATTCTGGATGGGGATTTGTCCTTTTTGGAAGGAGTGCACAATGACTGATAAAAAATATAATCAAAATAATTGTGCAAATTAAAAGTAGAATTGCTAATAGAAGCATTTTTATTTAACTAAATTATTTAAAAAAATTAATTTAATACCAACAGCATTATAAAATTAATTTAAAAAAATTCTTTTATTAATATTTTGAAGAAAATATTTTTTTTATTTTTAAAAGTATTTTTGACAAAAAAATTAATCTCGAGACAGACATTAAAAAAATAAAAATAAATAAATATATCCTCTTCAATAACAAACAAAAGAGAAAAACAAATAAATAAAATTAGAGAGAGAGAACTCGTCGTTTAATGGCAATATAAAATTGGAAATAGCCAGTTAGTTAGTCCTACAAACATATATTTTTTTATTTAGTATTTGAAGAGAGAAAAATTAAAAGAGAAAAGAATGTTAGAAGGACGGAAACTACTAAAATATATTTTTGTTTTGCTAAATAAAAATGGATTAAACTTTTTTTTAAATAAGTGTAAAGGCGAAAATAAAATTAAAAAAAATTTTTTTTTTGTTTTTAAACAAGGGGGAGAATTTTATATACTAAATTATTAAAAAAAATTTTTTTTAGAGATTTTTGTAGATGTGTAAATTTGGTAATATTTTTTTCCGAACTTCCTAGCTGACATTTTTTCAAAAATATAAGAATACTTCTCTATATATTTAATTAATCTCTTCAAAATGTGTATTTATTTACTGGAATATTTACTTTATGTATTATAAAAAGACAAAAAATTAGAAAAAAAATTAAAAAATTAATCAAATTAATTAGTTTTAAAAAATTATTTTGCTAAAAAGCAAAAAACAATTCCTAGTTTATAATTTTACCTGAAATAAATTAAAATAAATATTTATTTAAATAATAAATGAGGCAACAATATAAATAGTATATAATTATTATTTTGAGCAAAAAAAGAAAAGAAAATTTAAAAATAAAATGAATTTAATGGAATTTAAATATTTGAAGAACTCTAATATTTTTTAGAAATTAATCTTGGAAATGATTTTCATAAATTTGTATATTGGGGATCCAAAAATCCAATTCCTAATAAGAGAAAGAAAGAAATGAGAAGGACACAAAAATGAAAAAAATATATTTAAAAAATATTTGTTTTTGTTTTATAAAAATATTTTCAACCCCCCCCCCCCCCCCCCCCATCTCCTCCCCTCAAAAAAACACAACCAAACAAATATTTTTTTAAAAACTCTTTTAAACAGGACTAGCTTTAATATCATTTAACGCCCAATTTGTAGTTGTAGGCATTTTACAAGCTTCCAAATAATTAGGTAATTTAGGTATTTCTTCTTTATTATTTAATGGACAGGCATAAAATAAACCTTTTTCGTCAATCTAAAAATATTTTAATTTTAAATTAAATTAATTAATTAAACCTTTAAATAATAAGGTTGATCTAGGGAAAATGGCTCTTTTATTTGTTTTAATCCTTAAAAATAAAAAATAATTTTATGCAAATATTTAGGGGAACCCCTTTCAATAAAAGAGAGAAGGGGAGAGAAGGGAATCCCCCCCCCCCTACACAAAAAAGGGAATCCCCCCTACCCCCCTCTCTCCACAATAAATATATTATTTTTTACTATTCAAATTAGCCTCTTCTAAAGTATTTATTCCATTAAATATCCTTTGTGAATTATTAAAATGTCTTGAACGAAAAATGCAGGAACATGCAGATATTGAACAAACAACACCAAAAAGAATTCCAAAAACAAAAAATTGACAAATTAATTTAGATATTCCCTCCTCTAAAAAATTGAAAAAGATAAGAATTTTTATTTTTTTTAAATTTTCTTTTAAATTTCTATAAATAATTTATTTATTTATTTATTATCAGAAGACAGAAAAAAATTAATTTAATTAAATACCTTCTTTTCTAACAACATTTCCAATTTCTTTATTATTATTTTTCATTTTTCTTTTAAATTCTTCTTTTAATAAATTTTGTTGTTTTCTTTTTAAAATATTTGAAGTCTTTATAAAAAAATTAAAATTATTTTTTTAAAGAAAATAATTAAATCCCCAAACAATTAGCGTATATACTTTAATTAATTACCCCTCTCTCCCTCAAATAATTACCCCGCCCCTATTAGTTACCCCTCCAGTAAATAAAGTAATTTTAATTTATTTTCTTACAATTAATTCAGAATTATTCAAATTTAGTCCATTATTTTGAATAAATAAACAAAACAAAAATAATATTAAAATTAAAAAATAGGGCATTTAAATTAATTTATTTAATTAAATTTTAAAACTAAAATTGATAAGGAAAAATTATTTTATTTTTTTTATTAAATAAATAAATGATGAAATATTTTGGAAGGATTATATAGACTTTATTTATTTATTTAAGAGGGGTTCCCCAAACTTTTTTGAGGGGAGTTATCAAAAAAATGATTATTATCAACAAAATGTTTATGAATTTTTATTTAATATTAACAAGTATTTTAATAATTTATTTTTTATTTATTTGACATAAAAAATAAGGAAAGGGGAAATTTTTTTGGAAAAATTAAAAATATTTTATTTAATTAAAAATTAAAAGCCTAAAAAAGGGGGATTAAATAATAAGTATAAGAGGAGAAGAATTTAAATACATTTCTTGTCAAAAATAAATTTATTTAATTAAATATACTAAAATTCGTCATTAAACAAATTCTTTATCAGTTTATTATGACCACAATCATCAATGAACGGGCTGTAAAAATTATTAAACAAACATTGGGTGCATCTTAACATTTATTTACTCTTTGAAAAAAATATTTTTTTTAAATTTGATAATAAATTTTGAAAAAAAAATTAAAAATATCACATTATTTACAAATCAACCTTCGTACTTCCAAAATTAAAAATGTACTTATATATTCGTAAATACCCTTAAACTTAACAATTTTTCGATCAGAGCCCAAATAAAACTAATTAAATAATTATAAAAATTAAAATAAGTGAGAAAAGGAAGGTAGTCAAAAATGTATAAAATAAAAATTAGTTAAAAATTGACTAAAAATATTTTCTAAAGAATATAAATTATTAAATATTTTGTAAAAAATTTAAAGTTGGAAGGTAAAAAAAAAAAGAAAATAATATTACAACAAAAACCAATGAATACTACAAACTTTATAATAAAATATATTTATCTTAATTGATCATAGATTATATTTAAAAAAAAAATTTCTTTAAATCAACAAATTTTAAGGCAATATTTTTGGTTAGCAGCCAAAATTAAATTTTATAAAAATTTATAAAGTTTCACAATTATTATTCCAAAATTATTTAAATAAAAAATATATTTCTTTAGTATTTTTCCAATAAAAATCTTTCGACAGAATATTCAAATTTAGAAGGATCATCCATTGGTTTAGCTATGTCAAGCACACGCCTTTCATAAAAGCTTACATTGTCTTTTTTATCAACCAGTATTATTGAAGTTGATCTAAAAGTAAATTTAAATAAAAACTTTAGGTACTATCCGCCCAAATTTTCCTTTCTCTCTTATAAATATTACAAAACCTATCATATCACAACGAGTCTATATAGTGGGTCACCAGCTTGTGTAATTAGAACAAATGCCAACGTTGGGCGTTGTAAACCCCAATTTATTTTAAAAATACTTTGTTCCATAATTTCTTCCTTGTAAATGCCCATTAACAAAAATTGAACATAACAATTTGTATTTTGAGTCAGTAGAACCAGTTTGTAGACGAATTTGTTCATCCGGAAAATGTCTAAAAAAATAAGAAAATAATTATTATATTTTAAAAATTAATTTCTATTAAAAACAAACATTTCTGTATTAGAACCAATTTCAAAAAGTTCATTAATTAAATCCTCTTCAGTAAAATCAATTTTTGTAGAGAATTGGTCAATTAATGATTGAAGGAGTTTTTCGCCATAAATAGCCTTTTTGAAGGGAGTTATTCTTGGACTATTACTGAAAACATGAAGGCCTATAAATAATTAATTAAAAAATTTAATACAAAAAATTTCAACCTTTAGGCCAATGCACGGGTTCAGAATTATCAAATCTATTTGTAAAAGAATAAAGTTCATAACAATCTTCAATTCTTTCAATTAAAAAATTTATTAAATTAATTATTTAATAAAATACCTTTCTAATATAACAAATTGAAATCCATTAAAATCTTTAAAATTTTCTCCTCTAAGTTGAAAAAGAAAGTTTTCAGCAGAAGTTTGTCCATTCAAAAAATTCGTAACTAATTTACCTAAAAATATTTATTTAAATTTATTTTTATTTTAAACCTCTGCTTGGTGCAAAAGATTTAAAAACATTTTTTGGTTCTGTTATAGACAATAAATTTCCAATTCTCCCATTTCTGTCAATTCCAAGCCAAGTACCTCTTTCCTTTTCACGTTCATCTCTCCCTTATTTTTTTTAAATATTTGATTGTGAGAATGATTTTTGTTAATTAAAATTGCCCCTCTACTTTTGGTACTTACATATTTAATATCCCTCACCCCACCCTACGCCTATTTTGCTTTTTTATTGTCAACATTTATATCCTTCACGTTGCAAGTTTTTAAACCCTTCTAATTTAATAAGTAAACAGTAAAAAAGCAGAGTAATCTGAAACTCAAATGGGGGTGGGATATCAAATACCTTTTTATGTAAAAACAACCTACCCGCCAAAATTCCATCACACCAAGCTAGTGCAGAAGTAGGGCGAGAAAATTCTGAAAATAAATTCTTTAAACAATAATTTCCACAAATTTCCAAACCTTCATCTCTATTATTTAACAATATTAATTTGAATCTTCCCAAAATTAAATCATTATCAGCATTAATAATAAAAGTAATACACATTTCTGTTCTTATATTTAAATAAAAATAAATAAAATAATTTAAAAAATATTGTCATTTTTTTAAATAAAAATTTTAAGAAAATAAAAAAAATATAAAAATATTTTTATTTCGATTTTAAAATATTTATTTAAGTTCAATAAGGCCAAGCGAATTTAAATTAATTATTGAATCAGCAATAACCCTAGCTGTTTGTTGTAAATAACCTCCACTAGTTAACTAAAAATAAATAAATTTTCAAAATAATTATTAATTAATTAACCATAACAATAGGTATTTCACGTTGTTTAGTTGCTTTAAATACTAATTCATCTCGTCGAATAATTCCCTAATTTGTCAAATAAGAATTATTATAAATTCATTTATAAAATTTATTAAATAACAAATAAACTATTAGAGCCTCGAGCAAAAATTAGGGTATTTCATGTTTATACCGCCCCCTCCCCTAGTTGAAGTACCTAATTTAGAAAATATTTAAAACAAAATTAAGATTCATTAAAGGAAGAGAACATTTTTGTTACGCCCGACCTCCCCCTCCCCATTTCTAAATATTAAAAAAACCTTAGAAGAAATTCTCAAAAGCCCTAAAGGATCACCAGAAAGCGAATCTGTACCAGCCACATAAACAACCAAATGAGGAGTAAATTCAGAGAATGCCTCATTCAATTCCCTTTCTAATCGAGAAAGGTAATACTCGTCGCTCGTTCCAATTCGAAGAGGAATTGCCCTTGAAATACTTTCTAAAAATATTTTAAAACCAAAAATTATTTTTTAGCTAAAAATACTTTTTGCAGGTCCATCTTTAGGATAAATTTGTTCATTGTAAAAATCCATAATATAAACACGATTATCGTTAATAAAATCATTTTCATGTCCATTACCCTTAAATTTAAGAAAAATTTTAATTAAATTTTCTAAAAACTTGATGAGCATCCAAATCAATAATCATTGCTTTTTTAATCAATCCATCCTCAAATAAAATTTTAATTGCTAAAGTAATATCAGCATAAACACAAAAACCGCCTCCTGTATCACTACAAGCATGGTGAAAACCGCCACCAATATTAATTGCCCAACCATATTGAAGTGCTAATTTTGCAGCTAAAATGGAACCACCTGTTTGAAATCTTGAAAAAAAATTAAAATTTCAGAATTCTAAAAAACCTTAATGGACGTAATACCAATCTATTAACTAGACAAGAAGGAAAAGGAATAACTAAACAAACTTCCAAAATAAAAGCAAGTCGAATTGTTGAATTGAGAGAACATAAATAAGTTGGGGAATGAACAAATAATAAATCTTTCTTTTTAATTTCTTCAGGTTTAATAATTGCTTCTTCCTTTAATTGTCCACTCTCTATGCAGAATAATTAAATTAAAAATGTAAAAACATTTCCACATATGTCAAAGGGACAATTTTCACGTTAATAGCTATTTTTCGAAATTAATTTTTTGATCAAACTAGCTAGAAGCCAGCTTATATAGATTACTCAAAGAAACTTTTAATAAGGTGAATATCCTGGTGCGTAAAGCAAAATTAAAAATACTCACCAACAAGAAATTGAAAAACTCTTCCCCATTTTTTTGAATCAAATGGATGTAACCTCTCAATTCCAAAAAAGCTAATATTGTATTCATTTGTATATACAATAGGGCATTGATGTTGTTTAAGTTGAACTGAATAAAGATGAGAAAACCGCGTTTTAGACTCTGAAGATGTTGAAGCAATCGGCCGAAAATCTAATTCATTATTAGTAAAATCCATTTAAAAAACTATAAGCTTTTTTAAAATTTTATTTTTATTTAGATAAAATTGTTGAAAAAATCATTTAAAATAAATAATCATAAAATATATTTTAAATATATTTAAGTAACATCATAAATAAAGGCAGAAAAGTGAGTAGATGGCCAGAAATTTAAAAGAATTTGAGGTTAATAATTAAATTAAAAATCAATCAAAAATAAATCTTCATGTCTACTATCAACAAAACTAACAGTCATAAAACCTCAAATTCAAAGGCAACAAATATCAAAAGAAAAAATTAAAACAATAATAAATATCCAACATTTTTCACTTTCTTTCCAATAAAATAATTATTTAGTTTTCTTGGTATCCGCTTTAGAAGAAGAATCGGCTTCACAAGCATCTAAATATAAAAAAATAGAAGAATAAATATATTGATAAATTTACCCTTTTGAGATGATTTCGTATGTTGCTGTTGCCTTTTCTTTTCAGCTTCTTTTAATTTTTTGGCATAAGCTCCCGTAGGAAAAACATAATCAATGATGCAGACAATTATCTTAAATAATTAAAATTGAACTTTGTACCATTTTTCCACATTGTGGAAGGGAAAGGTGGGGAGGGGGTACGAAGTTCAATTTCTAAAAACTTTTTTATGATTCAACCTAGTTGTGATAATTTAGAAAAAATTAAAAATAAACAAAAACATACAAATCCAAGAACACATCCAAGTGCTAAAGTAACTCCAGCAAAAAGCGTATAAGAAGCCCACGAAGGAACACCAAGCTTTTCAACCATATGATTGTGAAGATCGCGAACAGCCATTGAAAGTTTAAAGAAAATAGCAACAATTCCCATTTGCGGGCTGTCTGGATATTTGTAAGAAGGAATTGGATCAAAGTTTGTCCATTGCTTTTCTTCAATAAACGTGCTGAAATCATTCTTGTCACGTGGACCAACATAAAGGCGGAAAACCCCATCCTTGACACTGAAATAAAAGAAAAATAAAATTAAATGAAAACTGAAATCTAAACTGATAAATTGTCGGCAAAGCAGTGACAAGGAATCTGCCAGAAAGACCAGGATTAGTAGTCACGTCAATTTCTGCGACATTTATGTTTAAATCCGTCGACCAATCGGCAAAAGAATTCCATGCCTTTTGAAGATCTTTGCAGGCAGGACACCATGGAGCGTGACTAAAATGAAATTTAATGAAGAGATTAAACGTAAAATAAATAAAATTAAAGAAAAAAATATTAAAAAATATACAATTCAATCATCCATTCGCCAGTTAGAATATCACGCCAATTCTCCTCACTCAATGCCAATAAATTTTTCGACCTTGTAGCACAAAAAATAATAGGCAAAAAAGAAATAATTAAAATCAAATGAAATAAAGGTTTATTGAACATTTTTATTTTTCTCTAAAAACTTTCTTTTTAAATTAAAAATTTTAAGTGTATGATTTTTATGAAAAATGATTTGCGCAGATAGAAGAGAAAAATAATTACACGTCTGCATAAGTGCGGAACAAGAATGGATCAATTTCCTGTTCCTTTGCGTATTTTCTCCGAAATTCTTACCAATAAGTAGGTCATCTAAACAACAAAAGAAAAGTTAATAATTAATTATCAAATTATTGTTTTTTATTGTTTAAATTGGAAAAAAATCATTACGACAAATAAATAAAAGACATTAAATCAGGGCTCTCATCGACAAAATGCCACTCAAAAGTATCAAAATCTTGATAAAAAAGTATATAGGGAGAAAATTTCCAAATTTAAAGTATACTCAAAATTAAATTGGAAAATATTTGTTCGTGCTCAAATCTTTTATATTTCTCTCTTAAATGAATCTTTTCTAATAATTTCTTGCTTCCATTGGGCATTTTGTGCATTTCAACGCATGACATGTCAAAATTCGCTGATACAAGAAATAAAGCCCTGACAGTCTTAACCTCAAGCTTTCGTCCATTTTCAGCGCCGCAGGCGAAAATTTTTTGAAATTTGGAGCCCAAGTAGTCAGATTTCTCCCATTTTCAGCGCCGCAGGCGAAAATTTTTTGAAATTTGGAGCCCAAGAAGCCAGATTTCTTTCTTTTTCAGCGCCGCAGGCGAAAATTTTGATAATTTCGAAGGCCCAAGGCTAAAAAAATTCACTTTTTTGCCCAATCCCTTCCCCAATTTCATTTTCAATCCAAAATGTTGATTTTAAAGTATATACTTTCAATAAAGTATAAATTCAATTTCTTAAGTATGGAGGTCGGTTTCAAAGTATAATACTTTCAAATAAAGCACGAATGAGAGCCCTGCATTAAATCCTTGGCATAACATTTAAATATCGACTTAAAGCTTGATAACCAACGGTCCCAATTTTGTCCTGCGTGCAAGCGGCATCCTTCCTTCCTTTACTCTTCTGCTTATGTTTTCTTTCGCAACATCCTATTTTCCTTCAATCTTTTTTCCACTCTTTCTTTCAATTGCACTGTTTTGGTCAAAACAAAATTTATGGCTGGCGGCCATAAAATATTCAATATTAGAACTGTGGACGGCGTTCTAAAAATATACTTCTATTCGTTAATTTTTATTTTATCTTGTACTTTTGTTGTTAATTAATTTTCATTTAAGAATATTTATTTATTGTTACAAATTAAAAATAATTCATGTCGGCTTCATTGGCCGAAGCTAGAGCTGAAAATGGAGGTTCTGAGAAAGTTTCAACTGAAGATAATAAAAGCGAAAGTACTCGTAAGTTAAAAATTTACTAAATATTTTTTTTTCTTTAAATAAATTCCAAAATTTTCAGTTGAGGCGCAGACAAATGGTTCAATTGAAGGTAGTGTAGAATCATCCTTGCTAGTTAAAACATCGAAGGAATCGAATACTTTAGAGCAGCCCGAACAAAATTTAAATTCGGAAGACAAATTAAAATCTGCTGAAGATATTATTCCATCTCAAAAACCGATTGATAACAATCTTAGCAACAAAGAAAGCACCGAGGCAAAGAATGATCAGGAGGTTTATTTTCTAGTTAATCAAAAATTTTACATAGAATTTTAGCCACAGCCATCTAATACTTTGGAGCAAACAGAAGAGCCGGCACCTGCGACTACTGAATCCGAAACCAAAACAGAATTAGCTGGAGAAAAATCGAAGAATGATGAAGAGGCAAAAGAAACAAAAAACAATAAGGAAGAAATGAAGGAAGATGGTGAAAAGAAAAATATCGAAGAACAACCTAAGAATGCTGATGAAAAAACTGAGGTAGAAGAGAAGATGGAGGTTGATGTGAAGAAAGAGGAGGAAGAAAAAAAGGAAAAAGAAGAAAATAGTGAGGCTGGAAAGGTATTTATTTTTAAGACTAAAATTATAATTGCAAGAATTATGGACCCGTATAAACTGTTATAAGAATTAATTTTTTACGTAAAAGCATAAAAAAGTTTCATTATTCAACCGATTAATTTTTCAATATTTTTCAAGGGCGCTGCAAAGCAAGGACTTCCTAAATGGATGGTTCAAAGTGCAAATGCTCCTCCTTCTCCTTCACCTGAACTTTCTGAAAAAACTAGCGAAAAGCAAGATGAAACAGCAGCTCCTATTAAACGGCGAGGAAGAGGGCGTCGTTCTATGGCTGAAAAGGCTGCCGAAGCTAAACAACAAATTAATGAGGGTGAAGAGGGTCAGGTTAGTTTTTGCTTATATATATATTTTTAATAAATACTGAATTTCAGAGTGAGGAGGCGCTTTCTCCGCGTCCTAGACGGTCCACTAGATCTCGTGTTGATTATGCTAATCCAGATCCTAGTAAGTTCAATAAAAATTTTTATTTTACGAAAAGTTTTTTTATTTATTAAAAAATAATTTTAGTGACCGTTGTTGCTGAAGCAGATGATGAGGAGCCAGGAGGAGGTGCAAAACGAATTACTCGAAATGCTCCGGGTCGCAAACCCATTGTAGGACGAGGAAGGAAGCGTAAGGTATCAGTAAGCGAAGATGAAGATGCTGGACATGAATACGAAGATGAGGATGACGAAGATTATGGATCAAAAAAACGTGTTGCTAATAAGAAGCGTTCAAGTGTTGGTAGCGCTATTGGAACTCCAGCTTCAGGGGGTATTAGGAAGAGAGGTCGTGGGCGCCCTGCTGCTGGCACAGGAAAAAGTTCAGGCAAAGCGCCTGCTAAAGGAAGAGCACCAAGAGGAGGAGGTTTTGCTATTAAGCGATTGTCAAGACATGATAAGGATTCTGATGACGAACACAGCGAAGTTGTTTATGATGATAGAGAATCTGATAAGGATCCAACTACTGAAGGTTATTCAATTAATATTTGATTAAATTTTTTATTATTGGCAGAAGATTCTGCTGACGAGAAGCAACAGCAAACAAAGTCAGTTGCTCCTGTAATGGACAGCAAAGTAGCAACTCCAGTGAAAGCTCAGACTAAAAAACGTGGGCGACCTGCAGGTGCACGTCAACAAAAACAAGGTTTGCAATGTTCTTAAATTTTGTTAAGAATTTTTTTTGCAGGAGTTTCAGATGGCAAGAGACGTGATGATGATTCTAATGATGATGGTTGATTCTTTGAGTGAATCATTTGCTTTTACCATTTGTGGAATTGATTTTTCTAATTTTGAAACAATTTGCTGACAATACAACAAAAAATCTGCTAATTTTATTCTTTTATTTTACCCATTTGTTTAAATTGATTCTTTTCACCAATTTTTCACAAGTAGTGTAGTTTACGAATTTAAGATTCATTTTAATTATTGAAAACTGAGGAATTTGTTTAAATATTTTCTGTTAGACTACATTACTTTTTGCCTTTTTCCACCCTAATATTATTTAAATGAACGTTGATATTTCAACTTTACCATCTTGTTTCACCAATAAAACATGAACTTTTTTTTGTTAATTATTAAACATTTATTTTAAAATAATACTACATGAATATTGAATACAAAATTAATTTTTCAATTTTGCTTTAAATTGAGGTTATGAAAATGAATTTATTTGACGCAAAGTTTAGCCATCGTTCTGGGCCCGTAGAATAAATTCAAGGGTAAGGTTACCCGGGTAGCGGCAGCGCCAACTTGACCCAAAGAAAAGGGTTTGGCGCCGCTACCCGCTTCTTATTCTCCCTATTTAGGAAAAAATTCATAACTTTTTTTTAAATGGCGATAAAAATTTTATTTTTTGCCAAAATATAAACTGGAATGTTAGCTATGGTTTACCAAAAAATCAAAAATTTTGACCGACTTATCTAAAAGTTATGAATTTTCTAGCAGGGTACTACTTTTCCTCAAAAAATGACTAGAAAATGAGGTACTTTTTTCTAAAAATTGCCATAAATTGATTTTCAAAGAAAAAATTCCAAAATTTATATCATTGAATAGAGGACATTTCAAACTATCTAAAAATATTAAATTTATAATTTTTCCTTGAGATTTCGATTTTTAAGGATTTTTTAAATAAAATGTCTACCCTGCCCCTTAGCAGTGTAACAATTTTACCCTCCACCTCTACCGTATTCTTTTCCTCTTTCTTTTCTTCTTCATTTTTTCGGCGCAAGGATTTTTCTCTTTTCTTCGTTTTGTGGGGGAAAAGTTACTCGGGTAACCTAACCCCGAATTTATTCTACGGGCCCTGAAGGTATAAATTAATTTAGTTGCAGGGTTCTCATTCGTACTTATTTTGAAAGTACATGTATAAATCGACCCTTTTACACCTGACAATGAGATTGAAAATGTACTTATTTGAGAGAAATATAAGAGATTTGCCGTGAAAACTTATTTTGAGAATTTTCCCACTATGTACTTATAAATTAAGCTTTCTGTACTTAATGTTTTTTCGAGGAGAACCCTGATTTAAACGTGTTTTTTTTAAATCTATTTAAAGATAGGGAGAAACAAGAATGTTGTAACAATTCAATAATCAAACCGGCATGCCTTCCAATTACCATTGTGGCATTACTTGTGTTATTATTATTTTTCATGCCTATGTTTAATGAGGATATGAAGGATATTGCAGGGACCAATGTAAAGAAATATGAACGAACAGGAATTTGTACTGACAAATGCAGGTTTTTATTCAATTCTTTTAAAAAATATTTAATTTTAAGTTGGGAAATTATTGAATCTATACCTTCTGGAATGAACTACACAATTGGGTCTCCGCAACATAAAAGTACTTACAATGGTTGGGTTGAATTGCTTAAGGTTGCCAACAAGACTGTTGACATAGCTGCAGTTTATTGGAATATGAGAGACAAAATGGATTACAAAACTTCATGGCAGGCATTTTAAATATTTAATTTTAATATGTAGTAATATTTTTGTTAATATAAAAAAAGAAAAGATTATTTCTTAAGGGTAGTGAGGTATTTAAACAAATTGAAAATGCTGCTCTACGAGGAGTGAAGGTAATTAAATTTTCCACATTTAAGTTTTTTAATTTATTTTAGATTAGAATAGCTCAAAACTCTGAAGGCCAATTTGGGCCTCTTGATGATTTAGAATTTTTACAAAGAAAGGGTTTTTTAATTCTAATTTGTTAGAAACAATTTTTGTTTTAATTTTTAGGTTTAGTTAATGTTCAAATTTTAAATTTTACAAAACTTTTTGGAAGTGGAATTTTGCATAGCAAACTTTGGATTGTTGACAATCAACATTTTTATTTAGGTTCTGCTAATATGGATTGGCAATCATTAACAGAAGTTAAAGAATTGGGAATTTTAATGAAAAACTGTTCCTGTCTAGCTTGGGAATTTAACAAAATTTTTAGTGTTTATTGGCGTGTTGGGCAAGAACAAAAAATTCCTTCTGTATGGCCAGTTTCTTTACAAACAAAATTTAATTTAAACCATCCACTTCAATTACGTTTTAATTCATCAATGCCTGTAAATGTTTTTATCAGTCATTCACCTAGTGCATTAAATCCAAAAGGAAGAGAACATGATTTAATGGCAATAATTGGTTTAATGAATAAAGCAAAACAAAAAATAAAAATTTCTGTGATGGATTATTTACCAATAACTTTATTTATGAAAGAAAATAATACTTTTTGGCCAGCAATAGATGATGCTATAAGAACAGCGGCATTTAGAGGTGTTCATGTACAAATGCTTATTAGTATATGGCCTCATTCTAAAAAAGAAGCTATTCCTTATTTGCGTTCTTTATTACAAATTAATGAAGCATTACCAAAAAGAGGGAGTATTTCTATTGTAAATTATTTATTAAAAAATTAAATGGGAGAAAATCTTTTTTTAGAAATTTTTTCGTGTTCCAGTCAGTCCAGAACAGGCCAAACTTAAATTTGCTCGTGTTAATCACAACAAATATATGGTGACAGACAAAGCTGCTTGGATAGGTTTTTTTAATTTCATTTTTTTATTAAAATAATTTAAGGAACTTCTAATTGGTCTGGAGATTATTTGTAGGTTTATTTTTTATAAAATTTATTTTGTTAAATATTTTTTTAGTATAACAACAGCGGGAATTGGTATGATTATTGAAATACTACAGAATTCAAGTAATATAATTGATCAACTTGATGCAATCTTTCAAAGGGATTGGATTTCTAATTTTTCTCTCCCTTTAACTTTGCCATGAGAATACAGCGACACGCAAAGTTTTTCACTGAGGATTCAGCTTCATAATTTTGTTTTAAAAACAGCTTTAAATCTTTGAACCGATTGTCCATTGCACAATTGTCTTAATATACAATTGTCAGGCTGTGGAGCTGACATGAGTCACCATTATAAAAGTTATTTCTTTTCCCATGTGCGAATTTCTTTTCTCTATTTTTCTCTAATTCTTACTAACCTCGCATTTTTTGGCTTTCATTCACCAAATTCTTTGTCCAAATCAAATTTCTTATTTTTAACCATACATACTTGTTTACTACTTTTTTATAAAAAATTTTACATAAAGAGCAATTTGTTATCGTTTCTAACGTTACGAGTATCTATTAAACTTTATACATATCATTTAATTAAAAACTTGACTTTTTATTAATTTTTTGTTCAGTTTAGTATTATTACAGAATCTTAAAAATGACCTATCAACCACAAGCAAATAATCCTTACGGATTTAGAGCTGATGAAAATGCTCATACAGCTGAAAGTGGAATGCCGAAAAATGAAATTGGATTCAATGATCAAACGATTAGACAAGCTTTTGTTCGGAAAGTTTTTACTTTGGTCACTATCATGGTATGAAATTTATTTTTTTCTATTACGTTAATTACATCTTTTAAGCTTGGTGTTGTTACGGTTATGTCAGCAATTCCTCACTTTTACCGGGATGGTGAAAAATATCCACTCAGAGAATATCTGAAGAAGAGTATGGGGCTTTATATTTTGTCATTAGTGGTTTTTCTGGTCGTCTACTTTGCATTAATTTGCTGTGAAAATGTTCGCCGTAGTCATCCGACAAATTTGATTTGTACTGGCGTTTTAACACTTTCGATTGGATTTGTGGTATTATTTTGACTTTAATTTCTTTTAATTTGTCCTTATAAGACTATGGTTATGACTTCTTTCTACACGGTCGATTCTGTTGTTCTTGCTTTTGCCGTTACAACTCTTAGTTGTGGTGGTATAGTCATCTTCTCGATGACCACTAAACGTGACATCACCAGGTTGGAGTTTTTTGATATCGTTTATTTAATTTTTAAAATCTCAATTAAGCATGCTTGGTTTTGCCGTCATAATTGGAATGGTTCTGATGCTTTTCGGATTTTTTGCGGTCATGTGGACAATGATTTTCCATACCCGAACTCTTTATCTAGTTTTTTTTTAATTTTAAAACCTTTTCTTAAATTTGTTTTTCAGATCTATGCTGGTTTTGGTACTCTCGTTTTTATGTTGTATTTGGCTATCGACATTCAGGTAAGTGTAATAATTCATTTTAAAAATCAAATTATGTACATAGATGATTATGGGAGGACGCAAGTTTGAAATTGAACCAGAAGAACATATTTTTGCTGCTATTATGGTAATTGAATTAAAATATATTTAATTTTTCTATTTCTTTTTTAAGCTTTTTATGGATATTGTCCAAATCTTTTGGTTCATTCTTTCACTTTTTGGTGATAGATCGGTTGGTTATTTTAAATTAAATCATTAGTTAATTTTTGGGTTTAAGTAAACGAATGGAATCTTTGCTTGATGTGTATTTATGCTTGAAAAATGAATGGGTTGCTAACGAGAAAAAAAATATAATTTTTTGATATAAACTTTGAATATACATAGATATTAAATTTAATTTTTTAAATTTTATTCTCTTTATTTCAGTCGTGACTATATTAAAAAAATTTTGGACTCTTAGTTTTTCAAAAATTGCGGAAGTATTCTTTTTTACATCCATTTTATTTTGTAAATTTATTAAGTTGCGACTTTTTAGTAATTCCTGTTTCTGAATTTTACTCTTTTATAGATATTAAATAAATGTATGATTCATTATTGTCCAGTCTTTTATATATATTGTCGTCGCTTTTCATTAATTCTTATAAAAGAATTTATACATATTTTGTTATAAAATGAGCTGATTTTAAATCGATTTTTCAGTTATTTTACTTTTAGTTTGAATAGAAAAGATTTTAATTATCAATAGTGTTTTTATAAAAAAATAGTAATTTTGTGGCACTTTTTTGTCAGCTGAGTGATGGATACTTTAGTAAGTTTTAAAAAATTCCAAAGATTTCAAAAATTTTGAAAAATATTAGCGTTCTCTTGAAGAGAAAAATAAAGAATTGGATGGTTTGAGACGTCAACTTGCGAGAGAAGAAGAAGAAAAACATGAATTGTTTTCGCAGGTGTTTTTTATAAAAATAAGAATTTTAATTAAATATTTTTAGATTAATTCACTTATTGGGGAATTGGCACAAATAAAACAAGCAGAAAATGTTTCTTCTAAAGAAAATGAATTGACTTTATTGCAATCTGAATTGGATGAATTGAAATTGGATTTTGGAAGAAAACAAGGAGAACTTCAGAAAATATGTGGGGAATTGGCACGTGAAAGGGAAGAAAGTCGAAGGCGAGAAAATATAATGCAATTAGAGAGTAGTAGAATGGAAGAGGAATTACGTGAACGAGATGAGCTTCTTAAAGGTTTTTTTTAAATGTTTTTTTAAAGATATATCAAAAGACTTTCATTTTTAATTTCCTTTTCAGACAGTTACTACATAATTTAAACATTTATTAGTCCTTTTATTTTTTTATTTCAGAATTGACAGAAACTAGCGATGAATTAGGTCGAGCATTGAATGAAGCTAACAACGATTTGCAAAATGCTAGAGAACAATTAGCCATTACTCAACAAGAATTAACAAATAAACAAAAAACAAATTTAAATATACCCTCAATAAATGATAATAAGTAACTTATTTATTTTTTAGATTAAAATAATCTTTTTTTTAGTTTATTAAAAGAAAAGGAAAATTTGCAATTTGAAATTAAAGAATTAAATTATAATTTAAAATGTTGTGAACAAAAAGTTTGTGAAAAAGATGAACTTTTGAAGTTTTTAAAATTATTTTTTTTCTTTTATTTAAAATTAATTTTTAGTAAAAAAATTGAAGAATTGAGAGAATCTAAAGAAAAAATAAAAATTTTGGAAGAAAGGTTTCTTTTTAATTAAAAAATAAAATTATTTTAGTAAATTTAAATTAAGATTAAACATTTCAACTCAAAAAACAGAAGATTTTGAACAAAGATTTTCTTTATTGGCTATTAGTAATACAGAATTGAAAAGTCAATTAAAAGCAGCAGAAATGGCTTTAGAAAATGATAAAACCAAAAATTTGGAGAAAATAAAAGAAGAAATTGAATTAAAAGCTAAATTAAATTTTGATGAATTATTGAAGAAGGAAATAATTAAAAATGAAGAAAAGGTTTTGATTTTTAAAAATTTTTTTAAAGAATACGGATTTTGAAGAATTAATTACTCTTATTAAGATTTGTCTAAATCCTTATTTATTTTTGATTAAAAATAAGAAATTTAGGTACTCTTATATTATCCGCCCCCATCTTCCTTTTTTCGTATTTGATCGGCTATAATTTTTTTATGCCTGATCCAATTCAAATGAATATTTTATCATTCTAAAACTCTCTACTTTGACTTGATCCATTTAGTTAGGCGCTTATCGAGAGCTTTCGAATAATATATTCATTTGAATGATCAAGCATAAAAAAGTTATAGCGATCAAATGTGGAAAAGAAGGAAAATGGGGGTGGATAACACAAGAGTACCGAAATTTGTATTTCTTGGAAGAGAAATTAAATAATTTTATTAAAAAGAAATAAAATATTTTTATAAAAAATTAAAGATTTTGGAGGCAGAAAAAGAACATTCTCGATTAAATGATTTATTATTTTCTGAACAAAGAAATAAAGAATTACTGAAAGGACAGGTTAATCTTTTTTTAATTTTAAAACTTTTAATTTTTTTTTTTTTTTTTTTAATTTTAAAACTTTTTAATTTTTATTTTTAATAATAAGGAATAATGAAGAAATAAATGAAAAAATTTAAGTTAGTGGCTTTGAAAAAAGAAAATGAATTTTTAGAAAATTGTTTAAAAGAAAGGAATAATGAAGAAATAAATGAAAAGACAAATTATTTGGAAAAATTAAATAATTTGAAAGAAATTAATGAAAAAATAAATTTTGAAAAAGAATTGGTACAAACAAAAGTAATTTTTATTTTTAATTTAAAAAGAATTTTTGTTTTTAAAAGTTAAATCAATTAGAAAAAGAAAATACTCGATTAACTTCTGAATTAATTGAAGTAGAACAAAAAGCTGAAAGAGAAATTAAAAAATTAAATAATTCTTTGGAAAAAATAAAAAAAGAAAAGGAAGAAGAAATACCTCCTCCTTCTCAACCAATTGCTAAACCGAGAAAAACTTTAAATAATGGAAATGGAAATAATTTAAATGAAACATTTGTTGAAGATATTGAAGAAGAAGAAAAACAAATAAATATAATTAAATCAGAATTGGAAAAGTAAGTTTTCCATCTTTTTTAACAGTTTTTCAAAATTTTTAGTTTTAATTTGGAGGGCTTGACAGTATTTTGGAGAATTTATCCCTCGTTAGCTTCCCCAATTCTTTTTAATCTCTCGATCCCCCAATATTCTTAACCTCTAAATTGTGAAATAAAACGAGTAAGGAAGATATTACGGGGGTCAAAAGATTTGGGGAGAATATTTTAAAAACTTTTAATTTCAAAATTTCCAGTACCGATTCGACTATTAATGATCGGAGTCACCATTAATATAAACTAACGATTTTAAACTTTAAATGTCCAAATATTTAACGACCTTTTTTCCAATTTTGTCCTTTTTTAAATATTTTCGTGTCAATCTTTCTAAAATCAAAAAAACCCCCTTACTTTATAACTTACCGAACCGGATGTTTGTTTAAGGGATAAATTGAAAGTACGGGGAATAAAATAAAACCGACAAAGATGAAATATAAAGACCAAAATGGAAAAAATAAATTTAAAGAGGATTTGGGAAAATCTAAAAACAAATTCAAGAATAAAATTTTTTTATTTTCAAGGCAAAAACGATTGGTTACTGTTTTAAGAAAAAAGTTGCAGCAGCAACAACTCGATGCCCTAAAACAGCAAAAACAATAAGAAGCAGATTTTACTTAAAAATTACAATTTTTTATTTCTTTCTCTTTTTTTTCTACTTACATGGTGACCGGAAAAATTGCAGTAAATTCATCGAGATTAGTTTAGGCATGGAAGCTTTAAACCAAATTCTCGCTAGAAATCAGACCGTTTTATCAAAAATCTCGGTTTATCTAGATCTCCAATTCTTACTGCATTTTACCGTAAACCTTTTACTTACTTAAATTAATTTCACCCGCCTTTAATTGTACCGGTAGAATGGCATAATAATATTTACATAAATACATATCTATGTTTATTTAAAAATAATTAAAGAAATTATTTACCCAAAGTTGACGTTAAATTTATTCTATAGATTATTCTTATCCTTAGAATTGATTATTTAGTTTTTAACGATTTCTATTTTAAACGCCGATTAACAGTTCTGATAATTAAAGTTCAAAACTTAAACAGGATCAAATTTTGCGGGATTAATTATGATACATATTAGTTTTCTTATATTCAAAAGACACCATATTAAAAAGAGGGACCTTGGTTGGACCAAACTCAAATGTGATAATGAAGTGAAAGCCGAGATAAAGCCGAGATATAATGAAGTGAAAGCCGGAATTTAAGAGATTAAAATATTAAACAAAAATAAGAAACGAAAATTGGATAGGAAAGTCGGGTATCTTTTTAATAAAGAAAAAACTATGTACTATATTCGCATGTAAATTGATTTTACAATTTCTAGGATAAAACGGAGGGACATGATAAGGAAACTATGGGGGGATAATCACCGGAATTCGTAAAATTAACAGGATTTCATGACAGAATTATTTAGAATAAATTAAATAATAATACCTTCCCTTATATTTGTAGAGAAGTGAGAAAACTTGTTTATTTACACATACACATTCAATTTGTTGAGATAATGGATGACCTTCTTTCTTTCCTTGTGTGTATAGTATTACTTTCTGTCTTCGTTAACAAATTCATTATATATTTTTTAGTTCCCAAACACCTCCAATTTCAGGAGTGCCATTGTTTGGTACTTTTATTTCTAAAGAACCGGAAAACTTTGGGTGTTGTGCAAACAAAAAATTTAGAAGAAAGGAAGGACTCTTATGCTGATTAAAAGTTTGGTGGTCATTTTTGGGTGATAGTATTTTTGTTTTTAATTTAAAAAATATTGAATTAAACAAAAATGACAAAGTATTTTAAAATAATTGGGTGCCCAAATTTTGGGTTAAATTTATTTTAAAATTATATTTTAACCAAAATAAACTTTCTAAATTTATTTTTTAAAGTTTCTATCATTTTTTAAAAATAATTTCAAAACTTTGCCGACAAAAAATTTTTTTTCATTTTTATACAAAGACACCTAACTTAAAAATCATTCATAAATATAAAGTACTTTTCTGCCAAGTAAAGACAAAGACTTATTACAAAAAACATACTTTTCATGATTTTCTTTTCAACACTTAAAAAAAATTTTTTTATAATAATTCTTTGTAGTTAAAAAAATAACATTAAAAATATATTTAAAAATTAATTTTTTACAAAAAAAAACACAGTAGAAGAGAAAAGAGAGAGGGAAGGGGGGAGGGGAAATATCAATGCACAAAATTTAAAAAAAAATTGAGGGATATTTTTAATTAATTATTATTAAAGTAGAAAAAGAAGAAAAAAATAAGAAATTATTTTTTGGGAAAACAATTAATTTTTGATAAAAAGTAAAGAAAAAAGAAAATAATTATGACTGATTTTTACATATTTTTTTAAAAATAATTTTAATTATGAAAAAAATGTTTAAGAGAGAAAACAATGTCAAAAATGCTCTTTTTTTACAAAACAAAATTTAATTTTTAATTTTTACTATGCTTTAATAAAAAGAAAAAAAGAAGGCAGGAATTATTTTAAAAAATTAGTAAATAGTCTTTAACAAATTTTTAAAGTCTTTCAGAGGTTTGTTGCCGAATTTGGATTCATTGTACTGAAAAGAAAAGAAAATTATAAATATAGAAGGACCTCTCAATATATGTACCCCCTTACACTATACTGGAGTGTGAACTAAATTTTGTGGAGTCTGAAAAATACCGCAAGTTTTTGGTTTTTCTGCAATTTTCCCCAAACAAATATTTTTTCGAATATTTTTAGCTCAAACTCTATTTTAGAGTTGTTTTCCAGAAACATGTTTTTCTTTATTAGTCAAACTATTGTAGAAATTAAAGCTTTATTCGACTATATTAAAAAAATAGTGGAGGTACCATAAAACTCCCCAGAACCTCCTCTTCCTCTTCCTAACCCTTTTATTTTAGTTTCTCAATTAAAACCCCCAACTTACTTTCCATTATAAATTGTCTGTGTTGTTTGCCCCCCTCCCCCAGATATATTACCACCACTATACATCATTGAAGCATTTGTATATTCTTGTGGAAAATTAGAAGATAACACTTGATAGTCAACAAGTTGCTTTAAAAGAGAAAATTAAAAATAATACCTATTTAGAAAAAACTACCTGATTAAAATTTAAATGAATATTAACTAAAGGTTGAGGGTTAAATAATTGTTGTTGTTGTTGAGAATTAATTAATTGTTGAGGACTTGCACAATTTAAATTATTTGAAGAAGAATAAAATTGTTGGGGAAATTGTTGTTGTTGTTGTTGTGTAGTTATTGGTGTTGGGTGGATTATAGCTGTTGCTGAGGAATTTGGGAATTGGTGACAATAAATTGAAGAAGAAGAAGATAATAACTTAAGGAAAAGAAATTTAAAAATTTATTTAAATAATTAGTTTTAAATTTTTTTATTAAACACTTAGACTTGTACTTGGTACGAAGTACCAGGTACGAGAAAATTAAAAATTATTTTCTCCAAAATATTTTTTAAAAGAAATCAGACAAAAATTAAATCAAAACAATCATTTACTTGTCCCCCTCCCCCTCCAATAGAAGAAATAACCGAAGGAGATCCACACAAATTATTTCCTTGTAAAATTTCAGAAGAACTTGAGGGGCATTGAATTTGTGTTAAATTAGCTAATTCAAAATTATTATTATTAAATATTTCAATTTGTTGCTGTAAATTATTTGTATTTTCTTCTTGTCTTCCTCTATTAATTAAATTAAAATTATTATTTTTATTTATTTTTGAATATTTTTCTTCTTCATTATTGTCTCCAATAATATCTAATATTAAATTATTATTATTTCCTTCTTCTCCAATTAATTGTTGTTGGTGTTGATGTTCTAATATATTTGTTTGAATTAAAGGTTTTAAATCGGAAGAGTCTAATATTTCCTTAAAATTAAATTATTTTTTTTAAGAAAAATGATGTAAGATGCAATTAACTTAAATTTGACCGGCCAATTGGGGACCGGCCAAAGGGTTGGGTTCCTTAGCAGTCTATCGTGTTCGGGACCTAAGCCCACTGAGTATGGGGCCATTCTTTACACTATTCCCCAAAATTCAGGTAGTTATAATCGTTTTTCTGAAATTTTTAAAAATTGGCTATAACGTTCAAAAATTTTGAGGGATAGTGTAAGAACATGAAGAACTGTTACGGAACCTTACACCAGCTTTGAACACAAAAAAAATTTATTTTTTGAGTTTCAGTCCCCAATTGGCCGGCCAAATTGAATTAAGACAAGAATTTGATTTGACCGCCGACATATGTATATTTATTTATTTACCTTTTTTAATTTTTGTTCAGTCAAAATTAAAGAATTAAAATTTTTTTGTTGTTTTTTCTGTTTATTTAAATTGTTGTTAGCCTTCTTTTCTCCCCCCAAATTTAATTTATTATTTCTTCTTTGCCTTTCAGGTTTCTCAGTTTTGCTAAGTTTAAAACGTTTTTGTCTTCTTAAAAAACATCCATTTTCGAACATATCCCCACACAAAGCATGTAAAGTCCAAAAAGAACCTTTGCCCGGTCTGCAATTTTTTATTCTTAATTTTAATTTTAAATTCTTTTTATTTTAAACTTTTACCTGTCGGGGGTTCGAGGAACTTTCACAAAACAATCATTAAAAGATAAAGAATGCCTAATTGAATTTTGCCAAGAACAACGCTTAAAAATATTTTAATTAATTAAATTAAAATAATTAATTTTACCTGACCATGATTTTTGTAATATTCAAAATATGCCATAATAAAATTATATATCTGAGAGAAAACAAAAATTAAATTGAAACTAAGGATTGTTAGTAATAAGTAAAGAGTTGTCAGTTCGGAATTGAATCGAGGATTTCTCATTTATGTTTATAAGAAAAAGGGAGGATTACTGGGGCTTCATGTCCTTTTAAAATCCAAATATTTTCATCTACGGCACTAAAGATGTAACGAAATTTGAACATTCAATCCTATTTTGTAATTTTGAAGAACTTTTCTCTCCCCCAAAAATTCCAATCGCTTCCGGATATTCGAAAATTTTCCTAGAACCGACAACAACCTTATTCTCAACTAAATATATTTTTTTAAATTAAACATTACTTCACTCAATGTACACATTTTTCGATCACTTTGTTGTATAGCCATAGAAATTAAAGAAATATAGGAATATGGAGGCTTATTTGGACCATAACTTCCTTGATTTTTAATTTTTTGCATTTCGTGAACGGTTAATTCCTCCATATTGTGTATTGGGGGACTTTGATTTGTTGTTATATTTGTAGATTCTCCATTAGTCGAAGATGTCTAAAAGTTTAATTTAAAGATTTATTTATGTAATTTATCTTTCTTTTAAAAAAATTAGCCTATAATTGTTTTTAATTTTGTAGAAGCTTTTCAAAACACCCAAAAATTTGTTGAGTTTAAAAAGCTCGTCTCTTTACCTTATTTCTACAATTTTTTAATTGTTTATTTATTTCAATATATTTTTGTTGATCTTCTTCCCCTCTACTATTAATTACTGAATTAATTGTTGATTGAAAAGCTGAGGGATATGAAGATAAATTTAAAGAATTATTATCAATTAATTGTTGCTGTAAATATTGACTAAATTGGGGATTTGAAGAAGAGGAGGAGGAAGGGGAAGAAGAGGGGATATATAAATTGTTTGAATAAATATTTAAAGAAGTATATTGAGAAGGGGGATAAATTGGAGGTGGAGGTGGTTGGGGAGGGGGATATACAGCAGAAGAGGGGGATTGGCCGATTAAAGAAATATTTAAATTTGTTGTTGGGGAAGAGGAAGAATTGTTGTAAATATTCCATTGTTCATTTAAATAAT